TGACTAAAGAGATAAAGGTGAGACAGATATTGAAATATTAATTAGTCTTAAAAAAGAAGGGAATCCTGCCATTGCAACACCATGGATGACCCTGGAAGACATTCTGTCCCATGACAGAAGAAAGACACAGAAAGACAAACACTGCATGGTATCACTTAGATGTGAGATCTAAAAAAAAAAAAGGAACTCAAAGAAGTTTAGAGCAGAAGGGTGGTTACCAGGGCTGGGAAGTGGGGAAGTGGGGAGATGTTGGTCAGACATACAAAGCTTCAGTCACACAGGATGAATGAGTCCTAGAGATCTACTATATGGGCGGTGACTGTAGTTAACAATACTGTATTGTGCACTTACAATATGCCTGGGCAGATTTTGTGCAAACACACAAGTGACCATGTGAGGCAGTGAAAGTGTGAATGACCTTGATTGTGGTGACTGTTTCATGATGTATATAGTCTAGCAACACATCACATCATACACCTTAAATAGATACAACTTTTGTTTGCCAATTATAATTCAATAAACCTGGGGGAGAGGTGGTCAAAAACCAAAGCTCTGCTTTCCAAGGGCCTGTGCTCTGCAGGGCAGGCCTGTTTGAGTCTTGGCTCCCCCATCAGGGGCAAAAGCCCCTTTAAACAATTGACTCTGAAGTGCAGGCTGTGACTTTGAGTCTGTATCCCCCACACTGACAGTGAGCAGGATTCAACATGTACTAATTTAATACTTATCTTAGCGGTGTTGTTTTTATTTACTGGGGGGTGATGACCAATGTGGAGCATCAGGAGGTGCTAAGTCAAATATCGAACTAAGAGTTATGTATGTCTGCACCCCCAGGGAGTAGATGCTCGTGAATAAACACTGACACAGTTGAAAGAACTAATACAGTTTATGTCAGGAGAAAAGGACTGATTTACCAAGATCCACACTCATCTACCCCCTTTCTGTCACCCCCTCTTCCTACCTGCTCTGCCCAAGAACCAGTCATCACTCAGGACCAAGCTCTCCCTGCCCTGACCTGGCACCAGCAGGCTCCTCTTCCTGGAGTGCCTTTCCCTGTCACCTGCAGACCCTCTGTTCACTCCTTGATCCAGCTCAAATGTTTACCTCCTCAGAAAGCCTCCAATGGGTGGTCTCCTCACCTGTGAAACAGGGGCCAGCTCATAGTACCTATCCCAGCAGCGATTCTCATCAATGAGATCAGGCATGTGGTGCCTAGCAGAGAACTGGTGCTCCAAAGTCCCATCTGCTATTATGCCCTGGCCATCCCTGACTCCCTCTAAGTCATGGCCTTGCCCCCGGGCCCTCTGTGAGCATTTCTATCATTCCCAGAGTCTGAGCAGTCCACACAGAAGACAGAAGAAAGCCCCCCCGACCGAAGATGTCCACATCTAACCCCGAGGATGTGTATTCACCCCTGTGAATACCTTCCCTTACATGGCAAAAGGGAGTTTGCAAAAGTGATTAAGTTAAGGATCTTGAGATGGGAGGTTATTCTGGATTAGCTGGTGAGCCCAATGTAATCACAGTCCTTTTAAAAAGGAGATGGAGGGTCAGAGGAAGAGATGAGACAATAGAAGCAGGGGTCACAGAGAAAAATTTGTAGATACTTATGATGAGCTTTTGAGATGGAAGAGGCCACAAACCAAGGCCTTCTGGCAGCCTCTAAAAACCATAAAAGGCAAGGAAATAGATTCTCCCCAGAGCCTCCAGAGGGAACCCAGTCCTGCCAACACCTCAGCTTTTGAACTTCTGATCTCTAGACCCATGAGATAATAAGATAATAAATATGTGCTCTTTTAAGTCACTAAATTTTTGATAATTTGTTCCAATAGGAAATAAATATAATTTAAAATGTGGCTTTAAACCTCAGGGGACATATGGCAATGTCTGGAGACAGTTTGGGTTGTCATAACTTTGGGAGTATAACTGGCATCTGAGGATAGAGATCAGGGGTGCTGCCAGACATCTTCCAGCTACAGGACAGGGCAGGACCTCACAAAAAAGCCACAAATCTACAGTCAAATCATTGACAGTGTTGAGACTGAGAAACCCTGCTCTGGAATGTTTCTGGTGAACTTCCAGGGAGTCCTCCCTGATCCAGTCTCCCTTGCAAACCAGAAAGAGACAGAGAAATGAGCTCACTTACTTATGCAAGTAGTAACCACCGTGGGACCCAGGGAGAGAAGTCAACATTTGCTGTGAAGGCTCATAAAATACTGCAGTACACTGTGCTTTGTTCCTGTATGCTATTATGGTGCAAAGGCTATTAATTTTAAAATTAGAAAAATACATTTTGGAATGCCAAGCACAAAATATTGTGATTATAGCTTCGACTGGTATAGGGGATTTACATTTCCCTTTTTAATCATTTGTTGGGAACCCTTCTCCAGCAGCCAGCACACTCTGTACTCCTGACTCGTCAGACCAAGGATTCAGCACGTCTCACTTCTCTTCACTTCTCGGGGGAGCTCTGTTTATGCAGCCTCTCAGTGGCCAGACCATGTGAGCGTCTGGAACAAAAGGGGCCGTGTCTCATTCCTCTCCAGCTCCCAGCCCAGAGCACAATGCCTGGCACAAACCAGCTTCTCTGAAAACGCCTGGTACACGAATGAACAAGTAACTGGAGAAAAGTTGGCAATTTCTGTTGATACAGTGGGCAGTGCAGATATGGAGGAATAGAAGGACTATTGGGTTGTAATTACAGCATATCTGGGGGCTAGTTAGTCTGAGGACATGGCTGAGATCCTGAGTGGGAAGCGTGGGTCATGGCGAGGCTCTCAAAAAGCACTCAGGGCCAGCAGCAAAACCTTTGGGATCAACAGATCTGGGTTCAAGGTATGGCTCTGTCTCTCTGAGCTTCACCTTCCTCATCTGTGAAATTTACTCATCCAACAGAGTGGAGCAGAGGGAGCATGTGGCGAAGAGGTGAGAGAGATGGGCAGGGCCCACTGTGCCAGGACAGCTAGCTTTCCACCAGGATTTGTAGTGCCCAGCTGGGCACTACATTTCCAGCACCTCTGGCATCACAGGTGATGGCATTCAGGCCAACAGAATGTGGGCAGAAGTAACCTGTGCAGTTTCCAGGCCCATCCTGGTGGCCCATTTTCCATGCCCTGCTCGGCCTCTCCTCCTCTGTGATCCTGCTCTGAGATGAAGCCCAGGACAGATTCCCAGATTTCAGTATCACTTACAAAGCACTTGCTCCCTGGAGGATATGGCTCCCTCCTTCCTGGGCTTCCAACACACAGTGCCCTCCTACAGCATGCCACAACCTACCCTCCCTCCCTGTACCCTGATCAACTCCTCTGCTCAGCCTTCAGGTCTCAGCTAAGATGTCACCTCCTTCTGGAAGCCTCTCTTGAACCCCAGGAGGTAGGAACTATTTGTTTCATCCTACAGGTGAGGAAACCAAGAGTTTAAGTGACTTGCCCAAATCACATGGCTGGGGGGCTGGAGGTGGGAAGTTTGGAAGCCCACACAGGCTGATTCCAAGGCTCTTTCTCAGTCATTACTTCCAAACCAGTCCTTCTGAAACCGCCAGCAGCTGCTGCCTCATCTGGAAACTTGTTAGATGTGCCAATTCTCAGCCCCTACACTCCAGGCCTACTAAATTAAACTCTGGAGGTGGGTCCGGCCATCTCTGTTCCCCAGCTGCGGGACTTTGGGACCAGGAGAATATCCCCTTCCTGTGCATGAAATTGTAACAGTGCCTGGGGAAATTCACCCAGGAGCTACCCCAGGGAGAAGAGAACATGGGAATTTGGAGTCTCTGCCACACACTACACTAAAAATGTTTTATAATCAAATCATTGATATGCCCTTAATCAGCCAAAAAGTACCATTTTATCACAAAAAAGTAAAAAAGAAAAAATCTTGTAAATCCTAGAAGGTACCAATTGACCACAGGTGCCTGAGTCAACCCTGACTTCCTTCTCCCACCCATGCAGAAGAAGAACTTGGGAACCCAGCCCACTTCCCCCTTTTGAGAATGGGGTCTGAGAAGAGAGGAGATGGCAATTTCAACCATGTTATAGCTGAATCCATGCCATCAAGAGGCTTTATTGCATTTGTTGAATTAATACATGAACAAAGGAACGACCTTACGGTGCTATGGAGGCCAAGGAGTCGGAAGACCCCCTGCATTCCTCCATGTCTAAACCCAAACTCCTTCTGTCCAGTTCAGCTCAAACATCACCTCCTCCAGCAAGTCTTCCAATTCAGCCCACCCCAACCCCATACCCAGCCATGGGTATGATCAGCTCCACCTGCTCTGTGTTCCCTGTTGGTCCACCTTGCTTATTAGAGTCTGCTGGCAGACCACGCAGGGCCTCAGTTTCCTCTGTAAAACCAGAGGGTTTTTTCCTGGGTGAATGGCCCTAAGGCAGGCAGGGGGTCCAGGACCCCGGTCCCAATAGTCCAGCTCCTAAAAAGCTTCCACCTAGGGCCGACTTAGGGACCCTCCTCCCGTGCAGCCCATCTGGCACACCAAAGGGGCAGCTGGGCTGGTTCCCCGCAATTCCCTCCATGGAAGCAGGAGGATCTAGGCCCAGAATTTCCAGGAGGCCCCCGCCCCCCGCGCCACTTACATGCCCGTCCCCTTGGCGCACATGTCCAGCGCGCCTGCCAACACCAAAACTCCCCAGTCAGCAATGCAGCAGGGGCGCGTCTACACTGTCCTAGACGGTGGGGAATTCCCTTTAGTTCAGGGACTGGGGTGGGAATGCAGCTTCGAGCCCTGCGGGGCACAGGAAGAAGGCGCTGCCCCAACCTCCGAGGGCCCCAGGGGCGCCTCGTGCGGAGGCCCCCAAGCTGTCTCTCCCGGCCCATCGCCTGCCAAGTGTTTTCGCAGCAGACACTGGCGTTCCTCTGCACGACCACCCCACTTTACTGAAGCAAACACTGAGCCTGGAAGAGGGGCCTCCCGCCCTGCCCCCCGCTTTCCGCGCCGCCCGGGGCCTCAATTCCAGGTCCCAGACCCAGGGCGCGCCGCCTCCCGCGCCTACCTCCCTGGGGCGCACGGGCGCGGCAGCCGCTGCCCACGGCCGCGAGGATCCAGAGAGTTGGCAGAGGCTCGCCGAGCGGTGCTCCAGGGTGCAGGGCGAGCTGGCCCCCCGAGAGGGTCGGGGAGCGACGAGCGGGGCGCGCGCAGGCACTCGGGGAGCGGCGGAGACCGCGGCACGGACGGCTCTCCCCGGGGCGCGCGGGCCGCCCGAACGATCCGGGCGCGCTGGGGGCGCGCGGAGCCGCAGGAGCGGTCCCGGGACGCTCGGGGCGCGCGCCAGGGGCGCCAGAGCAGGGGTGCGCGAGCCGAGAGGCGGCAGCTGTTGCGCGGGACCTGCGGGGTCGGGACCCGGCCGGCTGGGAGCTGAGCTGGGCTGGGGCTGGGGCTCCGGCTGAAACCAGCGGGCCGGGGCGGGGCTGCGGCCCGGCGGGCGGGGCGGCCGCCCTCCCGTGGCTGCTGCTGCTCCTGCAGCTGCCACGCGACTCCGGGGCTGGGGCACCCACCCTGGGCCAGCGCTGAGCCGCACGGGTGCAAACTGACCGGACACCTGCTGCGCGGTGGGCGCCCCCAGCAGCTATGCAGAGGGACAGGCGACCCCCCCTGCTCCCGCCAGGTCTCATCCGTGGTGGGCCGCCTGCCTAGTTCCTGTGTTCCAGTCCTTCCAGCATCAGAGTAATCTGATCGCATTGTTTATATAGTCTCTGTGTAGAACCCTAAAGTATTTTTATTATAGGATTTTTTTTCTGATCGCTTTTATTAGAATTCAGGCACTTATGATTATTTCAATTATCTGCGTAATGGTTTAATTAACCCCCCCCTGGACCTTACTTACCTGTTTCGTATCTTATCCCAGGGCCAATCACATAGTAAGTGGCTAAAAAATACTGGTGGGATCAAGGAATAAAGGTAGAAAGATATAAAAAAAGAAAGGAAATCAAAATAATGACAGTTAGGAAACTTTTTGATACTATATCCTTCCAGATGTTTTTCTGGTGAAACTTCAGAAATTTCGCTCTTATTTTAGAAAGAAAACCACAGTCATTCATGGAGTGATTTCTTTCATTCAGCCTTCACATCAGCCTATGAGGGATATTTCTTTAGATCTATTTCACAGATCATAATATTGAGACTTATAGATTGACCCAAGGTGACCCCGCTAGGGAAGGATAGAGCTAGAACTAAACCACATTTTTCTGATTGCAAAGTTCAGGCTGTCCTTTGCTTAGTTTATCGCTGCATAATAAACCACCTTAAAACTTAGTGTCTGGAACAAATGTTAAAATTCCCTGGGTTGATTGGCTCAGCTGGCTGGTCCTATGCCACATGGGCTTGGTCAGGGCAACAGCTTGCAGTCACCTGTGAGCTCAGCTGGAGCTGTTAAACCAAGCACCTTGTTCTTTTGATTCACGTTGGTTGGGTCCATGAGAAAAAAAAGGGCAAAGAATTTGTGACCATCTTGAATTCAGCAGGAGCGTGTACATACAAACAGATACACACATATAAAATGTTTATTTAGGAAATGCTTAAAATACACAACAATGGTTGATAGCAGTTGCCTTTATGTAGTGGAATGGAGGTTGGGGGAAACTATTTACTTGTCGTGCACTTTGAATTTTATTATCTATTCAAAATCTCTTTTGATTCCCCTCCCCCATGCCACTGCTGGAAGATCCACTGACGAACAGCTATCTGTTAAAAACTAGATGCTAGTCAGCAGATCCTGGGCCCACAGCTCTGCAGAAGGCTCTGAGTTTGAATTTGTATGGAAATGGGTTCAAATCCTGACTGTCACTATTTAGCAGTATAACCTTAGGCAAGCTTCTTTTTTTTAAGATTTAAAAAAAAATTATTTATGCATACAAGAACTGGAGCGTAGGCCAGAGGTGCAGTGGGGTGAACAAATTCATCAGAAACAATGGGGAGCAGAATAGGCGGATCCACTGAAAAACACTGTGAGGGGAGCAGCTGGCGAGACAGGAGAGGTCTGCTGCTCTCTGTGGGTATCTCCCTGGCCAGGGATTGAACTCCTGCTGCAGTGGCTGTGGGTAGCTTCACAGTGCTGAGACTTAATCCCTTGGACCCCAGGAGGCCTGAGGCTAGCAAATTTACTCCCAAGCAATTCTACTCCCAGGAATATGCCCCAGATAAATGAAAACATATGACTACACAAAAACTCATGCACAGATCTTCATAGCAGCATTACTCACAATAGCCAAAAGGCAAAAATAATCCAAATGCCCATTAAAAGATGAGCGGATGATTAAGTAATATATTCATACAGTGGACTATCATTTGGCAATAAAAAGGATGAAGTAGTGACACCTGCTACAACAGGGATGAACCTTAAAAACATGAAGCTAAGTGAAAGGATCACACACAAAAGGCCACGTATTATATGATTTCACTTACACAGACTGCCCAGAATCGAGAAAACCATAGAGACAGGTAGATCAGTAATTGCTTCAGACTGGGAAGGGAGTTTGGCAGGAATGGGGACTGACTACTAAAGGATATGGGGTTTCTTTTGGGGGGTGAAGAAAATGGCCTAAAATGTATCTTAGTCAAGTTTAAAACAATTACCACGTGGTTTTGCTAATTTGTGGAATATAAATAACCAAAGAAAACTGGCTGGCAAAACAAACAAAAAAAATAATCCTTAGACTGTGGTGCTTAGCAGCAGCAAGGAGGAGGTCATAGAGGGGGTCAGGGGAGAGTGTACAGGCACCGGAAATTTGGGGGAGACAGTTAAGCATGCGTGCATGTTGAAGTATAAAGTTGTATTCCCAAACATCTATTTTTTTGTAAACCAATGGCAAATCAATAAGATTTTTTAAAAAGATTTATTTATTTATGCATATAAGAGCTGGGGTGTAGCCCAGTGGGGGTGGGGGGCAAGGTGAGAGGATTCACCAGAGACAGAGTGGGGAACAGAACAGGCAGATCGACTGAAATACACTGCTGAGGGGAGCAGCAGGAGAGGTCTGCTGTGCCAAGTGGGTTAGCTCCCTGCCCCGGGGGACTGGGGATTGAAATTGTCCTGCAGAGGCTGCTGATAGCTTCAGAGTACTGACATTTAACCCCTTGCACCACCAGGGAGGCCCCAAATCAATAAGATTTTTAATGAACAAAAAATAAAGTTGATAATAGTGATGGCTGCATAAGACTGTGCCACACTGAATATACTAACAGCAGTGGATGACACACTTTAAATGGGTGTATAGTGTAATAGGTGAATTGTGTAGCAATAAGCTGTTACATAAAAAAGAGAGGACTCAGGTGTCTGCCTCTCACCATGGCTCGGGGTGTGGCAGCACGAGTGAGCTTGCTCAAAATAGCCTCCAGCTCTGTGTTCCAGCCCAGTCATAGGCACTGGGCAGCAACCAGCTTCAAATAGGTGGTGTCAAGCTCTCGCAGACTCAGCGGGGGTTAGAGAACCCCACTTCCACACACGCCGCAGAGGAAAAATGGTTCTCAGGTCCACACTTATAGGGATTGTGGAGTTGTTTTATGATCACAGAAATACAAGGGAAGGTACAGAGATTTCCCCAGAGACCCCCTCTGCTCCCCAACATGCACAGCCCCCCTCATTATCAACATCCCACCAGAGAGGCACATTTGTTACAACCAATGAACCTACAGTGAGCCCTTAGCTCACATTGGGGTTCACTCCTGGTGGTATACATGTTATGGGTTTGAACCAACTTATAATGACATGCATCACCCATTATAGTATCATGCAGAGTAGTTTCACTCCCTAAACATCCCATGTCCTGCCTATCTCCCCCGTGGCCCCCAGGCCCCCTGGCAACTAAGTAGGATGCTTTCAGGCAACTGCACGAAGGTCCTTGGCTGTCTCCTTGGCTTTGAAGGTCCTTGGTCTACTGGGCATGAGAAATGAGCTCCATTGCAGAGCCAGCTGTTGGCCTGCCTGTAGCTACAGACAGACTGGCAGAAGCTGAGAAATAACCACTCTTCTGTCCTCCCTTTCCCTTGTGTAAGGCAAACCCCAGGATTGGGGGGGAGGATATTTGGGGCACTATTTCCATTTGCCCATACAACAGCATAGGGAAAGATCTGGAAGGTGCATGTTGTTCCTCTTTACAATGGTTACTTCTGAGGGGTGGGGAAGAGGGAAGTGGTGAGGAAAAGAATTTCTCTTTAACTTTAACCATGTAATAGGATATTTGGGGGAAAAAATGTACCAGGAGCATGCATGCCCTTACATTTCAACTTCAAAAAGACATTAAGTACCTTTCGTCACCAAAGCTTAGATGTGGTTTAACTGGTGATTTTATTTTATTTGTGCTTTGCTTTTTTTGCTTGTGTTCTGACAAGGATACATAATACTTTTGCATTTTGAAATGTCACTTAAAAACAACAACGGGGCCTTCCTGGTGGTGCAGGGTTTGTTAAAGTCAGCACTATCAAGCTATCCCCAGCCACTGCTGTACAAGTTCGATCCCGATCCCCAGCCAGCCAGGGAGCTACCCACTTGGCGCAGCAGAGCTCTCCTGTCTCACCAGCTGCTCCCCTCAGCAGTGCATTTCAGTAGATCCGCCTGTTCTACTCTCCACTCTCTCCGGTGAATCCTCTCACCCCCTGTACCTCTGGCCTATACCCCAATTTTTCTATGCATAAATAAATAAAAATAAATCTAAAAACAACAACAAAACTAGACAGAGCTAAACAGAGCCCAGTTGCTCTGGTTCCCTGTGGCCACCCCACCCTTGTCTGGCTGGGACTGGCTCTGCATAGGAGTTGCCTTGGAAGTGTCACCCTGAAGGCATAAATCACCCTCAGAGAAGCCAAGTCAGCACGAGACTGTGGGAGGACAGCAGGGGCATGAGGAAGCGTTTAGTGCAGCAAGGCGCTCCCGGCCTGCCTTTTTGTTCTGTTGGAGAAGCACCTCTGGCGTGCAGGTTCTGGGCAGCTCCAGAAACAGTGCTCCTTCTGCCTGCACACCTGCTTTTTGCCTGGTCAGATCTGGCAAGTGCAGAACAAATGTTCACACAAATTACATGATCACAGAGCAAGAGGGGATGACAAGCTGGGGGTGGGGGGCTGCTGCTGGGGGTGGGGGTCCAGCTGCTGGAAATGCTTCGAGTAACTGTGGGAAGATTACCTAAGGAGGTCTTCCCCTCCCTGCTGTGGCCACAAGAGGTGATCTTCCAGAAGAGTAGACCCTGTTTAGATGAAAGTTCTGGCAGCTCCACAGAATCACCTGCCTCCGAGTTGCTCTAAGCATACCAAGAGGGAGTGTTTTTAACCAAGGATGCAAAACCACTGGCTCAAGGAACAGACTTGCCACCAACACAGTTCCTGGGCCTGGAGACAGAGCACTGGGTGAACAAGACAACATCACCTGCCCACTTGCAACTGACATTTCTAGGAGGGCCCAGCATCACCCTGGGGTAGCCCATAAACACCTACTTGCAGCAGGGGCTGGGGGAGATACACCTGGAGCAGCACTGAGTCACCAGTGACTTCGCATGAACTCAGGAGGTGGGGGTGGAACACGCTGAGGTCCTGGGGAAGTGGAGAGTTCGGGTCCTCAAGCCTCCACCATCACCCCTTCACTGCGTTCGGGGGGTCCGTTTAAGAGCACAACACACGTTAGCACTTAACTTTTGTTTGCTCTGTTTTCTGATGTGGCCAAGAGCCCAGAACAGTGCCCTTGACACGTGAAGGTGCTATTTGCAGAATGAATGGATTTAATCCTCACAGCAAAGCTTGTGCCATGAGCACCCTGCTGTAGAGATGATCAACTGAGGCCCAGAGAGAACGCCTTTTCCTAAGGACTCACATCTGGTAAAGGCTCAGGCTTGTGTGATTTCTGAAGCTCATGGGTTCACACACTTTTTTGGTTTCTATTGCAGCTATAACACATCACCAGAAATTTAGTGGCTTAAAACAATACAACTGTCTTACAGTTGAGGTTGGAAATCCTAAAATCAAGGTGTCAGGTACCTCATGTTCCTTCTTGGGGATTCTAGTGAAGAAGCAGTTTCCTTCCTTTTCCACTTTCTAGAGGCTGTCCCAGTCCTGGACTGTGCTGCACTGCTCCCCGCCCTGTTTCCCTTATCTCCTTCCCCAATATCTGCCTCTCTTTTAAGGACTGTTGTGATTACATTGGGCCCACCTGGATAATCCAGGCTACTCTCCACATCTCCACATCTTTAACTTAATCACACCTGCAAAGAACCTTTCCTCATATAAGGTCACATATTCACAGGTGCTGGGGATTTGGATGTGGGCATCTTGAGGATGGGGTAGGTTCTGTTCACCACACCTACTTGCCTGCCTTTCCTACCTTGGATTTTTGTTTTTCCTTAGACATGTAAGGACATGGATGAGCCTATGCGCCTGTAAAACTAGAAAGAAAAAAAAGTGTCCTCTGCCCAGCGAAGAAGCAGGAAAGGGACAACAGTGAACTTTGTTACAGATCATTTGCAAGGGTGGGCAGAAGACATGAAACTTCAGAGGAAGCAGAAAGGGGAACAGAATTTGAGGCTAGCTAAGGAGATCTGAACCTCATTTACAGTTCATTTTCTTTCTGATTTCTGCTTTATTGAAGGAAATAGACAAAATGGTAGCAATTTTGTGTGGCAGGAAATAGAGGTGTGTTCTGTATTTATGTGTTTGACCAGTATTTACTGCATTAAAAAAGCAGCCCTGAAATAGTCTCCCCAGTGGAGCTCTGGGTCTTGGGAAGCTGGGGAATGCTGGCTCTGGCTGGGGCAGCAGAACCAAGTTCCTCATCCTCTCGAAAGTCACTTTTCCCCTCTAAGGAGCGGATAAGCCCTGAAGCAGGGAACCCACACCAGCAAGTGATCTGTAACAACTCAATGATTTCCCTTCCTGGACCCTAGATACTTACAGGCCATGGGACCACCCAGGGCTGTAGCGGTAAACTGAGCTCGGGTGGACAGTGAAGAGGATGAGGACCCCCAGCCAGGTCCAGTGCAAACCCGGGCTCCAGGAGGCACCGCCCCCAGGGGGCCGCAATACTATACACCACGTCCATGCAGAGAGCAAATGCACACTTACGTGCAGGACTGAATGTTAATGTTTATCAATTAGAAACTTCATTCCTCTAAATGCGGCACCCCAGCAGTAGTTATCATTGCCGACCGCAGCAGCATTGCAAACTCAGAGGCTCGCCAGGAAGCCAGGGGTTAATTTGCACTTAATAAGCAGGAGGCCCAGCCCAGATCATATCGGGCATGCGCGTATCTAGGGGGCGGGACTTCAGAGCGTGAGGCGCTACGTCACTAGACTAATATAGTGTGAGCGGAAGGCCTTGTGAGCGGGAGGTAGCGTGGCCGAGTGGTCTAAGGCGCTGGATTTAGGCTCCAGTCATTTCGATGGCGTGGGTTCGAATCCCACCGCTGCCACACCGTTAATGGGCTCACTTTTCCACCCTTCGATTTCGTTAAATATCTTTTTTTCCACAATGTCTTCTCTTTTTTTCCTTTTTGATACTGTTTCTTTTTTAATGGAATGGGGAGGGAGGGGAAAAGGAAGGGACCTCTGCTCAGGCCATCTCACTTGTTAACCTAGTTAACAATACTGATCCACCAATACTGTGAGATACAGCCCAGAAAACTCCCTATTACCAAAGAAACAATATGAGACACCTTGAACTGGCTGCCTGCATCTTTAATTTAATGCTTCGGAGATCTGTAAGTCACTAGAAATGGACCTGTTTACCTCCCAAAGACAAAGGTTAAGTGGGAGTGATTTTTATCATGATCTGAGGGGAGGTCCCTTTCAGAGAGTTGTCTGACTTCATAAACTTGTGTTGCTGGACGCTGTCTCAGGTGACCCAATGGAGGGACTGGGGTGCCAGGGTTCCTACCACAGGTGGGGATATTAATCCTGAGGACTCAGCTTCATAGGTCCACCTCCTATTAAGTCTTCCTGTTTGGTCTAGAGGATCCCTCATTTGTTCATTCATTCAACAACTATTTGTGAAGTTCCTTCTGAGGCTACAGAGCAAATAAGGCAGCTGTGTCCTCACACTCAACATTTTACAACATTCTAATTTCATTAATTACACCCCAAAATAGGGTTATGCTTCTGCTCAGGCCTCCAAGTAAGCAAAACCTCTTACGAGGCTGGTTATCTGGCAGCCTTTAAAATCCCAATGGGGAGTCAGTGGTCTGTTGGGTGTAGTGCCGCTTCTTTTACCTTTGGGTAAAGACATTTGAAAGAGAGAAAATTTCTTGACATAGTGACCCGTGCTGTCCCCTGTTCAGTTTCCCCCTCCCTTCCCCCCACCCCCATCTCTAGGGTTTCAATAGTCCTCTTTCAAAACCTCAGGGTTAAGATGGTTTAGAAAAATCTAGAAAACAAAGCAATTGATTTGTCTTTTGGGTTTTAAAAGTTGAGGTTTGGGGCGTCCCTGGTGGTGCAAGGGGTTAAGACGCAAATCCGCACCCACTACAGCACAAGTTCGATGGTGTTCGATCCCCGCCAGGGAGTTACCCACGTGGCACAGCAGACCTCTCCTGACTTGCCCACTGCTCCCCTCAGCAGTGTATTTCAGTCAATCTGCCTGTTTTGCTCCCCAGTCTGTCTCTGGTGAATTCTCTCACCCCTAGACCCGCACCTCTGGCTTGTACCCCAGTTCTTGTATGCATAAATAAATAATAAAAAAAATAAAAGTCGAGGTTTGTCAACAAAAGATCTAGAAGAGTGAAGGCCTGTTTTCCCTGCCCTAAGAACACATTTCTCAGGATTGACAGAGAGGAAAATCAAAGGGGAGTTTAGATGCAAGCATGTTACTGTGAAGGGATTAACAGTCAGTGCCAAGTGGCCCAAAGTCTCTGGATCTGACAACATCCCAGGGTTCAAGCCACACCTGGGCCTGGCCAGGGTGCAGAAGAACAGAAATACAGTGGGCCTGGGGCAGCGCCTCCAAATGGGAGAAGTAACTCATTTTCCTTCACCCTTTGAAGTTGAGACACAACCTCAGTTTTCTTGTTTTACAAATGAGAACAATAAACCCTACATAAGAGTAGTCCCAAGAACAAAAAAAAAAACATAGATAAAATTCCATTCAAATTGTCAGACATTAAACAGACATAAAGGATTATTATTGATCTTAAAAATCACATAAACACATGCAAGAGGAGCATAACTTTTTAGCTGCTTCACAGGCTTTTTCCTTGTTTAGCAGACACACCCCACGACCTGAGGGGCAGCCGCGCAGGGTGATTTACTGACACATTCCCTCCATCCCCCACAGACTTCTTTGGGCTTGTGGTTTTCTTCTCTGCCTGTGGTTTGATTGGCCAGCAGCGAGTGCACGGTGACAGCTACATGCTTACATTTACTCACGGACCCTGGAACTCACCACCAATACCAAGAAGACAGCGGGGCGCAGGCTCCGCGCAGAGCAGGGCCGGGTTAGGAAATTTCATGCATTTAAACATTAAAGACATGGTGATCACTGTGGCTTCCCTCATAGCCAGAGAAGTAATATTAAATCACAAAATATGCCTTAAGCTCTAATTCTTCCTATTATAGCTACACTGGTACTTAAAAAAAAAAGAGCCCAGTTTCTTAAAGGGTTTTCTCCTTTTTGCCCCTCTTGACATCGATGCTGGTACGAGACGGCGTCTGCTGTGCTGAGTCACCCCGAGACGCGGAAACCGGAAACCCCAAAAGGCCACGCTGGACGAGGCAGAAGCCTGGGCCCCTCCACACTGGCCACCGAGAGGGGGCCACCCCAGAACTTTAGGGCGGGAGCGGATCCAGAGCAACCCTCCTGGAATGCTTCTAACCAAGCCCCCCAGGCGAGCTCAGGACCAGCCGGCAGGTGGTTCCCGGGGAGACTCAGCCGCTGACAGCTCGAGCGCCGCCGCGCACCCCGCCAACCGCGACTCGCCGCTAGGGGCGGGGCCAGGGGCGGGGCCGGAGGGGCGGGCCAGATGGGCGGGGCCACGGCGGACAGGGGCGGGGCCGGATCCAGAGGGAGAAGCGAGGCCAATCCCGGAAGGGGAGGCCCGGGGTACCTGCAGGATCAGAAGCAGGTGGAGCCCAGCTGAGCAGGGGACAGCCCGGGCCCGGGCCGGGGAGAAGGCTCGGAAGGCGGAGCAGGCTTGTCAATCACCGGGGCCGTCCGGAGGAGAAGCGAGAAGGCGAGGCCAGGACTCGGGGGGCGGGCCAGGGGCGGGTCCGGGACTCGGGTGATCGGGGAGGGATGCAAGTGGGGAGGACTGGCCCCGGCAGGTGCAGGTCCGGGGGAAGGACCCCGGCAGGTGCAGGTCCGGGGGAAGGACCCCGACAGGTGCAGGTCCGGGGGAAGGACCCGGCAGGTGCAGGTCCGGGGGAAGGACCCCGGCAGGTGCAGGTCCGGGGGAAGGACCCCGGCAGGTGCAGGTCCGGGGGAAGGATTCTGGCAGGTGCAGGTCCGGGGGAAGGACCCGGCAGGTGCAGGTCCGGGGGAAGGATTCTGGCAGGTGCAGGTCCAGGCGAAGGACCCCGGCAGGGGCAGGTCCGGGGGAAGGACCCGGCAGGGGCAGGTCCGGGGGAAGCAGGCTGGGGGCGCCCGCGGGGGTCACACAGCAGACGGCTCCCGGCCGGGGGCGCGCAGGGCCAGGGCGAGCAGGCCGAGCAGCAGCAGCAGCGCGAGCAGCAGGCGCAGGACCGTCCGCGCCGCGGAGCCGCGGGGCCGCGCGGCCGTGGCCTGCACGTACCGGCCCACGGCGTCCGCGAGGCTGAACTTGTCCGGCGCGTAGCCGAGCTGGGCGCGGGCCTTGGCGATGCGGAAGGTGTGCGTCACGGCCACGCTGCACACCTGCGGGGAGGCGGCGGGGCAGGTGGGGTGGGAGGCCCCTCACCTTTTCTCGGGGAACCGAGAAGAGCAGGCGTTCCCTGCAGCGCAGGGCGATTTAAAAGGCCCCCTGGGCTGGGTCTCGCTCCTGCAGCCCTCTTAGGGGGGCCTCCTCTCATCCGTCTGCATTTCTCCAGGGGCCCCTCCAGGATGCCTTTTCTGCAGTGCCCTCACCCTGTTGCACTCCTCAGAGCACCATCTGTGCGCCCCCGTTTCCAGGCCTAGGACGGGGGCTGGGACTTGGGTCGTCCCTGATACATTCCTAGGTGTCCGTTGTGTAGTCTGGGTGGCGCTCTGGGTGGGGTGGGGGTGGGGGAATGGCTCCTAGAAACGCTCTCAACTTCCTGCCCACAGTCCAGATCCAGACTGGCCAGGCAGGCCCCAGGGCGCAGGCCTCAACCTTGGTTGATTAACTAAGTTTCCCTACGAAAGGAATTTAGTTATGCAGAAGTAATTACTCTCCAAAGTTTATGCTGGATTTCCTGGGGGAGGGGGCACAGGATTCAAGGGTAATAATGACAGCTGTCAATTGCAGAACTCGCACTATAACTAGCCTGCGCTAAATCCGTCTAGCCCTATCTCATTTAATCCTCTGAGGTGCCACTGCCTCTTCTTTACATATTTGACAATTGAAGACCAGAAAGATTAAGTGACACCCCCCTCTCTCCACCCCCTCCAGCCCATGATCTTCCCTGCTATGCTGGGCCTGGGAAGATGCCCTTCCCCTGAATCATTTCTTCCTCTAGTTCCTCAGCCGGGCATTGGAAAGGGTCCACTAGCTGCCTGATTCTCTCATGGCATTGAAATAGCCTCTGAGGTTAAGCCCCTTGTCTCGGGGAGGGGGGGTGTATTGCAGGGGAGAGATCAGTTCTTGTTAGTAGGATCAGGGCTTTGGGGGATACACCTGTGAACTAGATAAGCAAATCCTGGCACACACTGTTGCCACACTTCAGACTTATATGTCACTCCCTTTGGGAGGACTCCCTAACTTCCATAGAACTGACTAAGGTGCTTTTTCTGTGTGCTCTCAAGTTCTTCCTAATTTCCCTAGAATAGCCTCTATCATAATGTGTTGACTTGCCTGGTTACTGGTTGCCTTTCCCTGTGGACTGTGAGTAAGTCGGAGTAGGGACTGTTTTGCAAAGTGCCTGGCACACAGTAGGTGCTTAATGCAAGTTGAGTGAATGAAAAAGGCTGTCAAGTCAAACTAGAGGGCTGGCTGGTATGTCACATACTGGCCAGCAGAGGGCACCCAAGTCACAGTGCCCAGAAGCTTTCCCCAGGTTAACTAGGAGTTCTTTGCACTGAACTGAACTACTTTAAGAGGAGAGAGAAGGTAGCTGGCCCCACCACAACTCATCCCCACCTTCGTGGCTGTTTTACATGACCTGATTTCCGAAGCACTGCATAAGCTAAGTGGTTAAGCCTGAAATAATTTAGGCCTGGTCTGAGTTGGAATCTCAGCTGTGCTACGTAAGTGCATTTCCTTCTCTGAAAGTGGAGATAAGAGAAGCCACAATTTAGAGCAGAAGTGAAGATTAAATGAGAAAAAGCACCATGCCTAGCATATGGCCACCGCTCATCATTCTCCTCCCTCTGCTGGTCTGGGTGGTTTAAATGGGAAACCACAGGGACTTGCTGTACGCATTCTCCATCTCCCTAGTTAGAAAGCACTAGAGCTTGGAGGGTGAAGTCAATTCTAAAACGATGTGATCTTGGACAGGTCACTAACTCCTCTAGTGCCCAGGTTCTCATCCTAAAATGAGCTCATAACCCTTTTGCACTTCCTAATTTATGAATCAAATGCAAGAGTAGACTGGAAAGATTTTGCAAATAACACCAAACATCACTTGTTTTACTATCTACAACCTGCATTAAAACACCCTCTCTTTCAACTGCATATGCAGGGCTGGGGTATGCGAGCAATGGGTGGGGGTGTCCAATGGACTGTAGTAGAGGGTTATTGGGGGCATGGGGTGGCAACATACTTGAAGAGGTATGAGGCTGTACCCCTAAAATATACAGTGATGTAAACCTCAATAAAACAAAAACAAGTAAGTCTTAACATGTGAAAAGAATGCAAAACAAACAAAACCAACCTGAATAAAGTGCATATGCAAAAGTGCTTCATCATTATTTGAGAATAGTATTTAGTACACAGTAGGTACTTAATATGTAATTATTCAGTAAGCTTGAACTGTGAAGCACAAAGCAGTGTGTGTGTGTGTGTGTGTGTGTGTGTGTGTGCGAGCATTGGCAGGTGAAGTTCAGGCTTCCCAAGATGTTCAGAATAGGTCCTCCAAAGATGTGTCACTTTGACATGTGGATTATTTTGAGCTGAGTCTATCTAGGCCCTGAAGGCTCAGGAGAAACTCTGACCCTCTCCCTAAAGCTATGGGGAAGAATGAAAATTGGGGGTATTACCCCGATGTGGGGTTTTTATCAGAAATAACCTTTTTATCTGAGAATCTAATCACAGGACAGCTAGTGTTCCTCACATGAGATCTATATGGATGTAGATAGATCACGCGGGTGTACAGATATATCTCTGCATTTTGCCTCATTTGCTTTAGAATCTACTCCATATAGAGTCTCCCTGTATATGTCATTAGATTTGTTCTTTTCTCCTACTAATCTGCCGGGTAGTAACTTGATTAATCAAACAACCCAAGAAGAACCCCGAGGGGCAGAGGGAAAGTCCTCTCCAGCCCTGCCTGAGGTTGGTGGGGACTGGTAGCGTTCAAAAAGTGAGTGTCATGGAATCAGCCTTTGGGAGGCTCGGGTCTGGCTGGGAAGACAGGCTGCTTGTGAATGAACCCACGTGGCTACGCCATGGGCTTGGGCCGCCGCGCTCGGACCCGGAGAGCACAGTCTATGTGACAGCCCAGAGGCTGGGGTGATCGGAAAGAGCTCACACCAGATCTAGGCCCACTGGGAAGGTCCTGAGACCTCAGACAAGTGTCCATTTATGGTGTGAGAGGAGGAGGGTGGTGGCAGCGCGGGTGTGGAGAAGGGGCAGGAAGGGAGACAAGGGGGTGCCGCATGCAGGGGCTCCCCTAGCTGCCCCTACTTACCTCGCTCCGGGTGAGCAGTGGTGGGATGCTGCAGAGGGGCCTCAGGGCCAGGTGCAGGTACTCCATCACCACAGCTGCGGGGGAGGGGGCAGTGACCCAGGTGCCTCTCCGCTGCCCTGGGCAGGGGCACCCACAGGGAGGCCTCAGGGACCGGTCTGCGGGGCATTATGCGCTGTGCCAGAGGGGTCTTCCCTTGCCAAAACATCCTGCCCTTGGATTTCTTTAAATCAGCAAGTTGTCAGCACCTTGAGGGTGTCGGGGGAGGCTTGTTAGGCTGTGAAATGTGTCCCAAGTCAGAGCTGGTGTTTTGAAATAAATCTGAACACATTCAAAGTTATCTCTATAACTGTGCTCGTCTCTCTCCTCCCTCTCTTCTGCTCCAATCTGCTCTGCCCGCTGCTCCCCTCAGCAGTGGATTTCAGTGGATCTGCCTGTTCTGCTCCCCACTCTGTCTCTGGTGAATCCTCTCACCTCCCCCCCCACCTCTGGCCTGTGCCCCAGCTCTTGTATACATAAATAAATAAATCTTTTTTTTTTAAAGATTTATTTATTTATACAAGCACTGGGTACAGTCAGAAGCGCGGGAGGGTGAGAGAATTCACCAGAGCCAGAGCGGGGAGCAGAGCAGGCAGAAGGACCGAAGTACACTGCTGAGGGGAGCAGCGGGCGGCAGGAGAGGTCTGCGCGCCATGTGGGACCCTCCTCTGATGTCCAGGGAGCAGCCGGGGATAGAACCGGCGCCACAGAGGCCTCGGGCAGCTTCGCAACCCAGCGCTCAACCGCTGCACCACCCGGGAGGCCCAATAAATAAATCTTTAAAAAAAAAAAAAAAGTGCTGCTGCTTCCTGGCCCCCAGCGGTGCTTCCTGCTGGGTGTCATTGGTCAGGTGAGGCTGACTCGATTTTTTTGTATTTGAAAAGCTCCCAGAAGAGTCTAATGGGCAGCCAGGGTTAAGGACCAGGGGGTTTGTCATCTCACTGGGAACTGGGAATTTGTACATAAGCCTGAGGCTGCCTGTTACTCAGCTGGGGGTCATGGAGCATGAATCACTGTGGCAAAGCTGCGCGGGAGCCTTCATGGTGGACAGAAGTCTGGAATCCCTGCTATTTGTGACTTGAGGACCGCGTGTCCCCTCTGGCTGGTCACTCCACGTCTAATGCCTGCTTAGGGGGTGGAGCAGGTATTGACCTTCAGGCCAAGGAGGAGAAGCTACTGTCAGAAAGCAACACCCATGCCATGCATCCCAAGGCAGCCTTCACTGCGGCGGGGGGAGTGGGGGGTGAGGGGGGGTGGGGAAAGAGGGGAGGGAAATGGTGGAGGGGGGGAGGTTCGGGGCTGGGCATGGGCTTTGGAGTCAGCCAAGCCCAAGTGTGAATTTTCCCTCTCCAACTTTCCCACCGTGGCACCAGGGAGAGGTCACTAACTGGGGAGCCTCAGGGGCCTCATCTTTACAATGGGCCCAGAGACACCCACCAGGCAAGCAGGGTGGGTTTAAACAGGGCCAGGGCCAGGGTGAGGAGAGTGGGGTGCCCAGCGTGCAGAATTTAAAGGGCATTCGTTCTTGGCCCAGCCAAGTGTGGACAGGGCTTGCAGCACCTGGACACTGTGAGGGTCTCCTTCAATTTTGCAGTCTCAGGATCCCACTTTCCTCAGCCCAGTCCTGGCCCTGGGTTGAAAATCACATAGTGCATGTACATGTACCATGTGGAAGGCTTTTAGAATTCATACTCCTTTCCTTACCTGTCAGGTAAACGCAGGAAGTAGGTACCTTGATCCAGGGCTGGCTGTACCCCAGCTTCTCAAACTGTAAAGATACAAGGCCTGAGATGAGACCACATCCTTCAGTCTGGTACAAGAAGGCGACGTGTCACTGGTACCCCGGGGGCACCAAAAGTACCTCCTTCACCCTCCCATGCAAGGGGGCTGAGCCCAAAGCCAATCCCAACCCTGACACTATCTTGAAATGAAATCGACTACTTGACCTGGAAAACTCAAGTAGGAAATTAAAGCATGGGTGGATTTAATTTGAGATCACATAGATTAACTATCTACATCTGCCTACCCAAAGACACACCAAGGCAATTAGGTGGATTCTGATTTTCCTAGAATTGGACTTTCTGTTCCTAAAGAAAACCAAATGTCATATTTGTGGAGGGTGGTAGGGGAGGCATAAAGAGATGGGCTGGCACATGGTCACCACTTGTATAAAAACACTCTAGGTCAGGGCCTCCCTGGTGGCACAAGGGGTTAAGCACAGCACTGTGAAGCTATCTGCAGCCTCTGTAGCAGGAGTTCGATCCCTGGCCAGGGAGCTGACCCGCATGGCGCAGCACACCTCTCCTGGCTCGCCCGCTGCTCCCCTCAGCAGTGTATTTCAGTCAGTCTGCCTGTTCTGTTCCCCATTCTGTCTCTGGTGAATCCTCTCACCAACCCCCCTCCCTGCACCTCTGGCCTGTGCCCCAGTTCTTGTATGCATAAATAAATAAATTAAAAAAAAAAAACTCTTCAGGTCAAAAAAGCCAGTAACAAGCATGGAGAAAATGGAGCCTTCTCACACTGCTGGTGAGAATGCAAATAGTGCCGCCGTTTTGGAAAACGGTCTGGCAGTTCCTCAAAAGCTTGTACATAGACTTCCCATGTGATCCAGCAATTCTATGCCTAGGTCTGTGCCCAAGAGAAGTGAGAGCATGCGCCCACGTAAACACGTGTACACACGTGTTCATAGCAGCATTACTTGTGACAGCCAAACGTGGAGAAACCCAAATTTCCATCAACTGATGATAAACAAAATGTGGTGTGGCCTAGAATGGGGTATCTTTGGGCAATAAAAAGAACAAAGTACTGATCTGACATGTGCTACAACACACATGTAAATGTGATGCTCAGGGAAAAAGCCAGAAACAGCAGTCGTATGTTGTGTAGTCCCATTTACATAATGTGCCCAAAACAGGCAAATCTATGAGCCCGAGCAGATCACTGGGTGCAGGGGCTGGGAGAGGCAAACAGAAGTGACTGAAAACAGGTGTTTTTTTTTTGGGGGGGGGGTATTTTTTTGGATGGTGATGATGATGTTGTAGACTTCTTATAGCACTGAGTTACCCCTAAATGGGTGAATTGCACAGGACATGAGTTATATCACAATAAAGCTGCTAAGGTTGATGCTGGAGGGTCTGAACCCCCCACGATGTACCCTCCAGCACAGGGATTCTGGTCCACCCCTGCCAGGGGGGCCTGGAACCAAGAGGGAGTCTGTGGGCTCTGGGAGAGGAGTGGCCCTCTGTCTGCGCTTAACGCAGCTTCTACCTCGCTTTGTCAGACCTCACACACACTCCAGCACGTCCCAGGCCAAGTGCCACGGGATGAGAAGTCAATATAAATTGGGAAGCAGGCTGGGAGGGACGATGGCAAACTGGGGGAGCACATGGCCCCCAAAGGGACAGCCATGAACCTCCAGTCAGTTCCAAGGTGGCCCAGTGCATGCTATTGCCAGAGTAGGTATTTCACGTGAAATCTTCTGATTGGGGGGAAGTCAGAAAGCACAACAGGGAGGGCGGGGGTGGGTGCCTGGGTGCCTACCAGCGGGGCCATCCACTCGAAGAGGTTGACGCTCTCCCCGTCGTTGATGTAGTACGCCTGTCCACTCTGTGGGGGACACCAGGGAGAAGGACAGTCAGGCATGGGCCAGCAGATGGATCCCACCCTCTGGATCGCCCCCAGGAACTGCCCCACTGCACTTCTCTGAGAGTCCCTGAGAGGTCACAATCAGCCTAGTCCTGCGGCCCACCTGGGCAACCCCCCTTGAAGTCTGGGGCCACCACACTTGCTAGCTGCATGAGCTTGATGGAGTCAATTAACCTCTCTGTTTCTTTGTCTGAGAAATGGGAGCAAACTAATGGGATCGTCCTCTTGGGCTGTTGTGAAGTGTGGTTGCGACAACATCACATTTCGTGACCCTTATTCCGGAATCAACAACTCTACTTCAAGGGCGTTTGCAAGGAGCTAAGGGCCACCCCCTGGCCCACCAGCTTCCTTGGGCAGACTGCCCTGCCAGCTCTCTTGAGTTAGGGGGAGCCAGGAACCCCCGAGGGGAGGGCGCCCCACCCATAGCCCATGGGGTGCCACTCACAGCCACGTAGCCCTTGGCCGCAGTGAGGGCCTCGGCGGCCAGCACGTGAGCCTGCACGAGGTTGTGCACGTGGACCCAGTTCATCCGCGTCCTGCGGTCCCCAAATCGGAATATGAGCAGCCTCTTCTTGATGTGGCTCTGGTGGAGGGGCGGGGAGTAAGCCCAGAGCCACGTCCGCAGAGGCTTAAATTCCATCTACACGCTGACGCCTCCCAAACTCCTAGGCCCGGCCGGACCCGGCCCTGTGCCTTCCCGACACCGCCACGTTACTGTCTGTGGACCACGCAAACCTGTCGAGTGCCAGAGTAGGTGCCTGGTCCTGGCTCCCCGCGCCCCGCTCCCTCTCCCAGCTCAGTGGAAAGCACTCCAGTTGGGCCTGACCCTCGGAAGCCCCCTCTGGCTGCCCGGTCTCACCCCACAGCCCACCCCGCTGCGGTCCGGTTGAAGGATCAAAACCCACCCAGAATCGGACCACTTTGCCCCACTGCCAAGCTCTCTCTCCTCTCCCCTGGCAACCGAAACAGCCTCTGAACTGGCCCCTGCTTTTCCCCTGGGCCCCTGTGGGCTGCTCGCCACATAGTCTGGGGCATCCTCTTAGGTCCTAAGTCAGATCCTGGCTCTCCCCTGCTCAGAACCTCGGGAAGCCCATCCCGCCAGGGGGGAAGCTGGGGTCTTGCAATGGCCAAGGAGGTGCTTCCCTGTGACTGCCTCCTGCTTCCATGGCTGCTCCCCCACAGACACGGCCGGCAGGTTGGCACCTCGCGGCTGTGGACTAGCTGCTCCTCTGCCTGGGAGGCGCTTCCTCCAGACACTCAGTGACCTCCTTGGAGATCATGCCCCTGTGTCCCCGCTCAAGGAGGTGCCCCCTGAGCTGGCCTCCTGACCCACTGTGCGAATATAAGCCCCAGGAGGGTGGGGACTGTCTGTTTTGTTCACTGATGTGTCCACAAACCCGGAACAGATCGTCCTCATGTCCAGATTTGTGCCCAAGCTGTCTCCTCTGTTTGGGTGCCCGTCTCTCTGCCAGTCCCTTTCCTCCTTAAGTTTCTCTTTCTAAAGAGCATAAACATCACTTCCTCCAGGAAGTCCCCCTGGATCTCCCCTGCCAGTCCCTCTCTGCTGGGCTCCCATCTTGTTCTTCCCTCAGCATAGCCCTCCCCCCACTGAATCTGTGACTGTGGTGTCTGTGAAAAGATTGGGGATGGGGCCTCGGCCCTCTCACTGTGTTCCTGGCGCCTGGCCCACTCTGGGGAGAGGCTTTCTGCTGGAAGATCTTGTGCTGGTAACATCAGTCCCTGGAGTCCGTGTCTGAGCAGGGGTGACAGGTCCCTGTCTGTTCTTTGGGGTCACAGTGCCACATCTCCAGCCCCTGTGCCTAGGTCTGGCTGGTGTACACTGAGAGCTCCGCTCCCAGTGGGCCTGATGGGGGCAGGGGCCTCTCCCGAGCTGGGGGTCTCAGGCTGGGAGCACCGCCCCAGGACTGACTCAGTGACCGTGGGCCCCTGCTGTGTCTCAGGCCGGGGCCAGGATGACGTACCACCGCGCGGGGCAGGTGCCGCTGCTCTTCGGGGCCGTAGATCCCTGGAGGCCGCAGCACACACGTCCGAAGAGTACCTCCTCCTAGGACACAGGGGGCGGGGTGGTCGGGACCCCAGGAGGGGCTCGCCAGCAGACAAGGGACAGAATGACTGTCCCCATCTCCCGACCCTTACACAGGCAGATCAGCGGGAAGATGAAGTCTTGGGGTTTCCTCATTTAATCCATTATTCTCAATTGATCAGTTAGTCATTCAACAAGTCCTCCACCACTGCTGTCTGCAGGGTCCTGGGATGAGTCCAAGGATGACCACGAAATGGTTGCCACCCTCACGACGCTCACCAGACAGTAACAGGCCAGACCTAGATGCTGAGGTCTGTGTGGCCTGTGAGATTTTCTTGGCACTTGGCAGACCCGGGCTCTGTCCATGCCCCGGGAGTCCTACCGCGCCCGTTTTACAGAGGTGCACACACTCCCTGATGCCAACAGCTGCACCTCCTTTCCTGACCACCAGTTCGAGAAGGCCAGCAGTGGCCTTGGAGAGCTCCTCCTGCTAACTGGTCAGGACTCTGCTCCAGGACCCAAGTTAGGTGCAGAGTCCCAGCGACCAGGAGGGAAATCGCCCTGGGCTGGACTCCTGGAAGGCAGGTACAGGTGAGCTTGTCTGTAAACAGCCTGCTGCTATTTTTAAACTCTGGGTCACCTGCGCATGGTGGGGGTGGTCAGGTTGCAACTGATGTGGCCAGCGGGGCACTGGGCAGCCACATCACCGAGGGGCAGGGCCAGGGTATCCATGACGCTCCTGCCCACAGAAAGCCGGGGATTCCTGTATCAATAATTCTGGGCCAGAGGATAAGGTGTCTGGCTTGCAGGCTGCTGGTCCCGCTGGGGAGGCCCCAGAAAGAGAAGAGGATTGCGCTGCACAGGGTCAACCCGCTTGGACACCCCGTTGGGACCAGGGGTGCAGACCTGGCAGGCCCACGGTGACTGGGTGGGGAGAGGGTAGGATTTTAGGGAAAAGAGCCTGAATTCAGGGTCTCCCATAGCTGTGGCCAGTGTGGCATGATGGTTATATCCCAGGCTCTGCCTTACCCCTCTCCTGTTGGGGTTCAAATCCCCTCTGCCACCTAATAGCCATGTGGCCTGGAGCTAAGTCAGTCAAACTCTGGGCCTCATTTTTCTTCCCTGTTAATTCAGGGATTATAACTTCAAGCCTCCCTTGCTTTGCAAATCCACTTGGCTCTTGAGTTTAGACAGCAAAGGGAACCAAGTTTTTGGATTCTTTTTAATTTCTAAGTTTATCAAAACAAACAGCGATAATCTGGACAGCATGGAATTTATCTGAAGATTTGGCTCCTGAATTTGGAAAGCATGGGATGCCCAAGGTTCTTATCTCAAATGGATGCTGCGAAGTTGTCGAGACTTTTGCATAGAAAATTAGCATGTGGGCCATCCGCGTCCTTTCTTTTTCATTGGTGCCTTTTTTTTTTTTTTAAGATTTATTTATTTATGCATACAAGAGCTGGGGTACAGGCCATAGATGCAGGGGTGAGAGGATTCACCAGAGACAGAATGGGGAACAGAACAGGCAGACTGACTGAAATGCACTGCTGAGGGGAGCAGCGGGGAGACAGGAGAGGTCTGCTGGGCCATGTGGGCAGCTCCCTGACTGGCCGGGGATCGAACTCATGTTGCAGAGGCTGCGGATTGCTTCATAGTGTGGTGCTTAACCCCTTGAGCCACCAGGGAGGCCTCCCTATTGGTGCCTTTTAAATTTCATACTCATTGGGACTCCCCCGTGGCGCAGCGGTTGAGCGCTGGGTTGCGAAGCTGCCCGCAGCCTCTGCAGCGCCGGTTCAATCCCCGGCCACTGGAGGAGGGTCCCACATGGCGCGCAGACCTCTCCTGCCGCCCGCTGCTCCCCTCAGCAGTGTACTTCGGTCCTTCTGCCTGCTCTGCTCCCCGCTCTGGCTCTGGTGAATTCTCTCACCCTTCCGAACTTCTGACTATACCCAGTACTTGTATAAATAAATAATCTTTAAAAAAAATTGTTTAAAAAAAAATAAATTTCATGCTCATCAAGCTCTTTGAGATAGAGCCACCATCATCCCCAGCCTTGGGGTAGGTTAAAGACACTGAGGCTGGAAGGAGAGGACACAGCCCAAGAGCTAAGAGGTGGTGGAGCTGGGACGTGAACTCAGTTCAGCCTAAGGCCAGCATGTGGGCCCTTAGCCCCTGTGCCACCTGCCCATGTGCTGGTATTACTTCTCCATAACTGGAAGGCTGCCCAGGCCAACTTTTCCGGGAGTCACTGAAGGTTAAGTAAGCTTCACTCCTTATTGCAAATTTCCTATTCTTTATCCAAAGTGAATCCCTAAAACTGGACCCACAACTACGTGGCAGAAAAGAGCACTAGAATGGGGCTGACCTATGTCTCTTCCCCACCAGACCTGGAGCAACATGAGGCCAGAGGTCAGGCCTAACTTTTTCACCCCTGGTGGGGTGGGAGCAAAATAGCAGGTGATTTTGATAAAAATCATAATCAAAAACTGCACGTGATGAGAGACCAGGGCCTTGGGGAGGCGTCCCTTGGAAGGAAGGCGGCATCAGAAACATTAGCAGCTAAAAGCCAGACTCACACGTAAGTTTGGGGGGAGGCCACCAGGGGCAAGGCCACACGATGCCCACCTGGGAGAGGCGTTCCATTGGCCATGAGGGTCAGCTGGTCGGCGATGGCTTTAGTTCGGGAGTAGTGGTCCATGTGCTGCCAGAGGCCAGGGAGAAGAAGCCACCAGGTGGGGTCAGGCGCCCGGACCCCAGGCTCTGCACCTTGGCTCACGCCACACAGGGGCTGGGTTTTGGGGACTCCCCCTGGGAAATGCCCGTGCCTGAGCCCCTCCACTCTCCCCGGTGGGGGCCGCAGGCGCAGGGGCTCTGTCTCTCAGGAGATCCCCACCAGCTCCAAACGTACACCCGGACGTGCCGCTGGGCATGTGTAGGATGAATTAGTCATGGGTAGCCCTTGACCCCGCAGCTCAGTTCCTGCTCTCCCCACCCCACAGGGATGGTGGCGCCACCTTCAGGGAAGGAAAGAGACTCTGGGTAAAGGAACCTGCTCATGGTCACCCGCTAGGAAGGGGGCCTGACTGGCTTGAGGTCGTCAGATTTCAAAATCCCTGTTGGCGGGGGAGCAGCTAAAATAAGGGTGGCTGGGCCACCTTGTGGGGGGGCCTTCCTCCTGGGACTCCCCGAGTTGTAGGTTGACCCACCCCTGCCCTTTGGGTTGGTGGTCCCAGGCCCACAGGCCCTGCCCACCTCTCCCCGAAGCCAGGTACCTTCTCCAGGGGGCAATATGGCACAGAGTCCTCGTCACCCTGTTCTATGGCCTTCCCGCTGAAGGCCACATTGACAGTGCTGGTGTAGACGAGCCGGGGAACCCGCCGGCGGACACATGCTGCAGGGACAGGGACACACCACAACATACACACACACACACACACACACACACACACACGCCAAAGTGAGCAGGGACTGGCCGAGGAGGGGTGCATGCAGACACCGGGGAGATTGACCTTCACCCAATCTCCAACACACCCCTGGCCCTGGCGTCCCCCAAGACAGGACTGCTCAGGAAGACAGGGCCCCCTTCCCTTCAGTGGGGTGTGGGTCAACGCCTGCTCGTGCGCCCGGGAGGGCCAGGCCAGCTCATTCCTCCTCCTAGTGCGGCTGTGGCCCCTATGCGACCTTGCAGGGACAGGCCAGAAGAAAGTCTCACTTGACTTTCTTCACGGATTGTTTTTATGATGGAGACAGAGAAAAAACACACTCTAATCAGAGAGGAAAATGGGATGCAGGACAAGACAGGACATGCCCAGGGAGCCCAGGTGTGGGTCTACTATTTTGATGCTTCAGCAGTTCTTCTTACTCCACCTCTAGGCCCTGGGTGCAAACTCCGCCCCTGTGTCCCCAGATGTGTCAAGGCCATGCTGACCCCACACAGGCCTGGGCAGGTCTGCAGTATAGGCCATCTGCCGGGGCGGGCAGGGGGCCGGGGACTGGTCTCCACACCCTGTCCCCCAGAGCTGGGCCTGAGAAGGAGAGAGAGAAAAGCAAGAAAAACACAGCAGGCCACACTGAGCTCTGATTTCCTACCATCAATCACTAGCTTGGTGCCGCCAACATTTATAGACTCAATCTGCTCTTTTTGCAGCTAAAAGACAAGATGGATGTGGAAAAGTCACGATACAGCATCATACCTTGTTGCTGAGGCCATGGGGCTGGGGGTGGAAAGTGGGGGCTGCAGAATGTCCAGTTCAGGGGGGGAGGCCCGGAGAGACTGACGGGCTCCAGCGCCCAGTGCTGTCACCATGTTCCTCAGTGAGGGGAGGTTCTGTGTGGTCTGAGGTTCAGCTCCCTGGTCTGAGGTTCAGCTCCCTGGTCTGCAAAATGGGGGCACACCCTGGGGTGGGGGTCAGCAGGATCAAACTGGCTTCATATTGCACTTGTCACATGAAAGGGATTCAAATGTTTTGGGCCATCTCCTCCCTAGAAGTCTGTTCTCTTATCTGAGAGGGGGCTGGGGTGTGAAAACACCTGGTCTACTGTGACAGCTCTTGTGAGCCAGGGCCAGGCTTTCATATCTCATTTAATCATTTACTCCTGACGGCCTCACCAGAAGGGGGGCTGCATACTGATTTTTCAGTCACATTTTGTTGCAGTTGCTTTGTCTAATAGGTTTATAATCACAAAGTTAAAAATAATTTTAATTGTTAAAAAAGGATCTTCTTTCCTGATGCTACATCTTCCTTTCACTCCTGCACCACTGTTACCAATTCCATGTGTTTCTCCAGGTAATCTGTGCTTATAATGTCAGCAAGATGCATACATAAATATTTACCCAATTTTTTTTTCCAAGCAAACAGGAGGACATCAGACCCTGGTTTTGTAGCTTGGGAATTGCCCTGGTATAGCACAGGTGGATTTACACCATTCTTTGGAAGGGCTGCATAAATTTCATAGTGTGGATACATCACAATTTATTTAAAGGTCCCCAACTGATGGGCATTTAGCTACTTACAACAATGCTGCAAATATACAGTAAGTGTGATACACGTGTACATGTGTGTATTTGATAGATATCATCACCCTGCTGTCCTAAGAGGCTGTGACGGAAGTACTTGTAATGGCCACACTTTAGAGATGAGGAAACAGAGGCTCAGGGAAGCCATTGTTTCAGGTCACACAGCCAGGGATGGCAGAACTGACACTGGTTCCATGGGTACAAATGCAGGCTGGGAGGAACCCAGATCTTTCCGGGAGCATGTGAAGAGCTGCTCAGGCAGAGGAAGTGTGAACCCCACTGTGAACCCACTGTCTGACTCCAGGTATTGCATGGGAGGGCTCACCTTCTCAGCACCAGACATTCCGTAGGATGCCACGTGGAAGACACAGTCCACCCCTTCAAAGGCTCGGTACAGGGCTTCTTCATCTCGAACATCAGCCTGAAACAGGGAAGGGTGAGACGGGAGTAGGAGGTTCAAGTTCAAGGCAAACAGACACATCAACTCTGTAGGTCCCAGAGCCGGCCCCCTGACCCCTCCTGGCCAAGCACCTGTAGGGTTGGGAGAGGCTGTGGGGCAGGATTTACTATAGTCTTGTGTCGCTTATGGGCATTTAGGTCAATGACAGACACATGGAGGATGGTGGTCCCAATGGGCTGTGCCATACAGCCTAGGGGGTAGCGAGTGATACCATCTGATTTGTGTGACTATTCGCTGTGATGTTCACACAGTGAAGTTGCCAAGAACACAGCCCTCAGGTTAGCGATGCATGACTGCACGTGATTCTACGCAGTGTCATCAGCACCACCAGCTCCACCTATCACGCTAAGTCCCAGAACTGTGCTCAGTGTTTTATGCACATGATCTCACTGACTCCTCATGAGACTCTCGTGAAGCACATATTAATGTCCACTGAAAGATGATTGGATGATGGGGTTTAGATACATAACCGCACACTACTCAGCTATTAAAAAAAGATGAGGGCCTCCCCGGTGGCGCAGCGGGTTGAGGGCCACGCTGTGAAGCTGTCTGCAGCTTCTGCAGCGCAAGTTCAATTCCCAGCCAGCCAGGGAGATACCCACATGGTGTGGCAGACCTCTCCAGTCTCCCCCGCTGCTTCCCTCAGCAGCGTTTTCAGTCAGTCTGCCTGTTCTGCTCCCTGCTTTGTCTTTGGTGAATTCTCTCACCCTCCCGCACCTCTGGCCTGTACCCCAGTTCTTGTATAACTAAATCTTAAAAAAAAAAAAAGGGATGAAATTCTGCCATTTGCAGCAAGATGGACAGAACCGAAGAGGATGATGCTAAGTGAAATAAGTCAGGAGAAAGACAAGTATTGGATGGTCATACTTGTATGTGGAAAATAAGGAAACAAAGCAAATAAATGGATGAAACAGAATAGTAATAGGCTAGTGGACTTGGACAACAGAACTGAGGTTACTAGAGAGGAAGAGGGCAAGAGTAGGAGCAAGGGTGGAGGGGTCGAATGGGCAATGAGGTTTTTATTCGTTTAATAAATACATAAAAACAAACAAGAATGATCTGACCTCAGTGCCTGTTCTCTTCAACACCACAGGTCTGGTTTCACATTAGACACTGTCCTGCTCCCCCCCAGCCATAGGCCCCCAAGACCCTCATGACCATACCTGGATGAACTCAGTCCCTGGGGACATCTCCCACAGGGGTCTGCGGAGGTCGAGCAGGATAACAGATGTGCCGCTCTTGGCTAGGCTGGAACCTAGACTGAAACCCAGGTAGCCACCTCCTCCAGTCACCAGAACCTTCTGCTTAGGGGCCTGCACGGATGTGGCCTGAGTCTTTTGCTGTGGTTCTGGTGTTGGGGCAATTGTGGACTCACTGGGTTTAGGCCCTGTCTCAGACCCCGACCTGAGCCCAGGCCCTACTCTTGGCCCAGGTAATGGTGCAACTCTTGATCCAGATATTGACTCAGCTCCTGGCCCAGACCCCAGACCTGGCTCAGATCCTGGAACAGCCCCAGGCCCTGATCTAGGTCCAGATACAGCACCGGGCCCTGGTTCAGGTCCTAGAACAGCACTAGGCCTTGACCCAGGCTCCTGGACAGCACCAAGCCCTGCTCTAGGTCCAGGCACAGTATTAAGCTCCAAACCAGGCCCAGAAATAGTACCAGGCCCTGATTCTATCCTGGACACAGCACCAGGTCCTGGTCCAGCTCCAAGAACCACACCAGGCCCTGATCCAGGCCCTGACCCAGGTCCTGAAACAGACCCAGGCTCTGGTTTAGGTCCTGACTTAGATGCCAGGCCTGAGACCCCTCCCCAGGCCTGGCAGACAGGGCAGCTCTTCTCCCCCTGTCCTGCAGCTTTGCAGGTCGCTGGGGAGGAGCCTGGCGTGTTGGTCTTCATCTTCTATTGAGCCACGCGGATCCAGGATCTGTCCATCTGTAAGGGAAAAATAGAACAAAGAACATTCTAGAATTGTTTCAAGGAGTTGTTTCTAGAATTGTCAATTAGGGCCCTAGGGACTGAGGGGAACTCCTGGTGGGAATTAGAGACCATTTGAATCTATCCTCAGAATCTCGAGCACTTCCCCAGGTGGTTAGTGCTGCTCGAGGGTCAGACACAGGTAGCCCTTGCACTGCACAGCTGGAGAAGCCAAGGCCTTGAAGTCACACTGCATGGCTGAGATTTGCACCAAGCACTCCCGACTTCCCTGCAGTTCTTTAAAACCTGTTTCTAGGTGGCATCAAGCCCAGGGGAGCCCTACAAGACTGGGAGGTGACTGCTTTCTGACTGGGGTGACAGGGAGGGCTTCCGGGAAGAGGAGGTGAGGAGGAGGAGGATCTGTGCTCTGTGTCCAGGAGACTTGCTGCCCCCACCACTGCCTGCCACCTGGTGCCTCTAGTTCTCCCCCAGCAGGCAGATGGCTGGCACCCCAAGGTCACTGGAGCTCCTGTGGGGTTCAGAGCCATCCTCCTCACTCCAAGTTAAAAGTGAGCCAGACTATCAGTCGCTGTCGCCAGGATGGTGCCACTGCCACCTCCTGCTCCTTTGGAAACTGAGGCTGCACCGGGGCCCGATTATTAGCGTCAGTAATAACAGCAGCCCTTGCGTGGGTGCCCTGTGCCAGGCCCCGTGGATGCAGAGCCGCACATCTTTGCCCTGTGAGTGGAATACTGGCTGGAAAAAACAACCCGTGTCACCACTGGTCAAGGGGTGACCCCCAGGGCTGTTGGTGGTGATGTCACAGGGCAGGACCCCAAAAGCTTCAGGGTCTGTATCTTTTAGTTACCTCAGTTCCTGTCCTGGTCTTCAAAGTTCCAGGTGAGGGAGGCAGTCATGCCCTGACAGTTTGGAGAGGTTAACAGTGGGAAGGGGACATCCCAAATCTGAGTTATCACAGGGGGTGAATTTCATTCCCCCACAAGGAAGGGCAGGGGTGGAGGCCCAGAAAACAGCCGTCCTCTACCCAGGCCCAGGGACTGCCCCTGCGAGAGGGTCAGACGGGGTCTATGCTGCAGGGATGTTATCTGTGACAAAGGCAGGGCGCTGCCTTGGGCACCCACTAACCGCATATGCCCTTGGGCAAAGTCCTAAAACTTTATTGCTCCTCAGTCTCCACAGCTGTAAAATGGACCCGAATTACCCTGACTGTTCTGTCCACCCCACAGAGTGGTTGGCCATGCGAGATCAGACGCCAAAGCCCTTGACAAGCCAGGTGCTGACACTGGTCTGCATGCTCCTGGAGCGCTGGCCACCCCAGGGTCCCCGCCCGGGACGGCGCCGCGGGCAGGGGGAGAGGGGAGAGCTGACGCATGGGTGCATCTGCGCGGGGAGCCTCTGGCCAAGGTCGACCCTGGACCCTGCCGCGCTTACTGCTCTGGCAGTCCTCTGAAGTGGAGGCTGCTCTTCGCATCAGGGATGGAAACTGAGGCTTAGAGAACATTCGCGAACTTTCACGGAGTCTCAGTAAGTGTCTGGATCTGGATCCAGGTCGACAGAACCTCAAAATGCGGTTTAGTGAAAGGAACTGGTACAAGAGCAGCTGCCACCCACCCCGGGCGTGTTGGCTTCGCGGGGGGGCGAATGGAGCGCGCGCCCCCCACGCCGAGAGCAGCCTCGGGGCGCGTTCTCCGCACTCCCCCAATCCCCGAGCCCGCGTTCCCGGCCCGCACCCCGGCGGCTCGCCGCTCACCTGGCCGGGGCTCCGCTCACCTGGCCGGGCTCCGCTCACCTGGCCGGGGCTCCGCTCACCTGGCCGGGCTCCGCTCACCTGGCCGGGCTCCGCTCACCTGGCCGGGCTCCGCTCACCTGGCCGGGGCTCCGCTCACCTGGCCGGGCTCCGCTCACCTGGCCGGGCTCCGCTCACCTGGCCGGGCTCCGCTCACCTGGCCGGGGCTCCGCTCACCTGGCCGGGCTCCGCTCACCTGGCCGGGGCTCCGCTCACCTGGCCGGGGCTCCGCTCACCTGGCCGGGGCTCCGCTCACCTGGCCGGGCTCCGCTCACCTGGCCGGGCTCCGCGGCACTGCGCGCTCCCCGCGCGGCGGGTCTCATCGAGCAGCCCGGGCGCTCCCAGCCACCGCCTCCTGCTGGGGCGGGGCCGGGCAGGGCTCCCGGGACCGCCCCCCGTCCCAGCTGCCTCCCTCGGGGCCCCGCGGGGTTCCCGCCTGAGCCACCCGCCCGCTGGCCGAGCCGGGACCCCGAGGCCTGCGGCGCGGGGACGGGGTGCGAGGGCCGCGCTGCGGGGGGCGGGGCGGGAAGGGCGCGGGGCCGTGTCTGTGCCGCCCGGGGTCGCGCTGGGATCCTGGCACGCGGGTGGCTCGGCCAGGCCCCTGGCCCGGCTCTCCTTTCCACACCTTCCTCCGGGCCCAGCCACCTCCTGCCTCCTACCCCACCCCATCCCTTCCCTCCCTCCCGCCTCTCCTTCCTCGCGGCCACTCGTGTCCTTCCTCCCATTGACTGTTTTCCTTGCTCCTCTGTCCATCTGTCCGTTGTCCTGCCTGTCCACGTCCAGCCCCCCGTTCACCCTGCCCGCCATCCGTCAGATGCACCCCAGTATTTCCTCCTCTACACCCACCTATTTACCCTGCCTTCCTTGCAGCCCTCCCCCATGTCTGGGTTCACCCCGTCTGATGCCATCACTCCACGTTTCTCGGGCACTTCTCTGCAGGTCTGTTCCCTGGCACTGGGGACCCAGGTAGATCACCTGCCCCCAGCAATTTCCCCAGCGGCAGCAGCAGAGGGGCAGGCCGTGCAGCAGCTCACCCAGCTGCCAAGATGGAGCTGTGGGAGCACCCTGGGCAGGGCGCCTTGGTCTGAAGAGCCCCATGCAACATGTGAACCTCCTCCGTGGGCAAAGGTGGTGCAGGGAGGAGAAAACCAGAATCGTAGCCAGCACATGCCGGGTGCCAGGTGGCAAGGTCTCGTGCTACATGCCCACACTCTGCTTTAGCCCGTTCCTGAGCCAGTGCAACAGGTGCAAAGAGATGAAAAGGGCCTCAGCGTGGTGGGAAGAGGCCATGGGGTCAGCACTGGTTAAGTCTGGGCTTTGCCCCTTTCTTACTGCGTGTCTTTGGGCCGTTACAAGGCCCAGCCTCTTCATCGTGAACCCGAAATGCCACATATGTTACGGCTGCCGTGTTGAAGGTTGAGGCTAGGAAGGTATATGCAAAATGCTGGGTACAGCACGCGCCCACCGTGCTCCACCAAGGCGGCAGTGATCAGCACTGGGTGAGAGGTGCGGGTTTAAGCCCAGATCCTGGCGTCTCCACTCCACGAACCATGTCTCTCGTCGTTTTTCCTTCCACAAAGCCCAGCCTTTCCTCTCCCACCTGCAGGGCGGGAGTGGTCCTACTCCAGGGCAGCTGGCTGGTGTCTTGCTAGGAGAAGCAGAGTTTGTAACGGAACTGTCATGTGTTGATTGTGCTTCCCTCCATCTGCCCAAACTCTTATGCTGACGTTCTAACCCCCATATCTCAGAAAGTGCCAGAAATGGTCATTGCAGATGTAAAGAGAAGGTCAGATTGGAGCAGGGCCCTGATCAATACAACTGTCTCCTGATATAAAGAGGAAATTTGGGCACAGATGTGCACAGGGAGGGCGTTGTGTGGAGACTGCACTCTGGCTGCCAAAAGCCAAGGAGCTGCTAGAAGCCAAGACAGAAGTGAGGAACAGGCCCTTCCTCGTGCCTGGCTCAGAGGAGCATGACCCTGCTGGCACTCTCTTCTTGGACTTCCAGCCTCCGGCAGGAGATAATTTCTGTTGCTTGACCCACTAGGTTTGTGGTTCTCCATCACGGCAACGCGAGCAAAGTCATCACCCCACCACCATGGGTCACTTTCTGTGTCTGCAGAGGACTCAGAAGGCAGGTGTCTTAAGGCAGAGAGCCAACTAAGATCCACTTAGCAGGACTGTGGTCACTGCTGCCTCCCTGGGTCCAGCGTGGAAACTGAACAAAGCCAGAGCTGGTGGAGCCTTAGAACGCTTTTTTTTTTTCCCTCGCTCATGCATACATTTTTACTTATGTGCACTTCAATGTCATCACCACCCAGCTCAAGATAGAAACATTTCCAGCACTGTGTCCCTCTGCCCGTCCCCCATACGGTAACCCGGTAACCATCACCAACAAAAGTTTCACCTGTTGTTGACCTTCGTGTAAATGGGACTATAGTGTTGTGCTATTGTGTCTGGTGTCTTTTGCCCACCATTGTTTATTAGATTCATGCATCTTGTTGCTACAGCTGTAGCTCATTCTTTTTTTTTTTTAATTAATTTATTTATTTATACAAGCACTGGGTACAGTCAGAAGCTTGGGAGGGCAAGAGAATTCACCAGAGCCAGAGCGGGGAGCAGAGCAGGCAGAAGGACCGAGGTACACTGCTGAGGGGAGCAGCGGGCGGCAGGAGAGGTCTGCGTGTCATGTGGGACCCTCCTCTGGTGGCCGGGGAGCAGCCGGGGATCGAACCGGCGCTGCAGAGGCTGAGGGCAGCTTCGCAACCCAGCGCTCAACCGCTGTGCCACCGGGGAGGCCCTGTAGCTCATTCTTTTCAAATGGGCATCTAGTGTCCACCGTACAACTATCACTATTTGTCTGTTCTAGCAGTGAAGGACATTTAGGTAGTTTCTAGTTTGGGTTTCTTATGAATAACTGCTATAAACTTTCTTGTAGATATTTTATTGAAGATCTCCAAAAGGTACACTTGTTTCTCTTCCAGTGGAACTGCGAGGTCACTGGGAGGGCGTATGTTTCACTTCTGTAGACATTGCCATTCAGTCTTCCAAAGTGGCTGGACCAGCTTATATACCCCCACCTGGGTAATATACGAGAACCCCAAGCTCTGTATCTTGGTGGCTGGTCCTGTTAGCCGTTCTGTTTGGTGCACAGTGGACTCTCACTGTGATTTTATTTAAAGAGTTACTTATTTATGCATATAAGAACTGGGGTACAGGCCAGAGGTGTGGGGGTGGGATGGGGTGAGAGGATTCACCAGAGACAGAGTGGGGAGCAGAACAGGCAGATCCACTGAAATACACTGCTGAGGGGAGCAGTGGGCGAGACAGGAGGGGTCTGCTGCGCCATGTGGGTCACCTCCCTGGCCAGTGAATCCAACTCGTGCTGCAGTGGCTGGCGGTAGATTGATAGCAGTGTCTTTAACCCCTGAGCCACCAGGGAGGCCCCTTGTTGTGAGTTTAATATGCATTTCCTTGATTGTTGAGCACCTTTTTACACTCTTATGTCCTTTTGTACTTACTTGAGTCTTTTGCCTATTTTTTAAAATAGGGATATTTATTGTTTTCTTATCGATTTGGAGTTCTTCATATATTCTGGATATGTCTTTATAATAGTTTTATCTCACCCCAAGCTCTCATGCCTGAGCAGAGTATTCTGTCTGGACTGGGCTCCAGAGCAGACTTTGGCTTGGTTTGGTTGAGCAAGGGTGAGGTGGTGGTTGTGAGGTCGTTGTTTCTGCTTCCTCCAAGATGGACTGACAGTGACTCCTCATCTTGTCCCTGCACCAGGGTAGTGGGAAGCAGGACCAGGGCAGAAACAACTCTACCAGGCGGGGATCTGGACCTGGGCTCCCACCATGAAGATGGATGCTCACTGTTTATTGTGTGTCTGCCACGTGGCAGGTTCTGGGGATCCAGAGGTGGTTAGGACACCAGCCTCATCCTGCAGGAGTTCATGGTCAAGGAAAAGAGTCAGACAAGGAGCAAGGAGGCAAGACTTGCAGTGCTGAGTGCATTAAGTGCTAAGTGCCATCTCTATAAAGAGGGAGTGTGGTCAGGATGCTATGGCGGAGAGACTGGAAGCTCCCAGCTCTTGGTGGGTCCCAAGGACAGCTTCACAGAGCAGCCGATGCCATTTGAGCTGCACCTTGATTGATGAGCAGGAACAGCAGGCAGAGGGTGGCAAGAAGTACATCCCATTGGGGGCTCAGTGACAGTGACAATCTTGTGGAGCAAGAGTAGGGAATGAGGGAGACAGGTCAGGAACATCAGGGTAGACCCATGGGTGGCACAGCCTCCCTCCCTCAACCTCTGGGGAGCTCTGGTGTCCAGGGGCTCCAGCTTTCCAGGGCATCTGCCCCTTGGGGCCACAGTGTGCTCAATGAGTGGTTCTTCATAGGATGGTCTTTCTGTTATTATTTGTGATCCCTTCTCCTAGTTAACTGCTCAGAAAACAGAATGCTGCCTGACCATATGTGGGTGCTCAGAATATGGGGAGTCCATCCCCCCTTACCTGAGAACACTTCTCTAAGAAAGAGCAGTCTTTGGTCTTATGTCGTCTTTCTTCTGGAGTTGGGACCTAGTGAATAGATGAGGGAGATGATGCCCTCGATGCCCAGATGTCTGGGCCTGGCAGGGCAGGAGCTCTTGGAGCAGAAGGGCAGGCACTTCTCAACAGGGGGCCCAGGGTCTGGGTGGACTGCAGCTGCCAGCAGGTGGGAGGGGTGGCTTGAGGGACATACCTGAAGGACTTGGCCCACCGGAGGAAGCTTCTGGTCTTGGTGATCTCCTGGGCCAATCTCCTTAAATCATCTCCTTCAAAGAGTGGCAACGGGGGGTCCTTGAACAGAGGAAATAAAGTTAAATTGTTAGGGGGAAAGGATGTCCTGAGCAAACGCCATACAGGCTTTGTGGACTCCACCCCCACTCCATCAAGACACTGGGAACTACAAATCCCATGATCCCCAAAGGGAAGGTTGCGAGGACCTGAGGGCGGAGTTAAGCAACTATGTTCTCTGTTTGGGTATTTAACCGGCCATGTGGCCAGGGATGGCTCTCTTGGCCATGCGGCACGCTCAGTTTTGCGCCAGCTCAGCGGGTCATTGGGATTCCAGGTCAGCGGAACAGGTAGGATGTATTTACAACCTTACCTCCCTCTTTTTCTCCCTGAGTTATTCATTTCCCCTTCCCTTGTAAATAAACCTTCAATCAACATTTGTGTGTGTGCAGTTTAGCATTCATAAGTCTCCTTTAAGCACACGGGTGAGGACCCACAGGCAGGCAACCCGTTTTATATCAAGGTTGCTCTGTAACAAAATGACTGAGTGGCACCTGAGATCTCAAGAGGAGAACTGTAGAGTTGATGAAGTGCAGCCTCCCACCCAGTGCAGGAAATCTGTGGGCTCAGCTTGCCTGTACCAAGGACAGGGGGAGCTTACCACTTGGTAAGGTGCTCATTTTGCAAATGGGACACTTCGAAATAAGATGTCTGAGATATATTCCCATAACTGCTCTGTGTGTAAAGTTCTTTATGTCTTTTATTTAAGATGCCCAGAGTCAGCGTGAAGTGTGCTCCTGTCTCACTGTTATTCAGTCAAGTATCTAATCAATTCAGCCCTTTCTGTAAAACGGAGCTTCACGGGCATGCTTTGTTCTGACATCAACCAGTGCAACTCCAGAGCCTAAACTTAAAGGTACAAGTTCTCACAATTAGCGGGAGAATCTAAGAAAGACACAAGCTAAGCTGTCCCTGTCCGGGGCAGCAGCCACAATCCCACCCCACATCCAGAACCTGCTCCAAGAATCTGATTTCATAGGTAACTCAATGAGAACCTTCACGATAGCCTTTGTTTTCACGATATCCTGTGTTTAAGGACGGAGGTGAAAATTTGTTACTTTTACTTGCCCTGCGCCTTGTACAATTTGTCCTATTTGTCATCGAAAGAGTTACCTGAACAAAGGAGCCAAGACAAGAGTTCCATTTCAAAAACTATATCCTGCGACAGTGATCCTGGTGTCTGGGGCCATCCCCTGGGGGACCTGGCGCCCTGCACATTATAATGGACAGCACACACTCCCAAAAGGTGTATGTGCATGCATGCGTGCGTGTGTGCATGAATTATCTAGCAAAGGAAGACAGACATGAAGGAGTGAAAGCAAAGAACAGAAAAGCCCAGGTGTCCGGCTCTTACCACCGGCTCTGACTTCAGGCCTACCCCTGAGCCAGCTTTGTGCACCTGCTCCGCAGCACAGTGCTGGCAGGTAGGGGCAACAGGTAATCTACCAGAGCAACAAACGCACACATAGTCGGCGCCCAATGAATGTAAACTGCTCTATTATGAAATACCAACACCCCCAAGCCCTGCCTCTTCCCGGAGCTTGAAGAGAGTCAGCCTGAAAGGAGGCCAGCTGGGGACCACAATCCTTTTCTGTCCATACCCCTGTGTTTTAGGAGAGAAAGGAAGGAAAAGGCCTGGCCGGCTGACTTTATGGCGCCATGTCAACGGGCTGCCCAGGGAGCAGCCCGCCACCTACCCTTTCATCGATGAAGCCCTTGGTCAGCAGGCCGTGGATTTTGGAGAGCATGTCCTCACTGACAGGGCAGTGGTAGCGCCCCCCGGTGAGGGAGGCCAGGCTTCTCAGGAAGTTCACCTCTGCCCTGGGGGAGGAACAGAGGGTGGGGCCAGGCTGAGTGCTGGGTAGGGAAGTCCCCTCGAGGCCCCCTCCCCGGTCCCCTGCGGGGCCCGGGAGGCCACAGCTCGGCCCCTCCTGCCCACCTGCCTGCGCAGCTCAGAGATACGGTGTGCACCTTCACGTCTCTCTTCTCCGTGAGTCTTCCCACTTCACTGAGGATAAGGCTGCAGCTCGTGTCTGGCTTCCCGTCGGTCAGGAGGTACAGTCCTTCTACATCATGGAAGCTGAAAGCTTTCTGCAAGGGCACCGGAGTGTGCGGGGCTTAGGAGCAGGGGCAACAGCAACTGCTTTGTGCCCCCGAGGTAAACGTATCCCATTGGATCCCAGACTTGTCCGTTAAGGAGGAGAGTTTTCCCTTCCAGCCTAGACAAACTGAGGAAAGTGCTGGAGTTCATGAAAAAGAGCACAGCCCTTCCTGGCCGGTTAAGCCCAAGCAAGTCACTTACCCTCCAGCCTCTGCATCTTCATCTACAAAGCTAGAGTGACTGGGTTGTTGGGTGAAATATGGGAAATTTGAAAGTGCGCTGAGTAAATCTGAAGCGTCATGCCCCCACGGGACAGAGGGCCACGCTGTGTCTGCACGGCTACCAGGCTGGGCTGGGGTGGGACTTGCCAGCAGGGCTTGCAGGACGGACGTGCTCCCCTGAGCATGCAGGTGGGTCACCCACTGCATGGCCTGATGACACGCTTCCTCTGTGGTCTCCACCAGCGAGTCCCGCCAGGGCTGTAGGCCCTCCGCAAAGCTGAGCAGGTTAAAGCTGGGGAGGGGGGAGGACAGTGGAAGGCAACAGACAGGTTAGAACACATTAGTCCTGGTGAGAGCTGATCACCACAGAGACCTGTCAGAGGTGAGCCCCGGGGCCCCAGGGAAGAGAGACCGCCTGAGAATGAGAAGGTGCACATAGAAGATTCTAGATGCAGGGCCTCCCCAGTGGCGCAGCGGTTGAGTGCTGGGCGTGAAGCTGCCCGCAGCCTCTGCAGCGCTGGTTCGATCCCTAACTACCGGTGAGGGTCCCACATGGCATGCAGACCTCTCCTCCCACGACTGCTGCTCCCCTCAGCAGTGTATTTCGTCAGTCTGCCTGTTCTGTTCCCCGCTCTGGCTCTGGTGAATCCTCTCACCCTCCTGCGCTTCTGACTATACCCAGTGCTTGTATAAATAAACAAATAAATCTTAAAAAAAAAAAAAAAGAAGATTCTAGATGCAGACAGAACAGGTCGAAATGCTACCTCAGTCACTGACTGGTCATGTGATCTTGGGCAAATAATTTAACCTAAGTCCTAATATCTTTTCCTGGAAAATTGAGAGACTACCTCATAGGGTCATTGGGAGGATTGAAAGAAATTGTGTATGTAAGTCGTGTTAATACAGAGAAAGGGCTTGATAAATGATTATTCTTATTAATATCAGGGCAAGAATGAATCACAACCTGGACCAGAGTGCCCTGTGTCCCCCTCGGTGGTGAGAACAAGCCCCCGGCCCCTCCTCCACCAAGTTCAGCTGAAATCTACAATTCAAGGTCGCATGGCAGGTCTATGGATCTGCTTGCAGTTGACCCTGGGCCTGATGTGGACTTCTAAAAACTGCTTTATCTGCAGCAGAGCCGAGAACAGTGTTCTTTTTTGCACAAATAAGTTATTCAGAAAAGCATTTAGGAAATGTTCAGGCCCTCCAGAACTGTGAGGAGGCAGAGCCCTAGGCTAGGAAGCCCCAGGATCTAATCTACTCCTTTGACTCCCCCAGCCCCACCCAACTCCACCCCTTACCTGCTGCACTGCTTCCGCAGCTGTTCCCAAATCAGCAGAATCAGCTCTGTCTTCACCTGCTGCAGGTGGGGGCCCATGGACCCTGATGTGTCCAGCACAATGCACACTTTGCTCTCCAATACGGTGCCAAACAGACGGCGACTGCCTGCTCAGAGGAGGGTGGGGCAGAGGCAGGGAAGCATGAGGGTCCCTCCTGCTGGGGCTTTTCCTCAACGTGGCTATCAAATACCAAATACGGGGAGATGGTTCTTGTCATGGTGTTGGAGGAGTCGATTGTCCCAGGGCAGAGCCCGTCAGTGGTCGGGGCTTGGGGAGACTAGAGCTCCAGCTGTGGCTAAGCCTGTGATCATTTGCACAGCAATTATAATCCCCCTGGGCTGGAGTTTCGTCAGCTCTAAAGATAAGAGATCACACTAAATGTGTCACTGTCTTAATTGAGTCTGGAAAGGATATTAGAGAGCTTAGAGTCCTTCAACTGGCCAGGAGATCAAGTGTGTGTCCCCCTGTGCCTGACGCGGTGATAAACACAATGGCAAAGGAGAGAGAGGACATCTGTCCTCACAGAGCTTACCAAGGGGCTGGGAAGACAGATGGTAACCGAGTTACAGCTCTGCTGAGGGTTATGACGTGTCATGGGGGAGATTCTGAATTAGCTGGATGTGAGGTGGGGAACAGACACGCTATACCTGAAGAACGAGCAGCAGCCACCCAAGGAAAGAGGGAACAGCTTTGACAAGGCTCTGAGAGGGGGAGAAGAACCTGGCCTGCTTGGGGGAATTAAAGACACTGAAATGGAGAGACTCCCGGGAAGAGGGAACGAGATCAAGCTGGAAAGACTATGAAAGGATTTGGGATTTATCCCAAGGGAAAACGGAGAGGACCAGAGACTTGCAGTGATGGGAGCAACATTCACACCCACGTCCTTTTATCCGTGCTTGATCCCAGCTGCTGCTAAACCCGGCCCTTCTGGCTCCGCAAGGCTACACAGAGTTAGCACAGTATGATGAGCTATGAATATTAATAAAGGGACTCGCAACTAAAATTGGCCAGGAAGGCCTGTAGAGGGCGCTCTCACACAGTAGCACACCCCATCATTTGTAGGCACTTGCCTTCCTCTGGATGCCTCAGCAGGAAGGCGCATACCTGACCCCTCTGAACAGGAAGGCGTCTGCCTGCTGCCCCAAAGGCAGGCCCCTCCCGCCCAGCAACATCTCTACCAATGAGGACTGCCACAGGCCTGCCAATGAGCACCCGCCTCACCTCCCACTCTCCCTGTCTCCCACTTTCCCCTAGAACAGCCCCTCTCCACTCTCCCCTACACCCTGGATTTACCTGCCATCAGTCAGAGCCTACATTTCCCAAATTGCCATTCCTCTCACTGTTCCAAACAAACTCATTTCTGCTAGTGAAATAACTGGCTGCTTTGATTTAAAGTGAGAAGGAACACTTTCTATGATGTGCCATCATACTTGAACTTGGGGGGCCTCATTGGAGGCAGTAGTGGAAAAACCCCTGCAACATGGAACGTGACTTGGGAATGCAGGGAGCACACCTTGGCTTGTCACCTATGCCTGCAGCGTGCAGCCCCCCCACCAGGGGCTTTGGACAGTGGCCCTCATTCCTGTACCCCAGAGCCTGTGGACTGTTTATGCCATAGTCTACTGCAGAGAACTGGATCTAACCGGATCCAATGCCCAGGAACCCAGTGGTCCAACAGAGAGCTCCATAAAAGCTCCCTCTCTCCTTCTTCCTCCTATTTTTCCAGGGTCCCTCCAGGTCCCAAAGCCCAAACACCCTCCCCCCCAGTTGGAGCTCTCTGCTTAGCCCCTGGGACTTAATGCTCTAGACCTTTCCATCAACCCCAGCCCTCCCTCGCACGGGATGTGAGTCATCCCTGTGGACCAGTTCTATTGGTCCCCAAAATACTAAGTGGAGCCCTTGAAGGTGAGCCTCTCAGTCACAGGCAGGAGGACGAGGCCTGGAAGATGACCCTGCAGGGCAACCCTGGACAGGAGCTCTCCCTCTGGTGCTCTTTGACCCCTGTTCTGCCTCCTTGTTGTCCAACATCTTGCCTGGCCTCTGAACCCAGAAGCCTGTTGCGCATGGATGACCTTCCTGGCTTCCTCTCTGCCCTGAGAGTTTGTGAATGTCTGGCCTGGAAGTTCCGACCCTGGGCACCCTGGGGCTGACCCTCCATCCCCCCTCGTCCTCTGCTGGCTCACCAGACAACAGCCACTGCAGCCGCTGGACATAACGTCTCATCACCTTCTCCAGGCACGCGATGTAAGCTTCCATTTCCCTGGGCGTCCACTGCACGTGCTTCACTACGCCCTGGAGGACGGTGTGCGAAGGCAAAACTTCCCTTGTTAGCTGTCTCTTCGTATCCCCGGCACCCCTAAAACACTTTCACTCATTGCGGTTCATAATTTCCAAAACATCTGTGAGGCATACAATCTTGTAGGTGTAAAAATGTTTTTCTTTTATCGACTACTGGATTTATGGTCTAGGAAGGAGCATGGGAATCGAGATGATGGTTTAGTGGCAGACATAGTCGCTATGATTTTAAAAAACGTAGTATGTCTAAATTTTAAAATCGAGAACGCTTAATGGAAGGATGGGCGCCCCACGCATTTCAAACTAAAGGATGACCTTGGACGGACAGTGGCGCAGCAGGATAAAATTATCATAAACCTCTTCTGGTGGCTGATTTTGAATTTCGTAGCTATTTTTAGCTTTCTGATTTTCCCTAATGTTGAATAAAAGGCAAGGAGAGAAAAGAGGATTCGATTTTCATTTTGGGACTAACTTTTGAACTAACTTTACTTGCTCCCGTGTCAGAGCGATGAAAAAACGACTAGCCCCAAACTAGAAAATAAAGAGCCCCTTCACCCTGTATCATCATCCCTGTCCCCCACCAGCCTCCAGAACTGGCAGAAGACCAGAGTCTCCCCTGGGTTTTTTGTTTTCGGGTTTTTGTTTTTTTTTTTTTGTGACTACTTTGTTCTCACCAGTGGTTTCTAATTCTCATGCCAATGGGCCTTTCTAACTCTGGAATGCGGTGTCAGCCCATGGCTGACATTCCTTTTTCCAACGGGATTCTGAACCTTCTGGTTCTTGAGCTGTCCCCATTTGGGGGTGGGGTTCTTAAAAGGAAGAATAGAAGCCACATGCACACATTCACATTCTCCCCTGCACTCTGCCACGTGTGACAAAGAAGCAGCAAGAGTTAGGGAAGAGAGAAAAAAACAATAACAAAACCCACGGCTTACATTGATCTCTATGCTGGGCCAGACACTGCAGTATTTGGTTGGTGCTGACCTCTGGCCTGAGTTTTGATGCGTGCAATTGGGGCCGATGTATCTGGAGATCCCCAGCTTCAGTTTCTTTAGTCCATATTTTGCTATCCACTTTAGAATAAAGGAAAAAACTATTATTTTGGGTAACTGAATGCTTATCTCACTCATGGATGAAAACCTCATGCTTGAAATCTGTTCATGTTGGTAATGTGGGTTCCTAGGTTCGTACTAAGAACACCCATCACATGTGGGTTCCTTCCCTGGGGAGAGATGCACAAGAAGGGCAGGAAACAGAGAACCACATTCATTGAGTACCTGCCACTCCCCAGTCTTGTGGACAGTGTCACCTCCCCAATATTCATTTCAACCCCTCCCACAAAATTTGAGTGGAAAGCCCTGATTGGTCTAAAGTTCAGATTCTAAACCAATCGGGATAATCTCAGTCTCCTTGTCATGATGACAAGAAGGTACAAGAAAAGGCAGGCTCATAGCCTCTGGTACTGGCCCGACAGACGCAAGCTCAGGTGCTCCTGAATGGCTTTGGGAAGAAAGATATTCTAACTTCTAGATATGAGCTTCTGGAGATGCCTCTATCGCTTGCAACCAAAAGCATCTGACACCAAAAAGTACATTAAGCAAAATGTACTTGTATTATTCATCAATCCCAAGAGATGGTATAATTGCCTTCATTTTACAAACAAAGGTATTGAGAGTGAGTGTAGTTAAGTGACTTGCCCAGGGTCACCAAGCTAGGAAGCTTCACCTGGATTTGGAACCTAAGCCTATTGAACCCACATTAGGTGGTCATTCTGAATAGGTTTGTCCTCACTTCCAAATAGGCCCACTCTCCTAGAGTGACATATAATGGGACAGATAATGGTTGGTGGAAGGAATTGGTGGCTTTTGCTGGTTGCACACAACTTCATACCTCTTGACTTGAGCAGATCGTGTCTTTTTTGGGCAACTCAACAGAAGAGCTAGTTCTTCTTATGCGCCTTCCTTGAGGGTACCTCTTGTACACTGACCCTGGGAGCGACAGAGCAAGGTTACCTTGTGCACCCTCTACCGCGCCCTTTTCTAGTTAATTTCTCTACCAATCAAGTCAAGGAATTGGAAAATTCCTTAGATGCAACCAGTTGCATCTGAGTGGCTGTTAGGTAGATCAGGGGAAGGGTCTTGAAATCTCCCTTCTCACATATCAATGAGCTTCTCCTGCGACTTGCACCATGTCAGAGCCATCAGTCAGGCTGCCTGGGAAGGCGTCTCCACTCCCTTCCAATCAGCTGGGAGATGAAGACATTGGCCCTAGTGGTTGGAGTGGGAAGTACCATGCTCAGGAATCTCCAGAGATTTTCAGTGTTGACTCTCGTTCTCTCACCCTGTCAAGAATTTGCATGTCCCGTTCCCTGGACTGGGAGAGTTGAGTGGTTTGAAGCTAAGCCTGCCTGGAGGCACTGCTGCCTGTGTCCTGGGACAGTTGGAGGGTGTCCCTCCCACAGGGCCTGCTGACTTTACAGTTCCATAGGACCAAGGGCAGTCAGACATTTGTGCAGCTTCCAACTTACCCACATTATTCCCTGTCTCTGTATAAAACAGGGAGAGAGATGTCTTTGCTTCCCTGGATTTGTTCTTCCTCCTCTGTCCTGCAGTCCCTCCTTTCTCTGACTGGGCAGCAACTAGAGGACATTGGCCAGTTGACCAGAGTAAATGCTCTCTGTGCCATCTCACTTGTCCCCACAGACCCCCAGTTTGCAGATGAGGCAAGTGGGACTCAGTGTCAGTTAGAAGGAGAGTGAAGACTCCACAGGGGTCTTGAGAATCCAGAGCCCCACTCGGAACCATTCTGCTATGTCTTTGTCGTTAATAAGATACACGATCTTAGATTTTCTAAGGAAAAAGCACTTTCATAAAAATATGCATGCCTGGTCATAGTCAATAAAATGGGAATTAATAAATTAACTCACAAAGGACTGATTGTTGTAAGCTTTAAAGCAACTATTTTAGCAGAAGGGCCAACAGTAGTTATATCATTATTGTTCCATGCCTCCCCCCTCCCCTGGCCTGACCGCGGCCACACCTTACCTGGAGGGGTGTCTGCTTTGCCGCTGACTGGACGCCATGCCAAGCCCTTCGAGGGGGTGCACTTCTCTCTGTCAGGGTCATCTTTCACGCTCTAGAAAAGAGGCAGTCTTTCCCATCAGTGGCCTGTTATCTGTGGTGGGCTGGACCCTGGTCACCCCAGCCTCAACCTATCAATTAGGAGCCCTTGAGGGGAGGGGCCAAGGGAAGGGCCTCAGATATGTTTGCTCCTCTCCTGCAGCAGATTCAGAGGAGGCTGGATTTTGACGTGAAATATGTATATGTGTGTGTGAGAGAGAGAATGTGTGGTACAAGAGAGAAGTCATGCTAGAGCAGCTACGGGGATTTGCCAGAACTTTCTTCATCAGTTACCCAACACTCTTCCTGCTGGGTTGGGGTTTCTGGGACACTGGCATGACAAGCAACCATCAAGGTGACTTCCGTGCCCCATTGGGCACCTCAGCTTTGAGTTAGGATTTCCTCCATTACTGGGCACAGCTGGAATGTGGTGATAGTTACACAGGGTCACCCTGGACTGAACTGAGGAGAACTCTGGGTGAGCTGCCATTCCAGGCCACCCCACCCACCAAGCCCTGGTTTCAGGAGGCTGCTAGAAGCCGTGGCAAGATCTATGCCCCCTACACTGAATCAGCTCAGGCCCAAGAGGCAGATCCAGGATGGCAGAGTGTCACCCCAGAATTTGGGCAGGCAGGAGAGGGCAATGTTCTGGGCTGACTCCTAAAACTTTGTTCTTTGAATGAGGGCAGTGGCTGTGTGGAATCTTCTGGAAATATGGCCCACTGGATAGGAGTAAGTCACTCAAAAAAATGTGCTGTGTTCACAGGATCTGTCAGAGTAAAATGTTGAAGGGCTCACAGATCTTATTGCCTCTTCTAGTCACAAGGACAGTGGAGTCTGGAACCTTCCCCCAGTCACACCTCTAGAGGCCCCTCCTCATTTCTGAGGTGGGGGCTCTGTCACACAGAGCAGGCCGTGATGGGGTAGGCCCCTTGCAGGCAAAGCCCATCCTCGCTGCTCCCAGGTGCCTGCTAAGCCTCGGGCAGCAGCAGCAAAAGCCCGATAGACATCCCTCTCCTCTAAGGCCTAGCCCCAAGAGACCCTCCAGGTTAAGGCCTCCTGCCCTACAGCCACTGTGAGTGCCACTCTGTGGAGTCCTTAATATACACTGGGTGCAAAGTGGGGCCAGATGGGCAGGGCCACAGGTGGGTGCAGGACACAGTACAGGAGCCCCAGAGCTGAGAAGCAGGTCTCCTAGGCCACCCGCAGGACACTCATCACTGAGGAGCCTGGCCCATCCCTGCTGGCCGTGGTGCCCGGGGGCCTGGCCTCGGCCATTTCAAGAATAAGGAAAGCCAGAGACACGGTGGAAACAAAATTCTGTGCGTGTTATCAGGGAGGGGAATCAAACCACTCTGGTCACCGAGGGGGCTGTGGGCTTGGGAGGATGGGCTCTCTTGGGCTGATTTCTTTGCTTGAGTATCTTCAGCGTTTCTTTCTGGATGGTTGCACTTCCCAGTTCTTTTCCAGACTGGTTCTTCAGAGAGGACACTAGTAAGGCACACTGCAGTGGGGATCAGGAGGGTTAGCACAGCCAGCCGTGGTGTGCCTCCCAGCAGGGTGTGCATGCACACACCACACACACACACACATACACACCAGGAAAGACTGGGTCTGCTGGGGCCCCTGGACTCTTCTTTCTGTCCCTAGAATACCTCCCAGGTCGGGTCAATGCCTCCTTAAACGTACACATGTCCATTCCCTCATTTCCGTTTTCATGCTCCTAGTGGCCACCCGGCAGCACTGATACAGAACCAGTACGGTCACTTGGCCTGCACAGGATGTACCTTCTGGGAGTAGTTGAGAGCCTTTTCCAGCTCAGATGTGACAGCGCTGATGTCATCGCTTTCGAAAATGCCTGGAAACAGAAGCACTGTGAGCGTGGGGGAGGGGCGTGGGTGCCGGCCAGCGTCCCTGTAGGCAGACAGGAGGGCGTAGGGAAGTGATCCGAGCCGGAGGGGTCTCACTGGGCTGAGATGACCACACTGTCCACCGGTGGGGGGGACGGGCAGGTACAGTGAGGTCTCCAGCAGCGAGGTGCGGGCCTAGAACACAGTGCTCAGGTAGCAAATCAAGAGCTCTCACCACGGGGAGGGCAGGCTAGGACCAAAGGTCCTGCTGTTTCGGGGAACACGCAGACCCACTTGGTGTTAGTTAGTGGCCAATAACTGTGAATGTTGGTGACTCATTTGACAGGAATGGGAGTGGGATAATTAAGAAGACAGACTCCGAAGCTGGCCTGCAACTCCCGTCCACCACCTACTGCCAACAGGCTTTGGGCCTCTTGTCTTAGCTCCCCTGTTTGTAAAAAGGGGGTAATAATAACCTACTCATGGAGTTATTGTGAAGAATGAGTCATAATACATGTCAATGCTTAGAACCATGTGTGGCACCTAATAGCCCCTCTGTAAGTATCTGCTTGTATTAGTAACAACCCCCACAAGAGCTTAGATGTTTATGCACAGCATTTTTCATGGGCAGAGCTGGGGAGGAGGGCTCCAGAGTTCCAGCTGCAGGACACCCCTAGCTCAAAGGTCCTTGTCCCTGGGGCCCTCCCTTCATCTGCTGATCAGGGATTGGAATGCACTTGTGTGTCCTAAGCCTCCATCTGTCTCATATGACTGTCATGATTTTGCCTTATCTGCATATCATTATTTACTGAATATTTATTTTTATTCAATTTCCTTCAAAGTAGATATGTATTTTAAAAATTGAAAACAAGTGACATATAACATTATATAAGTTTCAGATGTACAACATCATGTTTTGACATTTGTATATCTTGTGGAATCAGCACCACAATGTCTAATTAATGTCCTGAAAAGTATATTAAAAAAGAAAATTTATGTCACTGCTGACAATGGAGAGTTAGCATTTAAAAAATTGAAATGCTAAACGAGCATGTAACTACTTAGGGGAGGAAAAATATTTTCCTCTACCCTCTTAGATTCTCCAGCTGAGGCTTTGAAAATTAAACTGAGAAAGGACAGATTAGTAAGAGAAAAGCAAATAGATTTATTAATACAGGCAGCTGTGGGAGAGACTCAGCGTGAGTATCTAGACAGGCATGTAATTACTATTTTTTTAATGTTTATTTTATTTATATCTATATATTTAATTTTTTTTGCATAGAAAAATTGGAGTATAGGCAGAGGTGTGAGGGGTGAGAGGACTTACTAGAGACAGAGCAGGGAGCAGAACAGGAGGATTGACTGAAATACACTGCTGAGGGGAGCAGCGGGCGAGACAGGAGAGGTCTGCTGTGCCATGTAGGTTAGCTCCCTGGCCAGGGATCGAACTCAGGCCACAGCAGTGATAGTGCTGAGACTTAACCCCTAGGCCACCAGGGAAGCCCCCTGGATTGGCATGTTAGAACTCTGAGCATAAATGGCATTTTAACAAAGAACAATACATTTGTAGAGAAGTAATAAGACAAAAAAGGTTATTAGGGAAGGTAAATACATGAAGGACTTAATGGGAGATAAGGGTGGTCTTAGTAGGGTTTGTTATGTAAATATCCCTCATTGCTTGACTGATAACAGTCCAGAGTTGTCTCTTCTGATTAAGAATCATCTCTCTCTCCCAGGCATAGGAGAGGAGGCATCCTTACAAAAGAAAATCTATGCCCTGCTTTTAGGCAAATAGGGGTGGGCGGGGAGCAAGGGGACAGAGAATTCTTGGCTTTTGCTGTTTCTCAGTTGTCTTCAGTTTCAAAGTAATCCTTACGCCAAAGCGGCATATTTCGGGGTAGCATATCCTGATCCCCAACAACTATCTCCATAAAAATAGCGCTGTACCATGTTCAATGCACAGCTCTTGCCAACCACCTGCTGTGAACACCACCTTCTGGAAAAGACTGAACTAGTAGACTTTTGGGTCCCTTCCAGCTCTGACTTTCTAAAAAAATATTTTTAAGTACTTTTACTTTTCTTTCTTTTCTACTTTAAAAAATGGTGGTACGGCCTCCCTCGTGGTGCAACAGGTTGAGCACAGCAATGTGAGGCTGTCGGCAGCTCTGCAGCTCGGGTTCGATTCCCGGCCCACCAAGGAGATTCCCACATGGCACATCAGACCTCTCCTATCCCACCCGCTGCTCCCCTTGTAACAGGGTGGTCCCCAGGAAAGGGGGAGGTTCCCTTTCCCACCCAAGGGAGGGTGGAGCTGAGCAGGGAGAGGAGAAGCTGCAGAAGAGACTGAGGAAGGAAGCAGGATGGAGCCAGGAGACCTGGAAGAGGCACATGGAGCCTAGAGACACGTAAAGAAACTGCGCTTGTCTTTTGGTCGTGGACTGGGTGACACAGATGTGGGTGATACCCGTGGGGAGGTGACAATGGCAGCTTTTATCTTGATTTTGATTTTGCTCTTTTCCTTCAGGGCTTGTCTGGTTGTTTCTGACCCTTTTCTGTGGGTCCCCACTGGAAGATGCTTTAGACTTGTGGCAGGCTTTGGGGCCTTGTTCTGGGCCGATCCCATATGACTTTTACCCATATGGACTTTTACCCACGAGGGGACGGGTAACTTTGGGTGCTTCATTTAGAAACTAGACTCTTTGCCTTTCCTGTATTGTTTCCTAGTTGTATTAAAGTTCCTTCCCATTAAAGTCTCATATGTTTTGTGTTGATGCAGCGGATGGCAGAACCCATTTAAAATAGGCAGGTTTGCGGGGTTTGGGCTGCCCCTCTCCCTGCCCTATAACACCCTCAGCAGTGTATTTCATCAGTCTGCCTGTTCTGTTCCCCATTCTGTCTCTGGTGAATCCTCTCACCCTCCTGTGCCTCTGGCCTATACCACAGCTCTTGTATAAAAATAAATAAATCTTTAAAAAAAAATGGTGGTAAGTATACAAACCACAACGTCGACCATTTTAATCATTTTTGAAGTGGTCAGCCCTGTGGCATGAAGTCCATTCACACTGTTGCGCGGCCATCACCACCACCCATCTCCAAAGCAGTAGTGATTTTTATACACCGCTTTTCTGGAATAATCTCTGCACAGGGGGACATGTCAGTACTGAGACTACCTACTGGAACGAAAAGAAGGAGGAGGGCCTGGCCAACGTACCTGTGTCTCCAAACCAGTGGAAGCGGCCACCAGCAGTCTGGGTGACCTCCCTGTAGGCGGCAGCCGTGTCGGTGCGGCTGGCATAGCAGGCGGGCAGCATGGTGTCCATCTGTGGCTCACCCACGTAGAAGAGACATACGTTCAGCTGGAGGTCACAGCCCTCGCAGGCCTCAGCCATGTAGGCGCTGATCGTGGGCTGTGAGGGGAGAGAGGGCAGGGAGGACCCACAGGTGAGGGTGCTCAGCTGCAGGTCACGGGACAGTGCAGCCTCATCACCTTTCTTGAGGACTCACCTTGCACTTGGTCTAGTACTTGGCACTGAGGCCAGAAAGAATGAGCCTGGCCAGTCTCTCCTTGACTCTTAATAGGGTCTGATGGATGGGTCTGATGGATGCGACCCAGGGCCCTGTGGCATCAAGTGTGACTATCGCCCAGATATCTCTTGGGAATTTGTTAGAAGTGCAGACTCTCGGGGAACCCCTGGGGCCCCCAACTTGGAATCAGGATCTGCATTTTAACAGTGGCCTTGGTGATCTGCACATTCGTTCGAGACACTCTGCAAACTCATTCTGGAGAGGCCAGTGGCCACACGTACCTGGGGGAGGGGTGGGGTCCCAAAAGGTCTACTCACCATGTCCTGGTCGGGGATGCCCCCCGTGAACAGGTAGATGCCCTGAGACTGGTGTTTGTCTTTGTCCTTGAAGTCCACTTCCACTGCCTTCCGCAGGGCGCCGAGGACGTTCCTGCTGCCGTGACACCGCAGGGTCAGGGCCCACCTGGAGGCAGGGAGACCCGAGCTGAGGGAGGCCGTGGTGAGGCCCCGGAGGGGGTGTAGGGGGTAGGAAGCAGTTGTTTTCCCACTTATGCCCTTGTGTGTCGGGGGCAGGGATTCTAGAGAACTACTTCCTGGTGGGCAGGGGAGCAGAGAAGATGGCACCACAGAGCAGCCTCAGACTAGGGAGGCCGCCTTTGTTGCCACCTACCGCCAGGCACTTTGTAAGCTGCTGTGGTTCACGGCAACCAGCTCCGGGCTCCAACTTTCAATTGTGCTTCCAAACCTTGGAGAAGGAGAGAGGCTTGTTCTGAGGCAGGATACATGCGCTACCTCTTTGGCCTTGCCAGGCTGGTAAGGGGGGCAACATTTTGATTACCACCCATGTTAGGAAGGCACAGGCCACACCATCACCAGCACTAGGCATGGCCGATCTTTTCAATATTTGCCACACTGAATTGCAAACAAATGTTGTCATATCCATGAGCTCTAGGCCCTGATTGAACGATTCCTCATTCTGTTAGGGGGAAAAGGATGTCCCAAAGCTAATTCCATACAGGCTTTGGGGACTCCACCCCCACCCCAGGTCAAAGCCAAAGACACTGGGAACTCCAAACCCCATCACCACCAAAGGGAAGGTGGCTGGGACCTGAGGGTGGGGTTAAGCAGCCAGGTGGATATAAAAGGCAGACACTGGGCTTTGGAGGGGCCCCCATTTTTGGCTCTCCGCCAGCTCACAGCGTCCCGCCAGCTCTGAGAGTGACTTTGGGTTTCCAGGTCGGTGGATCGGGTAGGACGCATTAAAGACTTTATTTCCCTATTTTCTCCCTGAGTTGTACATTTTCCTTATTTCCTTTTCTCTTGTAAATAAACCTTTTATTAACCTTTTGTGTGTGTCTGTAGTAGAGTATTCATAAGTCCCTTTAAAGCGCGCGGGTGAGGACCCACAGCCAGGAACCTGTTTAATATCGGGGTTGCTCTGTAACAATTCTTCCTCTTCCTTCTCTGCCTCCGCAGGACCTGTTTCTTCCCAAGCCCCTCCCCCACCCCGACCTCCCAGCACCATTTCCCTCCAGCTGTCCTCCCCTGAGTTCCTTCGGTGGTGGTTTGCTTCCTCAGCCCACCCCCCCAAGGTCATTGCCTCCCAAGTTCTGTCTGGGTGGTCTTCCCACACCCTTTCTCATCTCCACAGGTGAGACTCACACCCTCTCTGTTTTCAACCACATAGTGGAAATGTCAGTGGCTCACGAACTCTGACTTGCTGGCTAGAACCCTTCACTGGAGCTCCAGAGTCCATCTCTTAAGAATCTCAAACTCTACACATTTAAAACCATCTTCCACCTCCAAGATCTGCCCCACCTGGCACACCTGCTCTTCAGCAGCCCCTCATGCCGACAGTCCTCCACCGCATCCTGCAGTTTCTGACCCAGCACTTGTCACACAAATCCCTTGCTTGCATCCCTATGGCCTTCACGCAAGCCCATCTCAGGAAGTCCAGCCAGATATTTCCCTCCTGGTTACACCCCTTCAATTCATCCTTCACATTCTTGCGTAAAATTTCAGGAAGCAACTCTTGATTCAAAGCCAGAGCTGCCAGATTGGGCACTTCTCTGCCTACAGTGTCCCTCTCTACAGCTGCCAGGCAAGCGGACCTCATCCTAGAAATCCAAGCTTGTGTTTTTTTGTTTTTTTTTTTTTAACCTTGCTTAACATCCTTCCATGCCCTGTAGTTAAAAGCTTCTGAGCGAGGCTTATAGAAATCCTCCACCCTTTTATTTTTGGTCATGTACAATCTCCCTCTCTCACCCCAAGTCTACAATGAACTGAAGTTCTGTCATACCTCACATACCTCACACCTCTGTACCTTTGCTCGTGCTGTTCCTTGTACCTGGAATGCCCTTCCTCCCTGATGGTCCGCCATCCCCATGTGCTAAGAAACTCCTACTCATTTGTTAAGACCCAGCTAAGGGTCACTTCCTCTACAGCGATTGCCAGACCTCACTCTATAGGATAGACCAATCCTGAAGGACTGCCCCCTGAAGTCCCAATCCTGTCCTATCTCTATAGAAAACTCTTCTGTCTTGACAGGCCGGGCTCCCAGCACCAAGCCACATGTCCCTTGAGGGCAGGTATTACGTGCATTCCTGTCCACACCCCTAGTGCCTACAACAGTGCCTGGCACGTGGCCACTTTCAATAAAAGTTTGTTGAATGAGTGAAAATATTGTCTCAAATGGTTCCCTAAGCCCCTTTTTTTCTATGGAATTTTTTAGTATAAACTTAGGTTCTAGGATCGGCTAATATATAATATTAACTGCTGACTTACTAGGTTTAGAACACTTCCCATTCGATATGGGATTATGCCAAAATGTATACTCAAGTGGGTTCCTCCTTCTTCTTCCCTGTCATTAAAATGGTATGCAGCTAAAAGAGTATATAACTGCACTTAAATTATATGTAACTATACATTTAAATTACATATAATTATATATGATGATATATATCTAAGTTATAAATAGTTACCTACATTCTACCTAGTTCAAACATACAGTTATGTATAAAATTTAAATTTACAGGTAAATAGAATTTATATATAAAATATTTATATTTTAAAATCTAAAATGCAAAATATATATTTCAAATGTTTTTCTGTTTTAAATTTATATATAAAACATATGTAACTTTATATTGTGGTTACAGATGATAGTTTTATGTTTGATTTAAATATATATAGTTATATATAGTTTTATAGATGCACGTTCTTTAATTACATATAGGTATATATAATTAAAAATTTTCATTGGAATCCTAAATGTTTGAGATATTGTGGTTTGCAAGACTAGCTGGGAATGAAGGCTGGGGCATGCCTGGGGACCTTCTTTTTCTCTTCTGTGTTTATCAGTTTCGAAGCCAAATGGGTCAAAGGGCTGAGTTACTTTATCCTGGATGATCAAGCAGTGTGTTTGGGGGCGGCTGATCACCCTCGCCCCAGGGGGACTGTCCGGCAACCATTTAATTATTCAATGCCCCAAACAAGATCATTCAGATCAGATAAAACGATGGCCACCCTAGGCTGCCGTGTGTCTAGAACATCTTGTCGACCAGCTGCCTGCCAGAAGCCTTGGCCCAGCCATGACCTCCAAACACGCACGACCTCCCCTCGCCGCCCCCCGCGGGTATCATACGCGATGATGTTGAAGCAGTCCTTGTTGGACAACTGCTCCTCCAGCAGCAGTCGCAGCGAGTGTTGGATATGAATAATGTACATGGAATTTGTCGCAGAGATATCGAGCAGTATAATCACCCTATAAAGAAACACAAGCTTTAAGAGGCGAACCAAATCTCTCAGATAATGTTTATTTTGTTCCATTTTACTCTTTAAAGTATTTTCCAGGGAAATTTTGCATGCCAAATTCAAAGCTTGTCCAAACCTCCTTTGTGGTTTGAGGTCAGCAGAGGTTGGTTTACAACAGTAGACTGAGGGGGTTGGGAACCCTCTGGCCCAGGAGGCCCTATGATGGTGTGGGTGGCTTAAGGGACAGGGGCTGCGCATAATGATTTCCACACACTTCCAAGTTTTAAAGCACCAGCAGTCACTATTACTGTAGGTGGGGGTCTCTGAAGGGAAGACAGAAATAAGGTAAGTCAGATGGAGAATTAGGCATATCTGGGCCTCTGGGGAAATTTTTGGATCCTTTTGACTCTTCTCTTTGTTGTAAGCTCTTTAGCCCTATTTGGCCTTTTTTCACTAGTTCAGGTTTTATCTTCCCATCTCTTCCCTCTTTTCTCATTTTGAGATGATGAGTAGCAAAAGAAAATCAACTGAATTTAGAGTCAGAAGACCTGAGTTCAAGTCTTCCTTCCTGTGTGACCTTAGGCAAGTCACAAAGCCTCTCTGATCCTTGATATATCCAATTCTAAACCATTGATAAGAAGACTCCTCACAGGGTTGTACTGAAAATTATGTGATATAATAGTGCAATACTTTGTAAGTGGCAATACATCACAAACAGGTGTGCAATGTTAGAATGGCTGTAACAGCTACCTATTTTTTTTTTCCCTACTTAGTATCTCTTACCTCTTCTGGCAATAGCATCCTGATTTTTCCTTTGGGAAACATTTGTGCTTCTATCAGTCCATTTAAGTTGGATGGAACTGGCTACCCCTCAAGCTTTAAGAGTGGGTTTTTGGCCCTAGACAATCGAGCTTGCCAGAGTGAACAGTTCACGGATGGGCCCATTCCCTAGGGGTGCTAAGCCAGTAGAAAGTAAGTTGGGGGCCTCTGGTGGCTATCTTGCCACTTGCATGGGGAATTCTGCCTAAAAACAAAACCAACAGAGATGAGAGCACTGCTGAGAGGTGGAGATAGATTCCCTGGCATTCATGAGCTCCTGGATCGAACTATGCCTGAAGACAGCTATAAAATCTATTCTGGAATTTTCAGCTACTTTAACCAAACTTCCCTGATTTGTTTTTAAGCCAATTTGCATTTAGTCCCAGTTGCTTCTTAGCAACAGAAAGAACCCTGAGCAACACCAAGTGATACTATTGATGTTGATGATGGTGGTCACTTTTTCCTCTAAGGGTTCTGCTGAGTAATTGCTGATCCTTAATCTAAGTGATGGCTTCTGATGCCACCCCCAGGGAATTCATGAGTTGCTGATGAGCAGATGATAAGTGCTGTGTCACAAAACAGACCCATGAAGGACAAGAGCACTTCTCTGGGGAAGGTACCTTTTCTCACAGACGGTGCCCCAGATTCTTCTGCTGGCCAAGGACAGCCACTCAATCCGCCTCTCATACATCTGCATAACTCTGTTGAGCTGTTTCTGCAAACCCATGGGCCACACCATTAAGTGATAGTACAGCAGATAATTGACTAAGGGGCCCAAGGGGAAAGGGTGTACTCCAGTTGGACTTCTGGGAATGATGTGTCAAAGGCATGGTTATCCAGGCAACATAAACATTCCCTAAATCATGGGTGAGTTTGCCACAAGACCAGGAAGGGAAGAGTCAAAGTATTTCATTGCATCAAATGGGGTAATTCTTCCCCCAAAGGATTAGACACTTGCTTGAGGCATCTAGGTCTCTACCTGGGGAGGGTATGAGAAAGTTCCAGAAGGGGCTGTGGTGGGGCGGTCTCTGATTATAGAAGGGGGATGAGTCAGGTGCTTTCCTCCCGCCCCCTTCCTGTACCCCATATTCTGATTGATTACCCCCCAACTCCCCGGCTGACCTGGTACTCATAGAGGAAAGGTACATCCACATGAATATTTTTCAAGGTCCCATCGTGCCATTCAAACTGTACCATCGCCTTCTGCACTCAGGTGTGGCCAGGAGGGGGAGCAGGTGAGCAGAAGCAAAAGTGGGGAAAACGGTTAAGTTTAAAATCCTGGGCACCGTGCATGAGAGGGTAGTAACTCTGAACACATGTGGGGTCAGATCATTGCCCTCCCCACCCCCAGGTCATCCCCTTGTCTGGAGCTGTCAGCAGAGGGCCTTCAGGACAGTGGTCCCCCAAGTGACCATGCTTGACGGCAATCTGGGGTGCCTTCTTGGAAGGCTCTTTTGAATATCAGAGCCCTTATGACGGGTAGGGTTGGAGATTTTGGTGACAGCAGAGTCAAAGACCTTAGAACATACTGGCCATGGGTTCTTAGGTTAGGGAATCCAGACAGGTCCTCAGGGGCACTCTGGAAATTGATTTCATTCATCGTGTTCTTTCATCCTTAACCCAGGGCTGTTTCTAGGCATTCATCATGCACTGAATCACCCGCCCTCACGGCATCTCCCTTCCCTTGCGCCCTGCCACCTTTCACTTTGCTATTCACCCCCTGTCCTTCCTTCCATTTCTCCGGCCTTCCTTTTAGGTTTAATTTTAGTTTTCATCCTTCCATCTTTTTTTTTGATTCAACCTTGTCATCCATCCTTCCATCCCCTCCCCCTCCCATCTGTTCACACTTCCCTCCAGCCACCCTTTATCTGCTCCTTTATCATCGCTCTGTCCCTCACCTGCCACCTCCTTCCACCCTCTCAGCTTCCAGTAAACACTCATTGACCCGCGCTTGAACTGGATATTGGGGATACAGTTGACGAGACGTTTTTCTTTTAAAGGTCCAGTGAGGACACGGAGAGCGAGCGTGTCCTGAGCAGGGTAGCCTGCCGCAGCGGGGGTGACTATCTGCTGAATTTCCCTTTGGCCCCATCTCTCAAGTTTCATGTTCAAATCTTTGGAAAACAGCACTTAGAGTAGATGGGATGAGAGAGTTCTAGAGCCCCTGCTCCTGGGGCGCTGCCTAAGGCTTCTTTCTGGAACATTTAAGAAGGGAAACACCACAGGGAACTTCCCTGCAGAGGACGGAGAGAGCCCTGCATTTGGATTACCTCGTGGATTGTTGATGACACCGTTTTCTGGAGAATAGGCACAAATTCTTCCACGGGAGAGAATGCGTTGGGTGCCAGAACCTGATAAAGGTTTAATTTCTTGGCTGTAAAAATAAATAGTGGGATTTAAGGCCCTATTCGATGCTGTAGAGGTTCATGCCTTTGAGTCCTGGACCTCCCGTCTCTGGGGGTGTACCTCTGAGGCCATTGAGCTTTAGCCATTCTGCAGAAGTCTTGTCCAAGCTTGGGAACTCAATGGTGAGGGGAGCCTCATGTTTTGGGAGTTTAGGCAAAAGACTTGTGATTGGCCCTTTTGCAAACGGTGTGCAAATCTAAATTAAATTAGAAACGCTCATTACATAATCGTATTTTAGAGCTGAATCCTCAGACTCCCCGCACCCACTCAGTCCCCCATGAAACATCTTAAGTAGTTACCTGGTAAATTAAAGGCAGTTCTGTCTTTTCCTCCCACCAGCCTCATCCCCTTCTCTGGAGAGTTCTGGAATTTCCAGGGGGAAAAGGGAGGTGTCCCCAGTAACTCCAGTCCTCTTTTACTTGTCCATCCTCCTGCCCCTGCCCCACCATGACCAGTAAGGCCAGCACACTGACTCCAAGATGACAGGGCCCCTCCTGGAGTTCAAAACACGGGGCTTCGGGGAAACTAAAAAGTAACTCCTACCCCAAATCATTTAGGGAGCCCCGATCTAGCCCAGCCTCCCCTTGTGCACATTTCCAAACTGAAAACTTGTGATTCTGAGAGTTTAATTACACTGTTTATGTAGGAATAACTTAGGACAGCAATCCCCAAACTTAGGACGTTTGAGAACCACTCTTGGGAATGTTGCTATATCTGGGTACCTCTGCGCAATAATTTACTTAATATTTTTTAAAAAAATCAAACATGCAACATTAGTGCTTTTAAATTGTAATTTGATTTACTTTGGAAATTGGGCTCCATTTTCTGTACTTCATTTCAAAAAGATCTATTCTATCACGATCAGTTAGTTTTCAATACAGAGCCCATAAAGACTATTAATCCTTGTGTTAGCTTATAATCATCTTGCAAATTGCAAGTAGCACAAAATGAAATGCATTTCATTTTGGGACGCTCTTGGTAAAGTTTTGGTATCAGACAGACCTGAGTTGAATTCAAACTCTGTTGTTTTCTGTCTCAGTGATCTTGGGCAAATTATTTAACCTCTTAAATTCAGTTTCCTCATCTATAAAATGGGGGTAATAACATTGTCAGATTGTCATTGTAAAGAAAAATAAGGCATTTAGGGAATGAAGCATGGATCCTATAATGAGTGTTTATTAGAAAATGCACAATATAGTGACTTCAAAGTTACTAAGAGTAGATCTTAATCATTCTCAGCACAAAAAAGAAATGATAATTATGTGCTTAGGATATAGCTTAATTGTCATGTCTATAAATGTATCAAACCAATACCATGCACACTTCAAACTTACACAATGTTATATGTCAATTATATCTCCGTTTAAAAAGACTGCAAAGAGTATATGAATCATCACACTACTAACAATTACTGCTATTATTTAAAGATATTGTAGTCAGTAGAGGAGAGGAGCTTAGCTAAAGCTTAAGATCTTAGTCTGTAGGTACCGTTTCTTTTAATACATCCAAACAGGCCAAAATTTGGGGTGCTTCCCCTCCCTATCTTCTTTTTTTAAAAGATTTATTTTATTTATGCATACAAAAGCTGGGGTATAAGCCAGAGGTGTGGGGGGTGAGAGGATTCACCAGAGACAGAGTGGGGAGCAGAACAGGCAGACTGATGAAATACACTGCTGAGGGGAGCAGCGGGCAAGTCAGGAGAGGTCTGTGCCATGTGGGTAGCTCCCTGGCAGGGGATCGACCTCATGCTACGGTGGCTGTGGATAGCCTCATAGTGCTGAGACTTAACCCCTTGAGGGTGGCCCCCACCCCTATCTTCTTAGTGATGCTATGATGCAATGTAGGGAGCCCATGTGTTCTAAACCACAAGTAGCTTTCATGGAGCTGGGGCCATAGCTGGCTGAGATACTCTGCTGGTGTTAAACTGACCAAGTCACCAAGCAGAGAGGTTTGCCCTGAGCGAGGTGAGGTGCTGGGTGGGAAAGACCCCCTTCAAGACAGTCTGCTCCACATGATGGAGGTTTTCATCACTCTCTAAATTGAGGGGAGGGAGAGGTACAGCAGTAGGCGGAAGTGGTGGCAGGAGCCTACTGGCCTTTCTCTGAAATAAGATTTTCAATGAGATCCACCAAGATCCTTTGGGCACAGTAAGGGCCGTGTCTAGCCCAGACAGTAGAATTTGGGGTACAGTGGAGGGTGGGGCTTTGCCTGGTTATACACTCAGGATGTGGGGCAGGGTGGGGACTCTGCAGCAGTCTGAGAGACAGATGAGAAAGGAGACTGGATGGTGGCCAGATGAGTGCCAGTGGGAGAAGTTTCCAGAATCTTTGCTCACACCACCTACCTCCTTCATGATGCTGGTTAGTTCCTTACAGGGGCTGCTGTGGTTCAGGGCTTGGATGTGGCCCATGATGCTCTGGGCCTCCTGGATTTCTGCCAGCAGCTCTTCCACCTCTCGGCTGGTAAAGGTCTGGGGATGGTGGAAGCAATCAGCCACCCAGAAGTCACTCAGCTACCGGAGTGGCTCAGACCACTCCAGAAAGAGGAGTATTATTAAAAAATAGAAAGGAGTGAAGTTCTGATACATGCTGCAACAAAGATGAACCTTGAAAATGATATGCCAACTGAGAGAACACAGATGTGAAAGGTGTGATTCCATTTACATGAAATATCCAAATAGGTAAATCCAAAGACAGACTATATATTGGTGGTTTCCCAGGGTTGCAGGATGAGGATGGGTAGGGAGGTGGGGGAATACGGAATTATAGTTTATGGGTACAGAGTTTCCTTTTGGGGTGATAAAACTGTTTCAGAACAAGATAAAGGAAGTGGTTGCATATTATGAATATACTAAACACCATTGACTTGTTCACTTTAAAGTGGTTAGTTTTATGTGACTTTCACCTCAATTTAAAAAAAGTAAAGAAATCACAGCAAAAAGTCCAGATTTCTGGTTCTTCTTGAAAAATTGGAAGACCTGGCAATCCTGGGATCCCATTCCAACAGAGTAACGCTCAGCTAGAGCTAAGCAAAGGTGCCTCTTCAGATGGGATATACTCTATAGTTCACCACAGTCCCCACTACTCTCTTTTGCCTTCCCATTGGAGTCAGTTGAAGTTTTTTGGCCATCCTTACATTGTTGTTTTGTTCAGGTTAAAGAAGATGATGGAATTTGCTGTATTCGTATCGCTATCAAAAGCAGAAAATAATAGATAAACCAGGAGGTTTTTCGATAAAATATTTTTTAAACCAGTCCGTTTCATTCATTTACTGCACCTTCTTAGGCTCTGTGGCCTGTGGCCTCTGTGAACAGAGTCTGGGCAGTGGGTAACAAAAGAGGCCGATGACCGAGGAAAATGTTGCCTGACCTCTGTGCTCTGGTGTGAAATGTTAGACTTTGTGGCTCCTAGAGATACTTGGGAGAAGCAAATACTCATTTACTTATGGACATTAGTAGTTAGCAGGCAAGACACAGCCTTGAGAATCTAACAGCCTCAGACCCATTTGCCAAAGGGACCTGCAGGCAGGCTCTTTCACTGACACCTCCATTGTGGATGTGGGGTGCGTGGTATTATTATTAAGGACACTAATAGATGGGCAGGTACAGAACTGATTACACACTGGAACTGATTGCTGCAGGGACCTGGCAGCAGGCAGCAGGGGTCTAGCTGCAAACCCCACTTTGGTGGGAGCAGAAGTGGTGTGGAACCCCTGTTGATGGTGACAGGATTGAGATTCAGGATTTTTCCCCACCAGGCTTTCAAAAGCCTCACAAGCATATAACCAAGTCATCATGACACGCTGACCCAAGGATCTCTCCGTGTCTCTGTCCTTTCCACATATTCATTTAAACTTGATTTTGCTTGTTGCTTTTGTGGGGCAATACATAGCACTATCTGTCCTGGGCCAGATGCCCAGGAACCTTGGGGGCAGCAGCGAGGGGGAGGCAGCAAGGGACTGGTTGGAGAGGGGTTTACCTCTGTCTCTGGGCTGTAGCAGTGGTAGGAGCCCCCAACAGCTTTGGCCAGGTTCTTCAGGACTGCCTGTGGGGATGTGACAGGGTTGGCCCTCACGAGGGTGCACTGATTCCCTAACCAGCTTCCTCCTCATGTCTAACGCTTCCCATCTAACCGGATGGGAACAAGGAGCACTAAGTCTAAGGAGAGTCGTGTTCTGATCCGCAGCTTGGGAGCTAATCCAAGCAATGGGCCTCCAAGGCTGGTCTTGCTCACCATGGCTGACCCAAGGGAAGGTCTGGGAGACCTCAGGGGCTTACCAGGGGCACCTGACTGTCACATTTGTAGGTGATGAGGTGGATGAGGAGACCCCTTCCTAAGATGCACTGCTGGATGTAGTCAGACAGGATTTCACAAGGCTGATCTGGGCTGGGGAGAAGAAAGATGGAGGGAGAGAAGGGGTCGCCTCAGGTCAAGTCACTTGGAGGATGCTCCAGAGCCAAGTGGGAAGCCCCAGGGACCATCTGACCGTCCGTCTGTGCCCTGGGCCACCTGTCGAAGAGGCAGGGCTGCGAGCACTGGGGCAGGCCCCCGCCCAGCATCGTGATACTGCCCTCTCTGCTGCTTGATGGTCTTTTCACAACAGTGACTGGGCCCCTGGGCCCCCTTGGGGTCCTGTTGCCAGCTCAGGAGAGGAGGCCTACCAGCTTCCCAATATGGTCACCAGAGAATCCAGCCCCTTCACAGGGAAGGTTTTCTTCAGGGCTTGGAGCAGGTTGCTGCCTCTGCCAGGCTGCAGGCTCTTCACCCACAGTCTGAGTTCCTGGAGCCTGAGGGCAACAATGAACAACAGTCACCGTACCCTCCAGCCAGGTGCCAGGCCCGGGACAGACAGTAACTCACTTAAACCTGCCCATAATCCTTTGAGGTGGATACCTTTCTTCCAGTTTTGGAGATGAGGAAGCTGAGGCTCGGAGTCAGGGCTTGCAGTGCTGCAAGTGCTGCAGCAAACACCGGGCAACAGTGAGATTTCAAACAAGCTCAGGGCCTAGGACTAGAGCTTCCTGAGACACTGAGGTCTGGGTCCCATTTCCTTCTCCCCCACACACTCCAGTTCTCTTGGGGGGCAGGCCTCACCTGAGGCAGAGTGAACCCCTAACCTCAAGCGGGCTCTCAGGGAAGACAAGGCGGTTATATGGCTGTATCCTGGGGGACAGGGACGTGCACCCGGGACGAGGGGAAAAACTCAGCAAGAGCTCTCGAGGCCGGGGGAGAGTTCTGCGCTTTCCTTTCCCTGTTGTCTGACCAGCAACAGCACAGCAACCTCAGCCCATGGCTGGTGAGTCTGTCTTCTGTTATTATAACTATTGCATCTCATTTTAACTAAGAGAGAGAATATTCCCAGGCCTGGTGTTTTTCCCTAGCCAGCGGGTTTCAAGCTGGAATTTCATGTCATTATTTCATTTGCTTTCGTTGTGTTTATTTTTATGGCAACTTTCTAATTACAGCAAGCAATAAGGGCCTCCCAGTTATGGGCTTGGCAGACGGCTTCCTCTAATAATAGAGTGGCTGTAAGGAAAATCTGTGAGAGTGAGAGCGGCACAGGGTAAATAATAGTGCACGTGGCAGAGATGACAAAAATCAGAAACAACTGCGGTTGAGGAATCTTGGCTAGTTGATGTCAAGGTCACTTGCAGGTCTAATGACCCAGGGATCGGGAGAAGGCTAAAGTGGAAATCACAATACGATGCTCTCATGCACCCAGAACCTGCCCCATGCCAGGTACTTATTTTTATTTTATCTCTGCAACAACTCAGTGAGGAGAAGGTACTCTTGGCCTCATTCTGCTAGGTCATGGTCAAGGTCATGAGCACCCAGGAACTGCCAGATTCAAAGCCAGAGCTGCCAGATTGGGCACTTCTCTGCCTGTGGGGTCCCTCTCCACAGCTACTGAAAGGCAAGTGAACCTCATCCCAGGAATCCAAGCTTGTGTTTTTTTTTTGGAATTTGCTCCAGACTCTGGAGTCCAATTTGGAGCTGCTGCTCTGGGTGTGTTTCCTGACCTGACTCCCAGTTTCCTCATCTGCAAAATCAGGATAATAACCCTCTTCCATGACTTGGCTAGAAATATGAAATGAGATAGCACACTTGAAGTAACTGGCATGGTACCTAACCTTTGGTGGGTGATCAGTATATTCCACTCATGGAAAAGGAATTTCCATATACTGCCATAAATAAGTCAAAATTCTTACACACACATAAACACCCCCAAACAAACAAACAAACAAATGAACAAATACCCCAAACTAGAAACTCATAAAGGACTAGTTAAATACATCATAGTACATCTACTCAGTGGAATACTATGCAGCCATAAAAAAGAAAAAGGGTAGTTCTGTATGTTCTGAGAGAGAATGATATTCAAAGTCAGGTGACAACTCAAGGTACAAGACTATGTAATGTGCTCCTGTTTATGTTTCAGTTGAGGAAGGTAAACAAACAGGTGCATGTATGTGCAGACTATGGACTGGATTAGAGGCAACTGCTTTTGGAGGTGGGGAAGGGGCCTGGGGTAAGAAGGAGACACATCTGTTATTATTCATCCTTTCATACTGTTTGAATCTTTGAAAAAGAACATGCACTATTTTCAAAATAATAAAGCTACCTTTGCTGGGGCCTCCCTGGTGGCACAAGGGGTTAAGCGCCACACTATGAAGAAATCCACAGCCTCTGCAGCATGAGCTCGATCCCCGGATGGCCAGGGAGCTACCCACATGGCGAGGCAGACCTCTCCTACCTCGCCCGCTGCTCCCCTCAGCAGTGTATTTCAGTCAATCTGCCTGTTCTGTTCCTCGCTCTGTCTCTGGCGAATCCACTTACCGCCCTCACCTTGGCCTGTACCCCAGCTCTTGTATTCATAAATAAATAAAATCTTTAAAAATAAATAAAGCTACCTTTGCTAGTTTGCTGGAGAAACAAGATTAAAAGGGTGTCACAGTTGTCTTTCATTTTGTGGATTGTCCATGAGGGTGACAATTTTCCCAAAATTTATTGGCATCCTGTGCATTCACTCTTGTAAATTGCCTCCTTTTGCCCTTTATCTATTCTGGTCTTGAGGGCTGCACTTTAATCATTCAAGGAAGACACTAATACTTAGGGTGGAAAATAAAAAAAGGGACCAGCCTGGCCAAGGCTACAGCCACTTACGTGGAGGCGTTGACATCCACAGGGTCTGGCCAGAGGGAGCTGGTGGTGGTGCCAAAGGACAGGGCGTATAGCTTCTCCTTGTGGCTCAGCTGCTCTTCAATGAGGCTCTGGAGGACAAGAGGAGGTCACTCACTGACCCAGGCCCAGGGGCCAGGAGGAGCCTGGCTTCCCCACTTACGGATGGCTGGCAGCCTTGGGTCTGGGGTGTGAGCTGTGCTGAAAGAGGGTCACTTGAGGCTTGGCATAGTGTCAGCTCAAGCTGACATTTGCTTCCTGCCCACTGGGTCTCGGGGGGTGTGAGGTGTGCTCCCTCACACTGATCTCAGCCTGTCCCATGGCAGTGTGCCTGGGGGTGAGGCATGGCAGCTGTGCCCTCACTCACTTGCATGGATTTGCAGACTGATGTTCTCTGAGGGCTGCACACGCTTGTGTCCTGCGGTGTGGATGGGCTGAGCACCTGGGCTACCCATCTGAGTGTGTGCTCAGGCTGGCCCTTTGGCACTGAAGTGTGGTACTGAGGGAGGGAGCACAGCGTGGGGTAGTGGCTTTTCTCCAAGGCACGTGTTGGGGATGGAGCAACAGATGCAACACCAAGCTGCTCGCCGCCCTCAAGCTGTAACTGGTGAAAATCCAGTGGTGAAATAACTCCTTCCTCTGCTCCCAGGCAAACCCAAGGGCACCCAGGGGCCCCAATGGGAATAGAAAGAGAAGAGTAACAGGGGAGAGAAGGATTTCAAAATGAACTCCAAGTCAAATTTCAAAACCAACCATCTCCTGTGCGCAAACATTCAGGCAAACAGGCAGGGCCCAAAGTAGAGGTTGTGCAGAGCCCAAAGGGCTGGGAGAGGAAGAGAGAACCAAAACCCACCCCAACTGAACCTACCATGAGGCCAAGATGGCGGCCGCCACAGTCTCAAGAGAGTTCTGGAGCCAGACAAAGAGGCGCTGGCGGGAGCCAGCTGGAGGAATGACCACAGAGGGACCTGAGCAGAAGCAGGGGGCTCCCTCTGGATGTGCAGCGGAGCCCAAGTGGGAGCAGAGGCGGGAGGCCCTGCAGAAGTGGGGATGGGACCACGCCCAAAACACCTACCAGCTCAGTCTTCCTCAGGTCTGCCTCAGTTCTGCCCCGCCCCTGGGTCCCAGAGGTCTCCGTTCAAGAAGTCAGGAGCTGGAGCAGCGAGGCTCCTTTCTCTGACACCCCTTTCCTGGCTGGCTGGAAACTTCCCCTGCATGCCCCCACCAAGAGCCTCTCCCCGGCTAACATCACACCAGCCCACCAGGGGGGCTTTGCCACCTGGCCCTGAGGATTGTCACGAAGGGGACTGAACTGACGTGTTCCTGACGCCTGCTGAGCCCAGGAACAGGGGGGAGTCTGGACAGCCGGCCCACGCTGAGGCCTGTGAAGGGTCCTTGAGTCAGCGATCACTGCTACGGAGGCACAGAGTGGCCGGGTAGCGTGGGGCCGGGACCCGGCAGATGGGCCTGGCCGGGCGGGCCAGTCATTGACTGTTCTCGGCTTCTCCCACATACACGAGCCAGAGAAAGGGCAGCCTTGCAGGAGGAGGCCCCGCGGGAGTCCGTCCTCCTGTCTGTTTCCGTCTTCCTTCCTCTTTCCAGGAAACCCGGGGCTCAGGACGCCAGGTCTAGCCAGTGGGGACCGCTGGGGAGAGCACTAGAAGTTCGCACTGCTACTGAAAATGACTCTAAGGCTGGGTTTTCCCCGAACCCAACCTATTTTTTGACCCGGAGTTGCTAATTAAGTGTGAACTGTTCTTTGAATAACACCCTATTTTGCATCTTCTGTAAATGAAGCTCACCAAGGGCAGAGGGCTGGGGTATGGTCCAGGAACTTCTTGCCAGAGAGCGACTTACCTCCAGGTCATTCTGGAACTCCTCCTTCTGAGGGCCACTGTGGACAGCGGCCAGGTCCATGAGGATGCCGACTCTCGTCCCCTTGATGGAGCCGAACGCCTACAACCAGAGAGAGCGAGTGGGAATACCCAGCAGGCCCCGTGCCCCCTCAAGCCAGCCATAGACAGGACCCCAAAAGGGAGCTGGGGCGGGAAGGCCCACCCTCCAGAGGGAAAGCAAACCCCGTGTCCTGACTTCCACTCTGAGCATTATCCACTCTTATTTTGTGGCGGCCTTTTCTTTTAAACCCCCCACCCCGTTCCCTGAATATTTACTGTTCATCCTTGTAAAGTAACACACAATCATTAATAGAAATTTGGAGAAGGCAGAAAAGCATGCTTTGTAAGACAGATGCTTGGTATCTAACCACCTTCGCTTGTCTTACTTCATTTCTCTGTATCCTTATTTATTTTCTGCCTGCTCTACCCATCAAAAGCAGATGTTTTAAGCTCGCCAGGTGCAGAGGTATTTCTGTGAGTTTCTAATTACGTTTCCAGCACTGATTGCCATCTCCAGGCTGGCGCGGCTGCTCCTGCAGTAACTGGCATCTTGCGAGAGCTGCTCTGTGGATCGGAATTGCCACTCATTTGAAATGATGGTTCTCTGGGGGCATGAGGCTCCATTTGCTGCTTTCTGCCTTAAATTCTACTTTATTGGATGCCTAATTTTCCCGGTCAATTCACTTTTCTGCTCTCAGTGATGAGTGCTTTATATCTCTCACCCCTCCAGGATCTGTGCTCTTTCTGCAAATGATTTTACCTCCAATTCCATGGAGAAAACAGAAACAAGACAAAGAGAAATTTTTTCATCTACCAACCCATCTGCCCCGACAGCCACAGACTTGCTGTTTCCTCACTACAAACAAGGCCAATCTCAAAGCTCTAAGGCCACCCTTTGGGCTTGTGTGACGGGACCACCTCTTGCCAAACAGAACTTCTGTTACCATCTCTTCTCCTGATCATCAAATATTTGATATTTGATATTCACCACCAGACCAACAGGCCGCCCCACTGCCCATCCGAGAAGGGAAATCAAGGTTTCGGGGTCTGCCCCTGCCCCCGCTGCCCCTACGTGTGGCTGGTTCCCATCTGAGCGACGCAGCCTCACCTGCATGTCTCCAGGACCCGCTCAAACCAGGCTCTCGCCTCCCCATGCCCCCACAACCACACTTGCCCAAGAGATCAATAACTTCACTCTTGCCAAACCCAAGGGTCAAATCTCGTTTCTCAACGCTCTCAACCACTGAGTAGCCAGCGACACAGTTCGACTTTCGAGAATTTGGCAAGTGGAAGTCGAAGCCCTTAGTCATCACTCTCTCTTCCTGGGCACCATGCTTCCCTGCTACTCACTGGGCCTTCTTAGTCCCCTTCGCCGGGCAGACCCTCCTCTTCTTCCCAAAGTCTAAATATCAGGGTGTCCTGGGAAGGTGATGGTCATGGACCCACAACTCATGGTTCATTAGATGCGGACTCTCAGATGTCCCTACCATAACTTACCTAATTTAAGTCTGTGTTTTAACAAGCTCCCTCTCCCACCTCCCCCTGGAGACTTGGCTGCACATGAATGTTTGAGAAGCACTAGGCAGGTTTGTCACACCGGGTTTGTCAACCCTGGTACTAACTGACATTTTTTTTGTTTGTTTTTTAAAAAAGTGGGGTACAGGTCAGAGTCACGGTGTGTGTGTGTGTGTGTGTGTGTGTGTGTGTGTGTGTGTGTGAAGATCCACCAGAGAGAGTGGAGAGCAAATCAGGCAGATGTACTGAAACACACGGCTGAGGGGAGCAGTGGGGAGACAGGAGAGGTCTGCTGCGCCATGTGGGTAGCTCCCTGGTTGGGGATCGAACTCATGCTGCAGTGGCTGGCAATAGCTTGATAGCGCTGAGACTTAACCCCTAGGCCACCAGAGAGACCCCAAATGTCTCCTTCTTGACATTCTATTTAAATAGCCCCTTTAGCCCTTCAAGCTGCTTTATTTTCCTATATAACACTGTGAGGCTGACCTTGTATATGATTTATGGATTTATTCATTATTTGCTCTCACACCCTGCACTGTAAGCTCCATGAAGGTGAGGCCTTTGTATTGGTCATGTCTGCGCCCTCAGTCTTGGAAGAGTGCCCAATACATGGTAATCACCCAGTCAGTGTTCACTGAATTTATGACCCAAGTGAGGCAGTAGAGTTCCCAGGACACCTCCAGTCCACCAGGGCTGGAAGGACTTCAAATTTGGGGTCAGTTCTATTTCGTTTAAAATTTAAGAAGGCATCCTCTAGAGCTTTTGCAATTAAGCTCATGCATTCCCTTAAACCTAGCCATTGGAATTCTTTTAGAAACCAATCTCGTAGAAATAATTACACATTAGAGGGAATTGTAGTCCAGCGATGCCAAATTTTCCTTTTTCTTTCAAGAGAGGACTAAAAACAGACACACAAGCAAACTATCAGTATTTTCAAACCTTAGCAACTCATTTGAAAAATATTTAAAACTATGGGGGCCAAGAAAAACCAAACTGTGGGCCAGATTTGCCTGTATGCCACTGGTGTGTAAGTGCTGCTTTTATCCTCTGCAAATGTGGAAACAGACACCCAGAGAAGGGAGGCCATTGCTTCCAGCCTCACTGACAGCACAGCTAGAGACCCGGGGGTCTTGTGAGCTGGTTCATAGGAGATCACTTTATCCTATCTCCCCATTATCCATCTCATGTCTCCTCTGTTATTTTATCAAGAGGGGGTAGGAGGAAAAAGGACTCTGCAGTCTTGCCCCAGAGCGCCAGGGCAGGTATGAAGGCGGAGCGATGTTCCCTGCATGGATATTCTAGAAAGATATGAAGACTCCATCCCTAGGGCTCTGTCTGCATTACCATGTGCAGCCAGGCGGAGTGTCCCACAGGCCGAGGCATGCACCTGCTGAGGAAGGTTCTGGATCTGAGATGGAGACTATACCCTGGAAGCAGTCACTTTGTTCTCACCTCCTGGTCTGATGTAGGGGTGGGGTTGGTGTGGGAAGCATGAATGATAGTATCTGCCTGTCCCAGGGCTTAAAACAACAGGTGAGAATGAACAGGGGAGAAGCAAATGGCTAGTTACAAAAGCATCAGTTGGAGGAAAATAGGTTAAAACAAACAAGAAAGCAAATAAAATGTCAATCGATCACTCTTCTATCACCTACATGACGATCTCTTCTCTTTGGGAGAGGGCTTATGCAAACTTTCAGAGAAGTTCTATCTAGCCATTGGATCTCAATGTCTGAGGCCCAAGGGTCTTGGGGACACCTGCTCTTCTCACCACCCCGGAGCTGTGTCCTCTCTGGCAATAGCACCCAGGCTTGCCACAAACAACCACCTGTCTCCTTGTCCACGAGGCTGGGTGGGGTTGCCCAGTGTCTCTCCACACATTTTTCACACCCTCTACCTTTCCCCGGGAGTGAGCTGGATAGTATATCTCACCCCTTGGTTCTGGTGATTGGTCTACATTGGCCCAAGGACAGTCGATCCTACTGGACTCTCCCATTGGAGGGGCTTTGGGAGGAAGAGAAGGTGAGGACCTCCTTGTCATATCACTCTAGCTGGGGTCATTGAAGCTTCAAGTTGCTGGTGACCATCTTCCCAAGCTCAGGGAGAGTCTTCCAGACAATAAAACTAAGCCAGAGGAAAGCAGAACCCAGAGACAGAGATGACATTATTTGAGCCCCTGGATACAGCTGTGTCTGGTTTTTCACTTATGTAGATTTAGAAATTTCTTTTTTAGCTTAAGTCACTTTAAGTTAGAGTTCTATTGTTTGCACCTAAAAGGGTTCTAACAAAGACAGATGGAGTGAGGAAGCAAAGAACCAAATCCATGTCAGTTACCTTCTTGCTGTTTTCCGTGAGCCACTGAATTCTCTGTTGATAGAGTTCAATAGCTCTGTCAAAACATCAGAAAGACTCATCATCCAAGAAGGTCAATTTCATTACTGAGGAAAAGCAACTTACATACATGGACGGTGTGAAAAGGATTGTTTTCCCCAAGACAGCAGGAAAATATAAGGCAAAATCTAGCAGAGTAGGCATTAGCTTGAAGGGTAAAGAATGGAGAGGCCTGTGATGGGGGGGCCTCAGTGATGCCTGGCTTGGTTTTGGTGGAACAAGGGGTGGGCTCTGAGTGAGGTCTTGGAGTGTAGGAATGTGTTCTCACGTGGATAGGGGAAACACTCTCGCTCTGCTCAAATCTGAGTCTTCTCAATTCACACTTCCCAGTCTGCTGGGGATGATCCTAAAGGCACGGGTTCTCCATGGACAGATGAACAAAAAAAACTTAGTCTCTGAAAAGTAAGTACCCAGGGAACTTCCTAACTTTCCTTATTGCAAACCAGTCCAATGGCTGGTTGAAGACCAGCATGGAACAGGGGCTCAGGTAAAGGATCCAGTCACTTGAATTGAACTGAATTGCCCTGCATAAGGCAGGTGGGATTTGGAGGTGTTGGGGAGGGGGCAAGGAAACCTTTTGGATATGAAATTGTGGGGCAGTGGCGGGGGGTAAAGTTATAAAGCACACATGGGTATGAGTAGAGTGAAGAGTATGAATTTCAGCAACCGAGACATCCTTCGCAGAATGGATGAATTGTGATACAGCCAATGGAATATTACTCAGCATTAAAAAGAAATAAACCATCAAACCACGAAGAGACATGGAGGAAAGGGAAATGCTTATTACTCAGCAAACAAGCCAACCTGCAAAGGGCTACACGCTGTATAATCCCAGCTATATGGCATTCTGGAAAATACAAAACTATGGAGACAATAAAAAGTGGACACGAAGCATTCTTCGGACCTAGTGAAACTCTTCTGTGTACTACGACAGGGAGGGATACATGTCATTATACATTTGTCCAGATCCACAGAATGCACAACACTATAAGAGTGAATCCTGGTGTAAGCTACTGTGGGATTGTGATGGATTCATTTAGTTCAGCAATTGTAACATGTAGCTTTGATGGAGACTGTTGATAACGGGGAGAGAGGAGAGATATGGGAAATCTGTACGTTCTGCTCATTTTTGCTGTGAACCTAGAACTGCTCTAAAATATAAAATTTAAAAGAAAAAAAGAGAGACTAGAGGAGCATAATGGGACCTGCTTGTGTTTGAGTTCCAGCTCTGCCATTTGCTAGCTGTGTGACCTTAGGCAGGTGTGGTGACCTCTCTGAACCCCAGTTTCATCATCTCCAATGTGAAGCTAAAAATAAGATTCTATCCAAGTCAATCTGCCAGAAGTCAAAGTACTAAAAGCCAATTCTCTGCAAATCAGTTAACCAAATGACCAATTTACTGAATAGAGCTGTTTAGCTCCTTAAAATGCTTAGATTCACAATTAAAACCAATCAACCAAAATATTGCGGAATTCTTTAAAATCTGTTTAACTTTTCAACCCAATAAAAATTGTTATAAATGTTATTAGTTAAGATGTTTTTATAAATTTGGCAAATTGGCCATTTGGCTAATGGGCTTGAGAAGACCATGATATTCCATGTTGTTATGAGGATTAAATAAGATCATGCATGCAGCCTTCGCAAGTGATTAGCTCTTAATTGTTCTTAGATTCTTTTAAGTAACCCCAGGCAAATGGTAGCCGTGGATCATGATATGACACGAGGGAGGAGATGTACATGGTGCCTTCAGACTCTGGTTTCAGAGTGGGGAGCCGGCTCATCTTTGACACACATTTGCAAAAGTCTGAACCCACCCAATCTGCATTTAAAGTGGTCACCCTTAACCATTACACATCAAACGAGGCCATGGGGTTTTATCTCATCCAAAGGGACGTGGGTTGTAAAAGGATGAGAAAAATAGATGTGGCCCTACCCCTTTATTTGAAAACAGAGGAAATTGGAGCTGAAATTGGAAGCGGGAGAGAGAGATGCCCTAGGTCTCAGGAATTGTGTTCGTTACGTCAGGACAGCGGAAGTGAGAGCATCTCGAGCTCGAAGACAGAGAGAAACAGACTTACTCAGAGACCTTTGATTCAAATTGGTGGATGGTCTCGGTGGCGAACTGCATTTTCTTGACTGTGCTGTTGCCTTCACCCCTGAAGGAACAACAATGGACAAAAGGGCTCCTGGGAACCAGGGGGCCTGGGTGTGGTGCTTGGGCTTGGGGCTGAGGGGCAGGACTGTAGACTTACAGCACGGTCATGCCCTGGCTAATCAGGTCAGCCAAGGTGAGTTTTGCAAACTTTAAACTGTGAATGGAAAGCCAGTCTTCCGAGTCCTCCAAAGCTGAAGGCTGAGTGTCGTTCCCCTGCAGCCTCTGGGAAACAGAAAACAGAGTCAAACAGAAATCTGAGAATGAGGGGGCGAGGCTGAGGATGCCCTAGGTCCCCTCCACACCGGTACCCAGGGGGTGCAAGTCTGACTGACTCTTCCTGAAAGCCCTTCTGCAGTCACAGATGGGGGTGGGGGCCGACAGCTAGGCCAGGGCCTGGGGCCCGCCACTCCCACTCCGCACCGCATCTCCAACAAAAGGCCAGGCAGGGGCACTGGCTGTGTCCTGCCTCATGAGACTGACACAGCATGCAATGGCCAGACGGACATAATGCCTGGCCCACGCCTCTGCAGCGAGCACCCACCAAACCACCAGCTCCGAGGAGACTCTGGGGTCTCCGGAGCAGTGGATTAGGCCAGTGGCTGATACCTTTCTTTTCTTTCTTTCTTTTTGTGGGTCCTGTTTCCAGCTCAGGACCAATCAGAGAAAGTCAAATATGTCCCCTTACCAGTCACATGGAACACCCCACCTCTAGTTAGCCCTCCTCCAGCTTCCCCATGCCTGCAGACTCTGGTCAGGAGTCTTGTTCCACCCCAAAGCTCTCCCTCTCCCCTGCTGCCGAGCACAGGGTGGTGGCGAGTTCCTGGCTTGAGCAAGTTCTGAGCAATTTGCCTCTGGTTGCTTTTACCTGGAAGCTCTTTGTCTATTTCCACTCTTGAAATCTGGGTATCTTTTCAGGTATATGAGTTCTACCTCCATGTCAGTCTGAGGGGCCTCAACAGACATTTGTTGATTGAATGGGCTTATCCTGGCCTTTTCAGAGACCAGAAGCAGGAGCAGATGGCGAACGTTTTAGAGGAAGAATTCCCTAGGCCTCACGGGGTCTGGCCTCACAGGGGTCTGCCGGACGTGGCTAACGCCCCCTTGCTGTGTCTACTGACGCCTGTGTCCCTCACACCAAGCTACGTTCAGGATGTGGGTGGTGGCCTCAGTGGTGGTCAGAAGATGCTCATGGCAAGCATCCGACATTAGCAATGCTTTCCGGGAGCCAGAAGATGGAGGGAGCTGAGCTGAGGCTCTGAGGGCTCTGTCTCATTCAGCTCCTCTGCAGGCTGGCATTTCTCCCTTTCTCCAGGGGGTGGGATGGGTTTCTGAGCCCTACTGTGAACTAGGAACTGCCCCTCATGCTAGGGCTGCAGAGTAAACAAGATTGGAGTGCTTGCCTTTTGGTGCTTACCTTCCAGGAAGGGAAATGGAGAGTAAGAAGAAATGGAATCAATGTACATATGGAACCTGCTTTAAATCACACAGACCCCACCTCTACCTCCAGGTCAAGGATGCTGGGTGAACAGCTGATGATAGCCTGACTCAGCAATTCCCAGGGACTATGAAATAACAGACTATGAAATAACAGCTGAAGTTACAAAAAGACCCCACACCCAGCCTTCTGTCTGAAGACACTTGTCAACCAGTCATAGACAAATAAACTTAAGAATCAGGCCAAAAAGTTTCAAAACAAGTGACCCAGGGCCTCCCTAGTGGTGAAAGGGGTTAAGCACCGCACTATGAAGCAATCAGCAGCCTCTGCAGCATGAGTTCAATCCCTGGTGGACCAGGGAGCTACCCACATGGTGCAGCAGACCTCTCCTGACTCGCCCGCTGCTCCCCTCAGCAGTGTATTTCAGTAGATCTGCCTGTTCTGTTCCCTGCTCTGTCTCTGGTGAGTCCTCTCACCCCCCGCATCTCTGGCCTGTACCCCAGCTCTTGTATGCATAAATAAATAAATCTTTAAAAAACAAAAAACAAGCAACCCAAGCACCGACCATTTCTCCACGTGACCCTTTGAAAACGCCCCATTTCCAGCCCCTTGTGGGACACGTCTTGGGACTGTCCCCTGGTCATGGGCTGGGATCATGATTCCTGTTGTCAGATAAGTGCTTTCTTGGTTATATGATAGCCTTATTTCTCAGCTGACATACATTGGTTTCAGAAAGGAATGGTTCTTTTGATAAAATGGACTAGGGAAATGTGAAAGAAAATGACTAGGGTTGGAGGCAGTCCCTTCAGCTGGATGGGGGTCAGGATAGAACAGAAGGAGACAGGAAGGAGTTCTATATGCTGCGGTCCTATCTTTACTGGCTTTGGCTGCTTCCTAAAATTTTTTAAAATTTTTCCTCCCGTTGCTAGCTTTGAGATGCTGGGTAAGTCTTGCTTCTCTGTTTCTTCACCTGTAAAATGAGTGTCTCGTGAAGCTATGTATAGAACACAGCCTTGAGTGTTTCTGCATAAACAGCTCTTGTTGGCAGTAGATTTGGCCATAAAGTGGAAGGAAGCCGTAAAATAAAGACAATGAAAATAAAATGCTGCTATTGGGGTCCAACTAGACAGCAGTGCATGCCTTAAGTTCTGTCCTTGAGGCCTGTGCTCAGGCCTCTGCTTGAAAAGGAAATTAACGAGGGCCTCCCCGGTGGCGCAGTGGTTGAGCGCTGGGTTGCGAAGCTGCCCGCAGCCTCTGTAGCGCCGGTTCGATCCCCGGCCGCCAGGCGAGGGTCCCACATGGCGCGCAGACCTCTCCTGCTGCCCGCTGCTCCCCTCAGCAGTGTACTTCGTCAGTCTGCCTGTTCTGCTCTCCGCTCTGACTTTGGTGAATTCTCTCACCCACCAGTGCTTCTGACTGTACCCAGTGCTTATATAAATAAATAAATAAAATCTTAAAAAAAAAGAAAAGGAAATTAACGAGTGTTAAACAAGCGTGGAAAATACTAGTAGTGAAAGCAAACACTTAAATAGTGCTTATCATGTGTCAAGCACTTTCCACATATTAACTCATTTACTTCTACAAAGCAGGCTCATCATTAACCTCATGTTACTGACAAGGGAGGAAACTGAGGCTTAGAGAAGGAAAATGACTTGTCCAAAGTCACACGGCCAGTAAGTGGTGGGGCCGGGATTTAATCCAAGTAGAAAGGCCCTAGTCATGCTCACAGCCATGTTGCCACATGCCTTTAAATTAGCACCAAACTGTAACCATCTTCATGAAGGACTGAGAGAAGGGACTGAAAGGAACAGTTTTTCATCATGTGTATCTGTGCTAATAGACGTCCAGTCCGGGGTCACCTAATAACACCATGGTCATGGTCCCACCCGTGGGGAGACACCGCTCGATATCACATGGACACTAGGTGTCACTCTTCTCAACTCCCTGGTTGATAACACAAAGATGATTGACTTACAATTCATCCTTCTTCCATTTCGCCTGCATTTGAAATGATCCATCATGTTTTAGGATGTAGATTTTATATCATTAATATCTGAGGATCCACTATTAAACATGATATAGATTTTGACTGATTATATACCAACGTCTGTGCTTTAGATAGAGAAAAGTAAGATCTTTGCAGTGGGGTAACACATCACCTCTTTGCTATTGCTATTCTTTTGTGAGACAAAGGAAGTCCCAACTGTGATTGTTAACTCTAAGAAACACCTGAGAAATCATGCATTATGATAGAAAATTAGGTGGGATAAAGACCAATGTCATCTATATCTGAAGTCATTGAAATAATCTTTGAGAATTTCAAAACATTGACAGTTTCTGATTTCTTTTGAGTTGAACTTGCTTTCTTGTAAGTGCCAATACTCAAAAAAGTAAAACACAACTATCTTCTGGATTTTTGACTTGCCAGCATTAAAACTGTATTTTTTTTCACTGATTATCATTTTAAAAGTGTCATATTTAAACTTTAGTGTAGATTAGGTGGATGGTTAGTGGCCAGCTTGTACCTGACAATCCCAAAGACAGCGGTTTCTACGGGAGGATGAATTTCTGAGTTCTAGACAATCCATTCACCATCTTGGGAGACAGTTTATTTACACCTTAAGAATCTAAACAGAGTTCTGGTTGTTCTAAAGGTAAATTCTTTGCCATAGTCTCTTGCTCCAATAGCACTTCCTGAAAGTGACTTTTGGTCTAGATCTTAAGGAACCCTAAAGGACAAACAAATGTTAGAAGGGACATTTTAGAATTAAATACCTTCATAACATAAACAGAGTCTTCAAATGTTCCTGGATATTTAGCAAGGTGGTCAAGAAGCCTATAAATTGTCTATGAACAACACAGAGATTCTTCAGAAATTTCTAAAGACAGGATTAGAGATAAATGTTTAACTAGTTTTTTACAACCGCGAGCCCTGATGTGCAGAGAACCCCAGAGCTGAACACATTCTGCCTCCCCGGACTATGATTTGTAAGCGCTGTCACTCAGTTAAAGCCCCGTGGTTTTTACCAGCAAGTCCTGTGTCTGGTTAACGTGTGTGACTAGCAGCCCATTGTCTGGATTTTGATCGCGTCTGCTGACATCCTTCTTGTTAGCTTGCCTCCTTGGCTCTCCGTCATTGTTTCTCCTCCTGCTACAAAACACAAGTGGTTTGATCAGCGCCCCCACACTGAATATTGACTCCAGGCTGCCAGGAGCTCCTCTCTTTCCTCTAGTCCCGAAAAAGAGTCCAGAAACATTTTTATTTCTTTGCAGTACTCAGGAAGGGTTCCTGTAGCATCCTGATAAAATGTGGACCCCAGGACCATGGGACATTTTTCTTTTTCTTTTTTTAAAGATTTATTTATATATGCATACAAGACTAGGATACAGGCCAGAGGTGAGTGGGGGTAAAAGGACTCACCAGAGACAGAGCAGGGAACAGAACAGGCAGACTGACTGAAATACACTGCTGAGGGGAGCAGCGGGCGAGCCAGGAGAGGTCTGCTGCGCCATGTGGGTAGCTCCCCGGCCGGGGCTCAAACTCGTGCTGCAGTGGCTGCGGATAGCTTCATATGTTGAATCTTAACCCCTGCGCCACCAGGGAGGCCCCCCATGTGACATTTTTAAAATTTATTTTTATTTTTTATTGAGGTACATTGGTTTACAACACGGCATATGATGTAGGGGAAGAGGCTCACAGCTCCCCAGATGAATGCCCTCACGCCACACCCACCATCCAAGCCCCCTGGTGCAGTCCCCCAGCACAGGATGTTGTAAACTGCTGTCAGCAGTTAAATAACTGGAGCCCTCAGCTGTACTCTCGTGTGGCAAACTTTTACCCAGTCTCGCTTCCAGGCAAGTATTTCTCCCTCAACTCTCACAAGCAAAAATCTCATTTTCACTTGAAAAATCAGAGAAAACCTTACCAGCAATCTTCCAGACGCTTGTTGTCTCGGCCATGGGAGACGTGAATGGTTTGTGTAGCCATTATAAAAACACCCAGTGCGTGTTTTCCTAGGGGGGCAGGAATACCAGAAAAGAAGGGTAAGGGCAGCATGTAGACTACAGCTTCGCGGGGTATCTACAGTCAGCTCAGCTTCTTAATTAATTCAAATAACTCACTGAACACCTGCTGGTTATCAGGTTTTGTGCAAGGCACTGAGGATAGAATGCTGAACAAGATCTCAAGGGTTGGGGGCCTCCCTGGTGGCACAGGGGGTTAGGTCTCAGCACTGTGAAGCTATTGGCAGCCACTGTAGCGTGAGTTTGATCCCCAGCCAGGGAGCTACCCACATGGCACAGCAGACCTCTCCTGTCTCACCCGCTGCTCCCCTCAGCAGTGTATTGTAGTAGATCTGCCTGTTCTGCTCCCCACTCTGTCTCTGGTGAATCCTCTCACCCCCCACACCTCTGGCCTGTACCTCAGTTCTTGTATTTATTTATAAATAAATAAGTCTTTTTTTAAAAAGATATCAAGGGTTATCTCAGCCTCGGCACTTTGACATTTTGGACCAAATAGCTCTTCGTTTGGGGAGCTGACCTGTGCATTGTAGGATACTTAGCAACATCCCTGGCCTCCACCTATTAGGTGCCAACAGCATTCCTGCCCCTCTCCAAGTTGTGACAACCCAAAATATCTCCAGGCAAGTCCTTTGGCTCCAGTTGACTACTGAACTAGACTTTGTCCTTGTCCACATGGAGTTTATGTTCTAGAGAAGGAGACCAATATGGAAAACTAAAATATGGTAATTACAGGTTGTCGAAAGTTCTGCCAACCAAAGAAACAGGATGCCATGACAGACAGTAATCAGGAAAGGCATCTACTCGGCAGAGGTGAGGTGTGAGCTCGGACCTTCTTCAAGGATGAAATGGAAGCAGCCATGCTAAGAGTGTGGGGAAGGCTGGACTAGGCAGAGAGGACAGCAAGTGAGCAAAGGGTTTTGAGCAGGAGGAAGGAGATGGAAACTACTAAAGCCAAGTTGTTTCCTCCAAGACTGTATCTTCTCTCAAAAGGTGAGTCCCAGCAGCCTGCCAGTCACGTCTGATTGACTCAGTGGGAGACATGTACCCTCAGTGCCTTGCACAAAACCAGGGCCTCCCCGGTGGCGCAGTGATTGAGCGCTGGGTTGCGAAGCTGCCCGCGGCCTCTGTGGTGCCGGTTCTAACCCGGGCTGCTCCCCGGCTGCTCCCCAGCCACCGGAGGAGGGTCCCACATGGCGCGCAGACCTCTCCTGCCGCCCGCTGCTCCCCTCAGCAGTGTACTTCGGTCCTTCTGCCTGCTCTGCTCCCCGCTCTGGCTCTGGTGAATTCTCTCCCCCTCCCGCGCTTCTGACTGTACCCAGTGCTTGTATAAATAAACAAACAACAAATAAATAAATAAATAAATAAAACATGCCTCTATTAAAAAAAAATTTTAAAAAAAACCTGATACCTAGCAGGTGTTCAGTAAGTTATTTGAATTAATTAAGGTGCATCAGATTCACCCTCCGGGCCATGGGGCTGCCACGGACATTCAGAAGCAGGAGAAGAGCATCTTGAGAGCACAGTGGAGTGGAGGTTATGAGCTGCCATGGCTTCCCGGGGCCACTCTCCCTGGCTTCTTCCTGCTCTTTCTGTCTCCCTGCGGGCGGATCCTCCTCCACCTGTGATCTTAGTTGCTGTTCCTCGAGGCTGAGTCACATGTTCCCTTCTCACTTCTCTTACCCGAGGCGACCTGATCCTTGCTCATGGCCTCAAGAACCCCTTCTCCATTGATGACTCCAAGCGGAATGTCAAAAGCCCGGGCTCCTCGGACTCCAGGCCAGTGGACTCATGAACGCTGGAGATTTCCTTCTGGGGTACCATGTTCCAGACTGAGCTCACGTTCCCTCCCAGCCGGTCCTCTTTCGCTGTTCTCTAGCTCAGAGCAAAGAGCCGCCGCCTGTTTACTCTGAAGAGTCAGAAACCTAGGCATTGTTCTTGACACCTCACGCCCCATGTCCATCCTTCCCTACTCCTGGTAATTTTACCTTTCTCAAGTCTCTCCATTCATCTCGGCCACCACACACATTTCTTCCACGCAGGCCACATCATCTCTGCTGTGGACACCTGCAGGAGGCCCTCACCGCCATCCCGCCACCTCCCCATCAAGCCTGTTCTCACAGAAGCCAGGGTGAGCTTGTAAAACACAAATCCAGGGTCAGACTCTCCCTCCTCGCACCTGCTTCAAACCCACCCAAAGGTCTTCCTTTACCTCTGGGGTGAAGGCTAAGAGCCTCCCCGTGGCACTGGGGGCTCACACCACCTGGCAGCCACCTCTCAAAGTCTCCCTTCACCACCGCTCTCCCGCGTGCTCCTGGAATAGGCTACAGCGTCTCTAACCAGAGGCCTTTTCACACGCTGTGTTCTGGAAGAGTCTTTTCCCTAGTCCCCAACTTATGCATCCTTGATATTTCACCTCGAATGTCGCTTTCTCTGATGTCTTCTCCAGCGTGTTACTCTATTTCAGGTTCCTTGTGTTATGCAAACTTTCACAGAATTATGCTCCTTTGCCTGGAGCACTTAATTTAGAATGACACATTCATTAGTGATTTTTAAAAACGCGTGTCTCTCTCCTGCTAAGACTGTAATTGCCATGAGAACAGATACTGGCAGGCAAATAGTCGAAGGAGGGGAGGTGGAAGAAGGTTGAGAAACTGCGTTGGTTCTTGAATTTCTAATTATTGATCCTAGCTGCTTGGGAGAACTGACTTCACCTTCTGCTCTCGGGTTCCATGTGGTACCCGCTTTCTTATCATTCCCCACCTTCTTTCCTAGGTTAGCTCCGTTAGATTTTTCAAGGCAAGCGAGAAACTCCAAGTGGAGCTGCAACTTGAACACTAATGTCGAGAGGGTGTTCTTGGGAAATCATTAAGTTAAGCAGCCCAGGGTTGGTTGGGCGACTTGCAATCTTGCATTCAGAAAATGCTTTGCTTTCTGGGGAGCATCAAGATAATGTGGCGATATATAAAAAAAACAACTAGCTTTCCTTCCGCCTGTTTTGCTGGGAGAGAGTCGAAGCAGCAGTGAGCGCACGGGGAGCCCCTCATGTCTTAGTTTCCCTGACAGTGAGTGATTAACAATGAATTCAGAGGCTAGGGCCACTGGATTCTGGGGTGAAGTGTGGGGGACAGAGGAGGGTTCAGGCTATATCAAACTAACAAGAAACAACACGGTGTGCTAGAAAGAGCAGCGGGCCCAGAGTTTCTTCATCTGCAGAGCAGAGAGGGTGTTAGCACCTGCCCGGGTGACTTTGGCCACGGCCCAAGAGGTTCGGAAGACACAGAGGGTGTGCAAGGGTGATGTAAGCTACAAAGCAGGAGAGAATTGTAGAACAGCATCAAGCCCTTCAGCACATGATACTTGAGACATTTCGAGTGTCCCCTGGGGCCAGACAGAGCTGGCACTGGGGAGCCCAGCAGACAATGCTTCTCCCCTCCTTCCAATGCCCACTGCAGATAGAAGCTCCTCCACCCTGAGTCGCTCCCTCCATGGGACACCTCGTCACCTGATGATCGACCTCTCTGCTTGGGGGTCTGTTCTCCTCTCACACCCCACCCTGCCAAGAGCCCACTGGATCAACTCCATGCGGGCAGGGACTCAGTCATGTTCACTGCTGGGACCCTCTTGGGTAAAATGGTGCCTGGACCTAGTAGCTGCTCAAAATGGATCTGTTGAATAAATAGACTCAAGGGCCAGCCTTAGGACACAGGTGGTGGCCGCAGCCTGGGGGTGGCCCTGGCGCGGAAGGGAGCGTGCTGACTGGCCCATGGGAGGGGGCATCTGGGGCAAAGGAAACCTCAGCTACCACCTGTTTTGCTACAGACTTTCCCTGAACATTGTCCAGGATAAAGCCACCCTCAGGGCTTGTATGTTCGACTGCCCAGTAACCTCCAGTCTCGTCCCTGTTCAAGCCACTTTACGTTCTGCTGCCAGAGTGACTTTCCTAGTGAGCAGAGGGTTCCTCTTGCCGCCTGTTGAGGCCCCTGCTGTGGCTCTGTGGCCCACGAGAACCGAGTCAAGCCCTCTTCACGGGCTTGTCACTCCTCAGGCCCTGCTCCTTGCTCACCCCCGCCTCACCTGGCCTCTCCTCCCACAGCCCTGGCACCCCCTACTTGCACACACCTTCTCACTTCATACCCTTCTTTGTCAGTGTCGGACCTGATTCTAGAAGTGCCCCTTGTCCTTTTTGTTTGACCTGAATCCCACTCTCTGCCCCTCAGTCCCTGACAAGGAAATTGTTCCCTCTTTTGCCACCTGGGCCGTCCCCCATCAAGTCACATGTCCTTCTCCTGAGCAGCCCGTTCTTGCTGGTCTAGCATTGTGCCCAGCGCCCGGCACGTAGGGAGCAGGTGCTTAATACCCCGGGCTCCCTAAATCTCAGTGCCCAGCGTCCAGCGTCTGGGCCTCCGCCCTGTCCTCCCACCCCTGTCCACCCTGGAGACACTCACCCTCACCTGCACGTCTCCATTTATTTCTCCATCTTTGGGAGAAGGGCCCCTGGCCAACCCAGGGTCCTGCTTTCCTGGTTCCCACTTGCAGTTCCCCCAAACAAGTCAGTGCTGCCTGCCCCGCGGGGAGTGTTAGCCGGTCTCCCAGGCAACAGACCGCACCACTGCAGCCCGAGGCAGGGCCAGGCACTGCCTTCCTCACCCGGGGAGGGAATGGCCAGTTTGCTGTTGAGAACAGCAGCTCCCAGCCCACTGCTTCTCCCCACCCCCACAAAAGCCCGGAGCAGAACTTGGACTTCTACTCTATTTTTAGGATCTCTGGGTCAACAGAGAGCTCTGGTTTATACCCACAGCGCCCTTGTGTCTGCGCCTTCCTGTGGTAGGAGCTGAAGCCCTCAGCTCCTCCTCGCCAGATTCCCTGGGGTCCCCAGGCAGACGCACCCCTTGGGGGCCAGCCTCACCCACGCCTGGTGATGCAGCCGCGAGCTCAGTGACCTCTCAGCCTCGGGCGCCCAGCAGCAGCATCTGGGTTGTCTGCCAGAGAGCAGCCTGGTTCTCCCGCGGGAGGGAGGTCGAGCGAGAATGTGGCCAGGTGTGGCCAGGTGTGGCCAGGTGGCCCCAGGTGATTATGATGTAAGCGGCCCCTGTCCTGAGCTGGGGACCTCCTCGACTTCTTTCACAGAGGTTATAGGCGAAGTGATGGAAGCGGGGCCACCCAGCCCTGCTGGTCAGTGGCGAGGACCTGCGCTTCGTTTTTCTAACCCGGGTCATTTCTCAATCACTGCCATCCCCTCCCGAACCTTTCACTGTGTAGCTTAGAACCCGAGCTGCTTGCCACGTGGCAGCCAGGCCCCCAGGGAGCCGCCCCCCGCCGTGACTTCTGACTTCCACACCAGAGACAAGAAGGCCCTCGCGATGGACACTGCGTCCCCGCCTGGGTCCCTGCGGGCGGCACAGCCACGGCTGACGAGCAGCAAGTGGGGGCTGGGGGGTCGTGCCTGGAAGGAGGGCACCGCCCAGGCAGGGGAGCAGGGAGGCAAGAAGGAAGCCAGGTCAGGGTCGCGAGAGGCTGGGCACCTGCCAACACGACGCTGGACCAGCCGGGACCAGCCTTGTGCTCACCTTACCGAGGACCCGGCGGGGGGACTGGCTGTCGCCGCGACATTTTTGGAGACATGGCAGCGGCCTTCCAGCTGCCTTCGCTCCTGGATGCACAGACACAAGCGAACCCAACACTCAGAAGTCGTCACTGCTTCTTCCCTTTGGACTCACGGACGCACATTCTGGGTGTGTCAGGGCTAGATGGACAACGCGGAGTAAGGGGTTGAGGCTGGGAGGCCAGCCGAGAGGAGAGCTGTGGTGCCGGCACCATCTCGCTCAGCTCTGGATGCAGCTCACGGGGCGGTGGAGGGGGCGGGCGCGGGGTGCAGCGCACGGTGGGTGTTTCTCTTTCCCCTACCCTTAGGTTTTGGACGTTGTAGGGTAAGTAAATGATATCAGGCTTTTCTGCCCTCCCGCCATTAGGGTGGATGGTGGCTCCTTGCGGTGCTGAAGGCAGGCCTGAGGGCGGGCACCTGGAGTAGGGTGTGGGCATAGGTAGATGGGATTCACCTGGGCTCATAAGGGCAGCGTCGCCTGGAGAGCGAAAAGAGCGAAAGAGAGCTGCCAGGGAACAACAGAGCGGAAGGAGCAGAGAAGTAAAGGCCCCGAGAGAACGCCCAAGAGCCCGGAAAGTGTGAAGGCGTGCTGGGGGCTGAGAGGCCTGCCAGCCTCCCGACCCCCCCCAACCCCCTGGCACCCCTGCCTGCCGTGTATCTGGTAAATCCCAATAAAGCCTGAGAAAGCCACCGAGAGCTCCAGGACTCTCCTTTACCCGTCTGCTCCAAACAGAGAGAACCTGCTCCGTCCATCCCTGCCACCACAGATGGCAACTCATATCTGGCCCTTATTCAAGAGCTCTGGCCTGGCTCTGTTATCTGAAATACATTTGTCTGAATGTGTGAGCCCCACCACCCACCCAATCCGTTTTTGGAAACCTAATTCCTGAGATGACAGTATTATGAGATGGGGCTCTTGGGGTGACTAGGTTTCCAGGGCACCCCCATGAAGGGACACACACCCTTACACTCGAGGGCTGACTGCTCCCTAACCCCATCCCCCCCATGGGAGGATTTGGGGGTCTGCAGCCAGAAGAGGGCACTTCCCCTGCCATGCTGGCCCCATCTGACCTCAGCCTCCAGAAGTGAGAAATGAAAGTTTGTCTAAAGTGCTGTTGCAGGGAACACTTCACGCAGGGTGAGGTTTGTTTCCGTAAGAGAAAGACACACACATAAAAGACCCCGAAGATGTGGTTTTCCCCTGAGTCCACAGCAAGCTCAGTGGGTGGCAAAACCTGACTTGAAAAGCCAGGGGGGTCAGTGCCAGTGTTTATCCCACTCGGTGTGAGGACATAAGGGCTTGGTGCTGTGGAACATGCGGTCTCTGGGGGGAAGTTGCACAGAATGAGATTTTAATCTAAAATGTTGAATTCCAAAGCTCTTTTAAGCTTTTGATGAATATCACAGTGGCATGCCCGCCACGAGTCGTTCCTGTAACCCTCGTGTGTTGGAATTCTCATGGGCACGTGTGGTGACTTCACTAATATTTTTAGCATCTCAACCCCTCCCCCCTGCTTAAGTTGAGATAATTGACAGATAACATTTAATGAGCTTCAGGTGTGCAATCCACTGCCACATATGTGTGCACTGTGAACTGAGTCAAATTTGTCTTTTTTTTAAAAAAAGATTTATTTATACAAGAATCGGGGTACAGGCCGGATGTGCGGGAGGGTGAGAGAATTCACCAGAGACAGAGTGGGGAACAGAACAGGCAGACTGACAAAATACACTGCTGAGGGGAGCAGCAGGCGAGACAGGAGAGGTCTGCCGTGCCATGTGGAATCCTCGACGGCCGACTGGGATCGAATCAGTGCTGCAGAGACTGTGGACAGCTTCACAGCACTGCACTCAACCGCCTGCACCACCAGGGGAGGCCCATAAATTTGTCTTTATAAGCCTCTGACCTGTGGTATTCTGGGTTAGCAGCCTGGAGAGACTAAAACAGTATTACCATGCAACATAAGTTTTTAGCTGTTAATTTGTATGTTGCTTTCTTTCATTCTTTCCTGCATTTCAAGCCAGCAGCAGGCACTTCTGTTGTTTTTCTGACTTTGGAGAAGCCTGTGCTGATTCGGCGGCATGCCCAAGACAGGCCAGGATGTGCTGGGTGTCCAGAGGACAGTGGGAGCCCGTCGAGATTCTTCCAGTTAAATGAGACAGAAACCCAACTCAAACTGGCTTAAGGAAAAATGAAATTTATTTGCTCAAATAACAAAAATTCAGAGCTAGCCCTGGTTTCAGTCACGACTTGATCCAGAGGCTGAAGTGATGTGCAGAGGAATCTGTTGCCACTTCAGCTTCCTTTCTTCTGCGAGGACTTTATCCTGGGGCAGGCACCTTATGAGTGGTTGGCAAACCTGGACACCGAGAGCACCAAACGTTACCCACAACTCGGCAACCCTGGAGGAAGGAAAATGCCTCTTTTCCAGCAAAGTCCCAGGCTTGGCTTGTTCCCATGACAAGATGTTCCCCAACCAACTGCTATGTCTCTGATTGGCCAGACCTGGCTGGTGATCAGTCATGGAGGGTGAAGTTAGTCCTACTTTTTTTAGGGGGGCATGGGTCTATGGGGACATTCATACTAGGCAAATGTGCCCTTCAGGAAAGACACAGAAGATAGTCCTCAAGAGAAATCAAGAAATCACATGAAAATTATAGGAGTACGGCCTGCTTATCTTGGCCGCAACACTTTGGTGACATGACGAGACTTCAGAAGATGTGGGTCCTTGTGCATCCAGCAGAGTCCACAGGCACAGGGGTTCCCAGCTCACCATGCCCACGCATGGGCTGGACACAGAACTACCACGCAATTCAGCCTGGGGCAGTTGATGTTTTAGCCGTAATGACTGTAGATACTGACAAATGACAGGCGCGGCCTTCCTAATGTTTGAGCCATGATCCTCTGCATAACCCCAATCACTAACAGACTAACAAGGTAGAAAGCATTCAGTTGCTATTTTTTAAAAAAGATTTATTTATTCATGCATACAAGAACCGGGGTACAGGCCAGATGGGCAGGAGGGTGAGAGGATTCACCAGAGACAGAGCGGGGAACAGAACAGGCAGACTGATGAAACACACTGCTGAGGGGAGCAGCGGGCAAGGCAGGGGAGGTCTGCTGTGCCGTGTGGGTATCTCCCTGGCTGGCTGGGAATCGAACCCGCGCTGCAGAGGCTGCAGACAACTTCACAGTGTGGCGCTCAACCTCCTGGGCCACCAGGGGAGGCCCCCAGTTACTATTTTTTAAGAACTTATGTGGGGGTAGGGGTTAGCCTGTTTGGGAAAATTTCCCTGGGTACCAGTAAATCAATGCGTGACATCATCTAGTTCCCCAATTAAGGAAGTTAGCACAGTGAGGAATGCAGGAAGTTTGACAATGGGGGGATGATGGGAGATTAAGCACAAACAATTACTCACATACCTTGTTTTCCTCTTTCAACTAAATATGTAACATTCACAAGTCCTTTCTAACCGGGCCTACCTTTCTGCCTGGCTGCACTCCATATCCCGAAGCAAACCATAGATTTAGCTGCTGGTGTCTGAGCCAGGGACTCAGGCAACTGGGACAAGCTATTTTTACTTTCTTCCCACTAGCCAATGGGGTGATGTAGGCCAGCAGTTTTCCTTGATGTGAAGTTAGGGAAACAAAGTTTGAAGCCCAGATCCATCAAGGTCTAGTCACAAAACCTTGGGTAAATTGTTCACCCCTCGACCCTTAGCTTTCTAGTCTGTAAAATATCCCTCGCACTGACCAGGAGGAGGGCTGATGAAGATAACCTAAGGAAAAGCACGTCTCATGAGTGTTATGTTTCCCCATGTGCTTATAAATGTCCCCATTTCTTAACCACTGTGCTTTAAGAAATAGGAATTACCTTAATAGAGTAGCTGATACCCTCTAGTTAGAATGCCAGGCCATTATATTCGGGGAGTTCCAGTCATTGAAGGCCTAGGTTCACACAGTAACATTATTTGTAATAGCAAAAACTTGGAAACCACCTACCTGTACATTAACAGAAGAAGCTGTGTGTACACACACACACACACACACACACACACACACACACACAAATGAGCAGGACACACCCACACATACATATGTGTATAAGTGATCTATTTATATATATAATATACATATAAAAGCACATAAAATATTGTAAATGTTGCAAAATGTCTGGAAGAATACCTGATAAACTCTTATACAGATGTGTTTATTGTGATGAAAAAATCAACTGGTGCCACTTTAGGGCCATGGTAGCTTCCTGGGTGAACAATTTGTCCAAGGTTCTATGACTAGACCTTGATGGATCTGGCCTTCAACAGCACTTAGGACAAGAAAGTTACAGGTGACCCTGAAAGGAGATGTGAGGTGAACCCCTGGGGGGCGCGATCAGACAGCAACACGCAAGTCCACTTGCTACTAACTACATCAGTGAAATATGAAGATGAAGTAACCAGACGCTTTGAGGTATGTAGATTATCCACCTCCCCACCCAGCACTTTTTTGGATAATGGAATTATGGAAAGGATTTTCTCTGACTGGATCTACCACTGCATCTTCATTTTACTAGAGGAAAAAAAACAATGGAAAAGTTTTATTTTTTATTGAAAAGAATACTTGAATTTGCTTAGACCAACTAAATATTGAAGCAACATGAAGAGTGCCAGAGTCAGGACACAGCATTTATCTTACTGACTTGCCTGACAGATAATAAATGGAGGATGACTTAATAGTGACCATATACATTGGCGACATTATATTAAAGTGCCATAAAATGGCCAGTTGGGAATAAACGACCACATCTAAAATAAGACCAAATCTTCGTGTCCATTCCTTTCGGCAGAAATAATTAAAACCATCCCCGCAAAACCAAGTCTTTGCAAAACATACCAAATGTATGGCTTCAAGATGGCAGAAAACCCACAAGCTTCCAGCAGCTTCCAGAAAGTTCTCTCAGGATCAATAGGGTGCTTGTATCATCCTGGTCCTCTTTGAATAAGTATTGATATTAGAGTACTGTAAGTTCAGTAGGGGAGGCTCTTGAGTCCACAGTGGAATCCTAAGGGGGTGTCACTGAAACTGGGGTATTATATAGTCAAATACTTACCAACAGAGTAGTAGCCACAGTTACTTATAAAGGCTGATGTAGGCAAGTCTCTGGTCAGGAAAAATGTCACAGAAACCATCTTGGTAAACAGATGACCAGGCCTTTCTCAGGAAATAACTCCATAATTCTCCTCTATAACCCAACCCCAAACTCAGTTACGGCCATCAATTCACGGTGAAACACAGTGCCAGGTCTCGAAGGGACACGGAAGCCACATCCCTTGCATTTGCAAGTTTATAATCAAGTTATAGAGGTGTGTTTAATAATAGCAGCAACTAGCATTTGAATGTTTACCATGTGCCAGGCACTTTCCATGCTGTATCTCATTTAAACCACCACTAACCAACCACGAGGTAGGTACAGTGAGTCCCATTCTGCAGATGAGAAACCCAAGGGTCACCAGGGTTACATGATTTTTTTATTAAGGGTCATGTAGCTGGAATTGGGGAGTCTTGAGTCCGGGCAGTCTCTTCCCCTCTAGGAAGTTAAGTTTCAAAGGTGTAAAAGAGAAACCACAAAAATTAGGTATTTTTCAAATACGGGAGAGATTTGGGGAAACTTCCAGAAGCAGTACAGACAGTCGTGAACGAGAGCAGGTGCAATGGAAGGAGGGAATAGAAGCTGGTTTGCCAGTAGAAAGAAGAAAGGATGGTGGGAATGAGAACCCGAAGCAGATGAGGAAGTGTTCTCCAGGAGGCTACGCTAGAGGATTTCCTTCTGCAGACAGTGGGAATGACAGGAACTCCAGTAAGGAAATTGTGTTCTTTTTTGTGTTAAGGTTGTTTTGGCAGAAACAACTGGAATGGATTGAAGCAGATGGAGATTGGTAAGAGACTGGTTCACAGGGCTATGGAACGTGACTTGCCCTAGGTCACAACTTGTCAGTTGTCACACAGTTTTCCGTGTGTCGAATCTCTGCTGAGACTTAGTTGTGTGGCTTTGGGTAAGTTAGTAAGTCTATGTCCTTGGTTTCTACATCTGAGAAATGAAAAGAGCACTGGAATGCTCTTTTCAATTTCACTCAGTCTGAGTCTCACGAAACATTCCCTGTTGAAATTGAGGGGCCTCCCTGGTGGCACAAGGGGTTAAGCACCACACTATGAAGCAATCCGCAGCCTCTGCAACATGAGTTCGATCCCCAGCCCAGCCAGGGAGCTACCCACATGGCGCAGCAGACCTCTCCTGTCTCGCCCATTGCTCCCCTTAGCACTCTATTTCGGTCAGTCTGCCTGTTCTGTTCTCTGCTCTGTCTCTGGTGAATTCGCTCGCCCCCCCACACCTCTGGCCTGTACCCTAGCTCTTATGTGTGTAAATAAATAAATCTTTTTAAAAAAGAAAAGAAATTTAATCTTGGGTGATCTTAGTCTGTAGAATTGGGCTTTTAGAAACCTAAAATGGGCTTTAAATACAACCCCAGAGCTTTCTTGCTGGGAAAAGAACCAACAGCCTAAAAAATAATATAGCATTATGCTTCTATCTTTAATACCATTTATAAATAACTTTTATTTTGTTGCTGGGTAACTGTGACCCAGAAGAGTTGACTTTGCATAAAAGGAACGCACAGTACTTAAATCTTGGTGTTTTTCCTGTAATCTTTTCATACAGTGGCTGGAATAGAATTGATGGGAGACTAAGTCAAAATAAAAGATTTTTGAACCTATACTATTGTTTTAAAAGCCAGTTTTATCTATTCCCAAGGTATTACCAACGGAAGAAAATGTTTTCCTTTTCTCTTAGAAGTACAGGCTACCACTCCAACCGGTCAATTCATTGTTTCCAGAAAAATAACTTCAAATACCACTGATCTCTTAGAAACCAGCATATTTGGATTACATATGATCAACTCATTCCTACTTGCTTGGAACTTCCCAGCTACGGCACTGGAACTTTTATGTCCTGGGAAACCCCTCAGTTTCAGGCAAACCTGGATGGCATTTTAAGCAAATGCCCTTAAGGTCTACAACCCAGACCATTCAAATCCTACGTGTCTTAATCTCCCGGCTTCCCATGAAGCTCCTGGAAGAGGCCACGTAAGGACGAAACAGCAGCAAATAGGGTTTTATTCGGTCACCAGTTCTTAGACGGGGCTGATCCCGACACCTTCCGAGAGGGCCACCGCAAGCTGTGACGGCGCACTCGGCGAGCCGAGAGACCCTGGGCCTCTGCGCGGCTCCTGCAGCCGGCAGTACGGTGCGAAGACTGAAGCAGGGGCGAATGAGCTGAGGTCTCCGTGTAAGGGAGAGCAAGGTGGTGGCTGAGGGGCCCCGGCACAGCACCCCTCTCCTGGGCCATGGAAACACGATGCTTAAGAGTCATGTGTGCAGCCTGGTGGCACAGCGGTTGAGCGCTGGGCTGCGAAGCCGCCTCAGCCTCTGCAGCGGCCGGTTCAATCCCCGGACGCCGGCGAGGGTCCCACACGGCGCGCAGACCTCTCCTGCTGCCCGCTGCTCCCCTCAGCAGTGTACTTCGTCAGTCTGCCTGTTCTGCTCCCCGCTCTGGCTCTGGTGAATTCTCTCCCCCTCCTGCGCTTCTGACTGTACCCAGTGCTTGTACAAATAAATAAATAAATCTTAAAAATAAAGAGTCATGTGTGTAGCCTTCTATGGCTGAGCGACTCCTCTCATTGATAAAGAAGGCCTAACCCCTGTTCTGGAATATTAATGGCATCTCCTCTCCGGGGTGGGGGGAGACTAGAGTGGAAGCGGAAGGGAAAAGAGGAGGCCACCCCCTTGGATGATATTAACAAACCAAACCAAAAGGCATGAAGTGTGACTGTCCAAATGCATGAAGACTCTCTAAGAAACCAATTTTTGAAATAAAATTTTTAAAATCAAAGCTCATTTCAAAGTAATAGAAGCCTTTTTAGTTTCTTTAGTAGACAATTTATTTTGATAAACTTGCTCAATAACAAAAATACAGTGAAGAAAATTATGTTCATTTTATACAGTTTGTATTAACAATTTGTTTTGAAACTATTAATCGAAAAATGTTATAACCAATTAGAAAACAATTCTTAATAAAGTCTGGGGTAATATACAGACCTTGATCACAAACTTGAAAATCTCTTTGAGGTGATACAACCGATCTGTCCTGTGCAGGAAGCCCAACCCACACAGGTCACTTTTGTCCTTCATATATTTTTATCCTTCAAAAATTCTGAAAGACACCTTACTATTTTGAATTGTGATTGTAAATTTAATTTTGAAAAAAAAAAAGATTAAAGGGGGTTGATAAAACAGTTACTATAATCAGAGTAACTTGTGGCTAGCAGTCTTTAAATAAAGACAAAAATAAATGCAACATGTTCTTCCCATGAAGCCCACGATGCAAAATGAGAGCCCAGCGTCCATTCAGAGCCAGCTGCCCGTGCTTCTCAGGGCTTTCCTCTAGAACAAGAGAGTGCGTGTCACCAGGACTAGTTATTATTCTGCTTAAGAGATTAAACAGTGAAAATTCACAGAAAATCAAGTGGGGATATCAAAGCTTTAGGCAAAAGGGTAAAAAAACCAATGGAGTGTTTTGGTCACCTAAAACATGAAAAAGAGGATAGAAAAAAAAAAAAAAAAAAAAAAAAGAACCGCCCTTCAAAAACAAAACAAATGAAACAAATGGAACGGAACAGAGTTTTATAAGTGAGAGAGTCAGAAGAATTCCAACCACACATTAACCACATAGAACATGGATTACCTTTGGAAAGAATCATACTGAAATGTTGGCTTTTAATGAACTGAAGGTTTTTCATGTTTACAGATGTTCAGGCATGTTCAATAGGAGCGTCCAAAAATCTCCAAACTAAGTCTTGTGCAAATAAAACCTACAGATAGTTTTTAGCAGATTTTACAGTGATGCTCTTAGGTATGGTAATGCACACACTCTAAAAACAATGTAACAGACAAAGGTTTGACAAATGATTGCACCATATGACAGTATTTTATATACAGTTTACAAGAATATGATTTCCTGCTATTAATACTGTACTACACATAGTACTTATTATAGTGACCTCTTAAAAAGCAACTGCTGACAGTTGTCTATCTTTTCACTTACAGGATTTATAGAGTTTTTATATGAATGAATCCGTCGCAATGTTTGGTCTGGAAGAGTACAAAGGTTTGACTTCACATACTACTTGATGGGACGGTTTTAATCCTGGATGAGAGTGCTGACTGGCTAGAGGGAGTTTTCCCTCATCAGCCTGCTCTGCACTGGACCTCCACGACAATGATGAAATTAAAGACAATTTAACAGCTTGGGTAACAGATACAAATAAAAGCTTAAGTTTTGTAATCTTATATGCAATACCACTGTAAGTGAAAGAAGTAAACAGCGGGGAAATTTTTAGCAGCTGAGAAACTTTCTCTCCCCATGCTCATGATCCAGTTAAAAATACTTTGAGAAACTATTTACAATAAAACTCATCTTTTGGAAGAGAAGAGCTCTTGGTCATATCATAACTTAATTTGAACCATACTTTGCTAACACTTCATCTCAGTGGCATAATGGCGACGACCCAAGTTTTCCTTCCAAGGGACCCAGTGGCCTGTGGACCAACCAAATCACGATGGGGGTGGGGGCAACCCCAAATGTCCATCGAGCAGGCCCGTCCAGTGGTATTCTTGGAATTGGCTAGACGTCATAATACTTGGGGGTAAAGGTCTCCCTCAGGCATCTCCCAAAAGCTTGTTTGACCCGGGGGAAGAACGAGCGTGACAATCCCCTAACACTCAAGGAACGCATCACCGGGCGGTGCCTCTGCCCGTGACTCCTGCATGAGCCGAAACACTGCGATTTTCTTTTTACGATGAAATACTGCCCGATCCCCAGGGGGCCAGGGTGCAACGCACCGGGCTCTTGCGCCTCAGACTCCGAACGTCTGAGGAGGCAGCCCCATCTCTGAAGTGATCGCACTATCACTTACAATCTAGCGTTGTAAGAAGAGTGCATTTGTTGGTGGGGAGCATGAACTACCCAGGCATCTAACTCTACCGGCAGGGACGGTTTGGGTCGTTGTTGCACCGTGAAGAAGAAAAACTTAGCCCCACTGCCATGAAAGCCCCTCTGCCCCGCACTGCAAACAGGAGATTATCTACAGTGTTCGCCTGGAAAACAACTGAGCACTGACATGGAGGCAGGGAATGTGGAGAAGAGAAATGCTGTATTTAAAACTACGTGTGGGTTCAAAGTTAGCTGTAATGCTTATTTTAGGGAAAAAACAAACAAAACAAACACAAAGCTGTGGATTTACGACAGCCCCTTAAAGTAAATGCAAAAAATGTTAGGCCCTAGCAAACAAGGCAGGTAACATATAAAGTAAATATTGTATTGCTCAGGTTTTTGGTAAAGGAGATGTATTACTAATGCTTACAGATGAAGAGAACATAAATTTAATTTTCATAGCAGAATGAAGTTAGTTTTGTAAGAGCCAAAATACTGTAAATTGATATTACTAGTGAACTTTGCATTTATGTAAAGTTGTGTGCTCGAACATATAAAATGCATTATTAATGTAACAGACCAAGTCAGTAGAAAAAGAGAACCTCTGTACAACAGACAACAGTCTCCAATAATTTAAATAGTGTCAGATTCCCCCCAAATTATAAGGTTTGACATGATCTTACCTTCTACTATCATATACAAATAAATTAACCCTACAAAGAATTTTAGCTTAACTTAAAATTGCACCTAGAAAGGTATGGGATTATTTGTACCTATTACAAAAACCTGTTAAAATCAAGGGCTGCTACAAAGAATGAGGTAAACTGAAGACTCTCTCCACTATGCAGCCTTCAGATAAATGGCTTTTTTTCTATTGAGTTCTAGGTTTGCACACCACAGTGTTTTGCTAGCAAAGCATTCAGAATTCTCTTCCAGGAACTGTTTGCATGTGTGTGTATATAAATTTACACACACATACACACACACACACACATATATACACACTGTATACTGCATCAGCAAAATATATATATTATATATATATTTATATAAATATAAGGAACATTTCCCCCCCACCCCAACAACATGTTTCTTAGTGTTTGATTTTTTTTTTTTTTGTACACAGGGAATAGGGAATTCAGAATTTTTACATACATTTTAGCAAACAAGTTTTGATCTATTGGCTTCTTGATGCATTAATGCAACGGCAATCCATTTTGGTGCCAAAGGCTCATACCATTACAAGGAAGCTGTGAACACTTATTTCTTAGGAGTTGAAGCCAGCCCCACAGGAACTTCTCTTGCATCCCTCTGGTCCACCACGTTTCATAAATATTTAGACTTTTCCCCCCTCAAATGAATCATTAGACGTTAAAAACGCAACAACAGAGTCACAAAGGGCCACATGCTTTTCAGTATAAAGCATTCTCCTTCACTGGGTTGCTATCACAGTGCAGACCTGACTGCCTGAATATGCTCAGGAGATTAAGTCAATATTGTCTGTATTTGGTTATGGAAAAGGCTCTCCTCTATTTTTGTTTTTAAATCCAAAGTGCATAGTGAGAACAAATCAAAGCATTTTTTTTTTTTTTTTCTTTTCAACATCAGTTTCATCTCAGCATCTTCCTGTGAGGACACTCAGATGCCTTGCCTTTGCCCTCCCCACCCTCCAAAAAATAAAAAAATAAAATAAAATAAAATAAAAAATAATAGAATCAAGCAATTTAGACATTCATCAGCCTGGTAAACAAACTTTGCCGGCAAATAGAAGTCCTACTATTGTAAAGAAAATTGATAAGACAAAAAGTACATAGGATGACCCAACTACTGTGTTGTTGGGTAATTTATAAGGTTGACCTCCGACTTCATTGATGTAAAATCCTATTGGAAATATTAGGGCAGCCATACAGAAAAGGATCACTGTAAAACAAACCAAAACACAACATTAGTAACATGATTTGGTGATTAAGAAAACAATGAAAATCTGGCACAAAGGAGGTTTACAAGAAGACTTGTGGATTGGTAGCATGGTCAAACCTTGTCAAGAGATTGCACATATTACAGATCGAATACTATCCCGAAAGCCTAACAATTAAATACCCAGTAAAAGCTGGGTTTGTCTTTTATATACGTGTTAGGACAATTTCAAATTATCAGCACTAAGAATGGTCTCCAAACCTACTAAGTAACTCCACATTTTATTTCTGCCCATTTAAAATAGTGATTGCGAACATCAGTTAGAATTAAATAGGAGGTAAGTTCTGGCTCTACTACTTCTTAGCTGTGCGACTGAAGGCTTCTGGTTCCCTTCTTAAAATGGGGCAAATATTAGAAGAAGGAACAAAACAATGTGATGTTCCTAGCACAGTGCCAAGTTGATAGTAAGTCCTGAATAATGTTGCCTATCATTGCCATCGTTATTATTTTGTCAATTCTCAGCTCCTACTCAATTGGTTAGAAGGAACTGGACAAAGGCACATGCGAATACACATACCATTTGTTGTACTCTGATTCTGTCTTACTCTGATTTACAATCATCCAGTGGAAAGAACGTCAGACTGGAAGGACCAGCAAACTGTAGAAGCAGTTGTCTCCTATCATGGACAATATTCTCCCTCATCCCCCAAAATAATCTTGTTAGGTTTTTGAATACAGAGGGGTCAGGCCGGGTAGGGCAACCTTTTTTGAGTTATGTACATAAACACAATGAGATAGTATTTGCTAAAATATTTCTAGAATGATATCAGAAAACCCAGCAGAACTAATTCTACGGTCGACTGTTTTAGGAAATCGCGTGCTCTCCTGTACTCTTCCTAACACAAATTACATATATATAGGCCAATTTTTCAAAAAAAATACTTTATGCTTTTTGAAGGCACATTGGTCAAATGTCTATAGTCCTTTAAATTTCTTTGGAGGCAGAAACATTTCTTTGGTGTGGTATGAAGACAGATTGCCCTAGTGATTGCACACAAAGAGCTGAAGATTTCTATTATCTACTGAATGAGAAACATTTTCCAAGTTCGACCAATCCCCATGGATATTGAATCTTAGTTAAATATTCCAGCTGACACTAGCCTTATTTTTTGTGTGTGTTAACAAAGTTTCATTGCAGAGTCCTTAAAAGTGAATTAGGAATCTTTTTCTTGATGGAATGGCTCCAGATATATATTTTCTTACGCAATATATTAACTTAGAAAACATACTAGCACTCTTGTTGCATTTTCACCATATAGGTGGGTTATTTTATATCATACAAACATAAAACCTATTTCATTGTGGGCAAACAACTACACCAAATACTGATACATAAGCAAACTTGGATTCTTTCAAATACCTACCATATAACAATGAAAAATTCAGGAATTAACTAGTAGGTCTTTTGGCCTTTCTGTTGTACAGTCAACAATAAGTAACTCTGTGAGTGCTGCCGATGCCTGTTTATCAAGTGTTATCTGTCACCAATTTCTAGTGGTTCTTAGGCCTTAATACGTTTGGTAAGTGATACCAAACCATGACCTAAGTAGTTATATACAAGTAAAAAAAACAATGGGAAAAGATTATTTTTTTAAAAACAATTTGTTTCTTAATGCTCACTAGCCTAGTCTTAAGGTACATTAACTACAAGTGCTTTCAATGCGTAGATATTAGAGCCAACTACCCTGTCAATTGATGTGCCCTTTTCTATTTTCTCTGTAAAATAAAAATCTCCCCTTTCTAGTGGAATAATCTCTTAATGACTATATTTAAAATAGTTTTACTATTTCACAAGAGTTAAATCTTTCCAAATTGGTTAGGAAAAGCTTTATCAAATTTTAAGGAAGCAATGAAACGGCTATTCAACTTAATCTTGCTTCTGAAGGAACGAGGTTCTCCATACTCTCTGCGAAATTTAATGCGGGTGGGTACGTTTTCTCTTAAGCTACTGAGACCAGTGAAGTGATTTTAGATCTTAAAATATTTTTAATGCTGATGGCATCTATTATCGTTTTGACAACTAATGTCTGGGTCTTAAATAAGCCTGTAAAGACATAACTTCATTTCCTCCATGGTATATTTTGGTGGTGAGAGTCAGTTATCAGGTATGCTGGCAGATGAGGGTGTAAATTAGGGTGGCAAAGAAAAGCACAAAGGTCAGATTGAGGAAAAAGACACACCTCTGTTTCCCTGGCCCCCAGAGTAAGCTCCGGCGTGCAGACCCATTAGCAAATGTGACCTCACGTTCTTACCAAACCTACTAAAGAAAAAGTACATTTTCAAGGGCTGAATGAAACACTAGGGGGAGCCCAATCTCTCTCAGGGCCGCACCCCAGTAGACTAACTTGTTCTTGGTAACAAGAACAATGTATTTGATGAAGCTAAGAGATCAGAGTAATAAGTACGCGTACATTCCCATACATATGACACCTCTGGTAGGAAACCCCATAAACTGGGAACAGCTGCCTCTAGGAAAGGGATATTGGATGGTCGGGCAATAGGACCGCAAATGAGACTCACTTTTCATGGTGACCTTTTTGAAGGCTTTGAATTACATGTTATCTACATAGTTCAGTAATATAAAAGTAATACATATCATTATTTTTAAATCTTGGAATACTTAACTAAAAAATAAAGGATAAACACATTGCATTTGGGGTAGTTACCTGTACTTAAATATTCTCTGTCGAAGGGGAATGGAAAAACACAATCCTATTTCTTTACCTTTCTTGGGTCACAAGAACCAATCAATGGCTCACGCGAGCATCTTATTGCTTTCTTTGACTTACGCTACTTGGCTAAGTAAGATGGTAGATTTTTCTGCATTCAGGGCACACATGCATTCTTAGATTGCAACTAAATCCAGAAATTAAAGCCTTCTTTGATTATATTTTACTTCCAGAAAGTCTATCTGACTACATGATGTCCTTGCACTGAAGACACAGATTTGGATTCTTTTTTAGCTCCGGGTGGGCCCTGCTCCCCTCAGCGCTGTGTACCCCCGCCCTGACTGTCTCCACCAGAGCTTTCTGGGGATCTGACTCCAACCAGACCATCGGCTTCTTTCACTTTTCTTAACAAGGGTGGAGACTTTTTATGTCAAAGGCAAACTTGATTTAAAATTTTAAATTAAGGGAGATATGGAGACAGAAAGCAGCCAGAAACACAAACATAAAAGAGTTTCAGAGAGCGAGACAGGGAGAAATGGGTCCCTATAGTCTTTAAGGGTAAACTGAGTTTTAACATGAATGGGAATACATAGGTTTCTGCTTGTCCCTATCATACCACTTTTAAATGGAAGTAAGCTAAGTTATAACATTAATTTATTAAAACTTAGGCAAACCTGCTAGGATTTTAAAGCACCAAATCAGAAGTCAGACCCAGAGTACTGGCATGTCGCTCTCCTGACCTGCGGAGCAGGGTGTCCCAACAGCACCCCATTGCCATTTCAGACCAGATAAACCTCTACTGTGGGGGCTGTCCTGTGCATTTGGAAGATTTTACCAGCCTTCCTGGCCTCTGTTTACTAGATGCCAGTAGCACCCCCCCTAGTTGTGACAATCAAAATGTTTTTAGACATTGACAAATGTTCCCGGAGGGGCAAAACATCTTTAGACAGAAAAAAGCAAGAAAGCAGAATTATCTTTCGTGTGCATTTTTGCTTCTTTTAACTCGCAATAAGCCTTTGATGTGCTCTGGAATGAAACCAATTTTGCAAAGTACCAGAGAATGTGTAATATATACCTATATCATACCCTTAGGCATAGCTTAATGAAATAAGAAATGTTGAGAAACAACTGTTAAATAACCAAATGTGTTGATTTTTTCAGTGGTTACATAACTCACAGCAGACACTCAAAATCAGTGACATTAGAAGTTAAATCACCATGTTCATCTAATTTATATTCTGCTATATTTTCATCTAGATTCATATTTATTGGATAGAAGATACCAAAACCCTCAAGAAGAGAAAAAGACTCAGGTTAGGGGGGTAGTTCTGAGTCATAGACCTGGAACTTTCATGCCACAACGTGAGAAAAATAATGCATTGAAATAACATTTTATACAAAAGCAATTCAAGCTTTGACGTCCTGGTCTCCAGGTGAAATTCTGAAGAACCGGTGGGACTGTGCAGTCTGTGTGACGGCCACGCCAGTGGCGCTCTGGGTGACAGGCATCCTGACAACTGATCTTGATTCACTTCATAAAAACACCAGCTGGGTGCCTTCTAGACCAATCGGGCAAGCATGGGCTACTTACTTCCAGTGAACGCTATCCACCGAGCATATTTTGTAGCTTCTCTTCGCCAGTGGGAAGCCACCAGCAAACCACAAGTGACAGTCAATGAAATGATTCCCATGATGATAAAAAACAGTGTAGTGACCCACTCGGGGGGAAGTCGAGGTGGGATGCACGTCCGGTCTCGTCCGTGGATTGTCTGACACTGTCGCACGAGGCCCACGGTGAGTGCTCCTGGAGAGATGCGAAAGGTGGAGCATTTAGTGCGTTGGCACGCCCAGGGGTCAGCCCCCTCCACCGCCAGTGTGGTCCTTAAACCGTACTCCTCCCAGCGAACTTAACGCCACTGAATCCTACTTCCCCGCATTCTGCTGAGGATCACTTTGTAGTGATACTTGGCTTAACACATCAAGTGAACTAAAAAAAAAAAAAAAATCAACTACGAAGGCTATATAAAGCACAGCTCGTTCAGACATTACTGCACAAATGCTTCTCTGAGTACCTGTGTCAAATACTGTTCTAGGCTCCAGAGAATAACAAGATAGATAAGGTTCCTGAACTTGCTGAGTTACACACTAGCAGGAAGAACTGGAACTTTCCTATTCCCAGATCTAATCATTGTATATTCTTTTATTTTGGTTGAGGAGAAAAATGCTTTCCAAAAAAAAAAAAAAAATGAAGGCAAACTTGAACTACACACCTAATCATAATATGCAAGTAAAATAAGTGGATTAAATACTGGAACCAGAATGTTATGAAAGTGAAAAGGTCTAAGAATATTTAAATATCATTAACTACTTTCCAGCTATATTCAGGAAACTGTTGGAATAACCAGCAGGTCCCCCGATTTGGTGAACTCAACAGTTTCTGTACAACACGCCCATGTTTCCGCTGCCGAGCTGTCACTGGTGGCTTCAGCAGCAAAGCAGAGAGGCATTAGTGGTGACTTTTATTGTGCCCCCTTCCCTGCTTAAATAACATCAAAGTGATTTGTATAAGGCATCAAGTGCCACTTTCACATGAACATGTAAACCCAAGGAACATGTCAAAGCCAAGGAACCTCTCTATCAAATCTAGGTGAATTCATCTGCAGAACCTTAGATGAGGGAGGTGAAAGAATAATTATTTTATCCTCTTCCTGACTTAGAAGACTGTTGCTTTTGAGTAGATGCTTTTTACCCTCCCTTTTAAAATTGAGGTCACCCTGTTACATCACTGCGGGTTTTAGGCTCACACGCCACCCCCAGCGCCACCCCCAGAGCACCGTGATCCTTCCCCACAGTCCCTGCCCACACCTCACCCTCCCTCTGGAACCTCAGCTTTGCAGTCAGAGTCTGAGGGAGTGCTTGGCTTCTGTTTTGTTGCTCCTTTGCTTTGTTTTTTTTTCCCCTTTCAGAGCAACTGCAAAGGGAAGACAATTGCCAAAAGGAGGAGAAAAAAATTTCTAAAGCCACTGAAAATGTAACGGATTTTTTATCTTTTTTGGTCTTAGTTATTTCCTCAATATGAACAAGACAATGATGTTAAAGTCATAGCCAGTAGGAGCCACAAACCAGTGCCTTTCCTGAAGACAGTCAGTAAAATCCTCAGGGCCTTCTGGGAGCTGCCTCAGTGGAGGAGCAGGGCTGGATCCCCTAAGAGGTGTAAGTGTGGGGAGGGGATGCTGAGGGAGTGGACTTCCCTGCAGCTTGTGTTTTGCTACTGGTACATTTTTAGAAACAAAGCAAGTGTTCAACAAAAGTAAAATGGAAAGTCAGATCTGCTCTCAAAATTGTCTTTTTCCCCCCTCTAATGCTAACTGGAACTTCATCAGGAGAATGGAAGAAAATGCTCAAGTAAGCAAGTTGTGGCTTTTTCTCTCAAGTCATCTAATAATTAGGCCCATCTTGTGATCTCTGCGATGTGTGCAAACAGCACTGTCACTGCAGGGTCCCCTCTGGCAGGGTGAAGACTGGTAGGGGTGGAAGAGGGACAGAAAGTGAGCAAACCTTCACACTCTTCCTTCTGGCTGCTGCTTGGAACTGAGTGACTTCACAGGCCAAAGAGAAGTAAATTAGTTCAAGTTTTTGACACTCAATTATTTGACACTCAATTGCTAACCTTTAAAGTGTTTTGGTCACTGCTTGACACCAGAAAAGGGGAAAGGGTGGGAGTAAAGGGGCACGAGGGGTTGCACAATTGTTCTTAAATTGGAAAGTCTAAAAAGTTTCCTTGAAAACTTCAGGGAGAGGAGGTACTTTATGATAAAGCATTTTATTGTAATTTTTGACACAAAGAAGGCATTCACAGCAGAGCTCAAGAACTCCCAACAGGAAGCTATTCCTGATCCGTCCACAGAAGATGTCTAACAAATTGCCCTCCGCAGTCACTACCCTGTTTATAAAACTGTAAGAACAGACAACAGGCAATGAAAGACCCCGACAAAGTGCAATATTGTGGATTCTGAATACACACCAACTTTCTTCACAACTTAAAGTACAAAGAAAGTTTCACTGGTAGTGCTCGTGGACTTAGATTTACATTTGAGAATTATTTTTTCTCAAATATTTAAAACTGTAGGTTCAATAAATCATTACTAAAATCTTCAGGAAAAAATATATATATTATTTTTTTATGCAGAAGAGCTGGGGTGCAGGCCAGAGGTGTAGGGAATGAGAGGATTCGTCAGAGACAGAGTGGGGAGCTGAACAGGCGGATCCACTGAAATCCACTGCTGAGGGGAGCAGCGGGGGAGACAGGAGAGGTCTGCTGCGCCATGTGAGTCGGCTCCCTGGTTGGGAATCGAACTCAGGTCTTAGTGGTGATAGTGCTGAGACTTAACCCCTAGGCCACCAGGGAGGCCTTCCTTCAACATTTTTTGTGAATACCCTACGTTGCCTCTCTTACTTTCTGTCTGTGGACAGGGCAAGCAGCATTCGAGCTGCCCTAACTGAATTTTCTGTGGATTGTTAAGCTTTCTGTAGATCGTTTTTCCCTCCTCCCCTGATTGGCCAAGTGAACACAAGCAGAGCAAATGATGAAAATGATACACACACCTCCTATAAACCAAATGGAGACAACTGGACAAAGATTCAGCCTTGAAAGGCCAGTTATGCCCTTGTTTTTACAAAAGTCCGTTTCACCACAAACTAAGACCAAATATTCAGCAGCTACATTCTGGAAGAAAAGAAAGCTAATGCTAAAGGACAGCCGAAGGAGCACTGGATGTAAGACGATTCCTAAGTGCACTCCTCAGCGTCTCTCCCGTGCTGAGCACTGCTGGAGTCACAGATTTCACTTTCAGTGACAATGGACGTTCTTTCAATAACCTGTACAGGGACTAGTGCAAACAGTGGTCAGTTAATGATGTCACTACAATTCATTTTCTTGAGTAAGAAGCTCAGTCAACATAATTTATATCGTAGTCATGTATTTTCTATAAGCAATCTGGAGGGGAGGGTTCTAGAAAGGTAAGTTGCTAAGTCTTGTAAATTTAGATACCGGTAGTATGCCAACTTTTACCAGGTCTTTAGATTCTGAATTTCCCTCAAAGAATTATCTCCTGTCTATAGCTTCAAATCCATCACTCAATTTGACTTCGATGTAGATGCACTTCCAGTCACTGACCCCTATTTCCTCCCAAGCATCCATTTCCTTTTGTCTCCACTTCATTCCCTACCCAGCGTTCTCTCAATACCCTCTATATTCTCTGAAGGCACTTAGTAGGGACACACAATCACAGACCCAATTTTAAGGCAGTTTCTTTTAACCCCAAACAAAAAATGAGCTTTTCAGGAGGGAATGGAACCTCCTATCCCACTGGAAACCCCAGAATGGCCTGCAGCAGTGGACACAAAGCAAGAATTAATAAGCGTTTGGTGAACTTAAATGAATTAAAAACAAGCTAAATTAAAAATCACGCTGCATTAAATCGGTTGGCCTATAAAACTGTCTTAGTGCGAGCTCCTGAAGCAACCGAGCAGCATAAGCTCAGTCACTCACTCATTTTTCTTTTATCCAACAGATCTTTTGCCTCTTGAAGGGGCCTGTAATTCCATTCCCCAAACACTAATCCATCTTTACCCTGCAGCTGTTTCCTAGGTAACCAATCAGCCAAATAAAAGACTTGCACACAATAGAAAAAAGGAAATCAAACTGGGAACTATAGCATCCCACGTGCCTCTCAGTATCTCACCTGTGTAGCATCGCACACAAAAGGGAGGCATAATGAGTCCTACCCCGCTGAGTGGGGATCTTAACTAAAGAGGCTTTTGACACTCATCACGCGCAGATGCAGACGCTGCCAAACACGCCGTGTGAGTGCGGCTGCCGCCACAACGAGGGTGATTAGAAGGCATGTCATTACTACATGGAAAAGCTGTGTCACAGGAACCTGACACGGAGGGGTTAGAAAGCAGAGACGTGCGCACACCCACTGCATCTGTCAGAGCCCATCACCAGGGCAAGCGCTGCCGCCTCAGCCGCGGGAGGGCTTCCCCACGCACACCACTGAACGTGAGCAAAAACGTGAGCAAAAACGGAGAGGTTAGCATTTGCTCTGGCCTCTCCCACCTTCTCAGGTTTTCTCCCCCGATTCACAATGCTTTTCATCTCATGGGCTCAGGCTGTCAGCTTTGGGGAGTGTCATCCCTGCGGTGGGTCTCTAGTGCCAAGACGCCCCCAGGCTCCAGGGAAACCGTGCGCCCCACCCCAACACAGACCTTTAGCGAGCTCTTCCCAACAGGGTCTGCACCCCAGCAAGGGGGTTTTCCAATTTAACTGAAATAATGGAGTTTCCTGTTTCACTGACAGGTTGGCTGAGATTTTGGAGAATCATGGGGTGGGTGAGGTTAGGGGATTAGAAGGGAGCCCCTAGGTAGCCCCAAGGTAGCCCCAAGTGACAGGCACTTCCCGGGGTCAGTCATACCCTGGCAATGAGTAGCACAAGCACATCTATAGGGAACTAGAAAACGTCACATATTCATTTTTTTCCTCTAGAAGCACTGATGGTGGTGAGTTTTGATTAGCTATGCTTTGGGGTTCTACCACAAGATACAGATGCGTACAGTGAACTAGAGTGAACAGGCGAAACAAGCAACCTTGATTAATCCCAGTGTCTGAAAACCTGAGTAAGACAATAGGTTTAGGCCCATCACTAGGGTCCACCAGCCCCTCCCCCGCCTTCCTCTCACCTGTTCTTCCAGCTCTCAGCACTCACTCAGTGGCTCCTACTTCTCTGCAACACTGTCCTGCTG